GTGGAGAGGGGACAAAACATTACATTGCACTGCTGGGAGTGCTACCGGTAGGTAGGCCTTTCACTTGTAAAGAGGACTTCTTTTTGTCAAACTTCTTTTTGTTAGGAAAGTTGGGACCAAGTTGTGGGAATGAAACTATGTACTACGTATTTTGGTCCGCATAATGTGTTTCAACACAGGTACACATAGTCTCCATAATGCTGTAATGAGTATATGTGTTCATACACTTGTATACCTGTGTGCATTTACATGTACCATAGAAGTTGCTAACTTCACCCATACATGTATGTTGGCCTGAATGACTAACTTATCACACATTGCCAGGGCTTGCGATAAAGAATGGTTATACATACGGTATTTGTTGTCATGCTACGTCTAGTGATTTCGCATGGAGCTGACCCAATAAATCTTGCATTGCTCTTGCAGAATTCCTCATCCAATTTATTTCAAAGCTGACGGCTGTTATTTCTCACATCTTAACTCCCCTTTTGTCGTATTGGTCTATACACTTTTTATTTCTGCTTGCATGATACACGCAACCTGTCGCTGCATGTCTTACCCATGCTCATCAGATCGTGGTAAGTGTCCCACACGAGATGTCCTAGGTGGTGTTCTTGCGTTTGTGGTGTTGACCAGTCGGACATTTAGTTCTAGATTGAATTGTATATCATTCATTTTGGGGGATTGTTTATTTCATCATTGTTTGAATTGCCACAGTTTTCGTGTCTGCACCAGTGTATGCCGTGTTTATGTGTTATTTGAATGCCAAGTTGGAGTTGATTGGACAAAAGTTGGTTGAAATATGTTCAGTTTAATACATGGTATTAGTTAAATTGTTTTGGGGTTTTTTCCATCTTGGAATCATTTTCCTAAAATTAATTAGCACTTTTGTACTGAAAAATGGCTTTTGTACTGAAGTACCCCATGATCAGGATACATGGTATATATATGTATATAACATGGTTTTAGCATTGAGAGTCGATGTAAGCTCCCCTTGGTATTTGAAATGGACACATTTTTTCTCTCGCATTAATCAACTGCCAATACCTCTGGGAGCTACAATTTACTATCCTCCCTAAGCCACGTTGTCTTTGTTTACCTCAGAAATATTCAGGAGCAAGGGAGAGGCAGCATGTACATGTATATTGTACGTGTGCTGCCATCTGTTGGTATCCATGCAGCAAAGCTATGGCAATATCTGCACAAATGACATTTCAGTACACTAGCGAACTTGACTTGTGCATGAATCCTCACATGCGCACTGGTACGTACGTAAAGAGTGAAAATAGCTGTGAGCACTTGATGATGAATGGACCACAGAAAGTTTGACCCTTGATCATGAATATGTATGAGGTACCCTTATTGTAATGATCTCTATAGTCTATGTAGACTACATGTACATTGCTCTTGCGCCCATTGCTGTGCACAGAGTGAGGCCTCCGGGACAACTTTTTGGGAGCATCCAAATATAGCTGCCATCTGTTTCTTAATAGTTTATTTTTCATGTGAGTGTCAATCACAAATTCAAAAGAATGTGACTGTTGTTGCAAATTTCACTTACGTGTTCAAATATTGCATGACCACCTGCATGTAGTTTGTACTCTTGCTTTCATAGTTACCATTATTGTTGTTATAACTTTGCACTGTAAGTAACACCATCTGTTCTTATGTTTGCATTGTTCCACATTGTCTTCTCTCATTTTATCCAGCGTGCATTCAATTTTTTAAAATGGATTGTTCACTCACAGTCAGAAATGTCCATACTTGGAGTTCAGTTACCTCCCCCAATCCTTCAAGAAGCACCTCAAAGATTTGTAGGATTTTACGGGATTGAGAAAAGCAGAGACCGGCCACTGTCGGAGCGTACATTTACATTATTGGAAAATGTGGTATTCAGGTTTTTGGAAGATCAGAAACCTTTCTGGCAAAAAGAACCTGTGAAGTTTTCAATATTAAGTTGTAAACAATTATCTTGTGAACTCTTGCACACTTGATTTGTTTGTCAAAGTGCTCAACCCAATGACATTTTCATACATTGAAATCCTGTCCAGGGTTTTTTGGTGCAAAACTGTGCAAAAGAAGCGGACATGAACGTTGGGAAAATGGCTTGGAAACTTTTACCAGGAATTGTTGACAGAAATGTGAATGGGAGCATACCATGTGCAAACAGTGCGCATGGAAGTCAATCCTGACAACTCAGATATTTTGTTTTGGTACAGGCCCGCCAACATTCGTGAATCCACCGCAGCAAACTACCATCAGTTCAGTGGGCAGCGATGTCACAATCCCCTGTGAAGCAGCAGGGACCCCTCGACCCATCGTCACATGGTTCAAGAACACAGTGGATGTCACCACCCTTGGGCTCAGCAGATTCCAGGTAAGGGGGGCTTTGCACGGTCATTGGCACAAATTGTCTGTTTTCTAGAAGTGTGATGCATTCGTATACAAGAAAATGCGGACAAAAGAGAGGGAAAGAAAAGAGTGTTAATTAGTAGTTTCCCTCTTGCATGTTCAGGCCGTGGGGTTATATGGGGCGGAGGCGTTTGATCCAAAGCTTCTCCCTGTTAAAGCGAACAGCATCTTTGTGGTACCCAAGTGATTCTATGCCCTGTGAGATCATGTCAGACATAGAATGGTTAGGAAGGTTGAAGTGGTGGCCTACAGGGGTATCTAGTCGTTTGGTGTTGACAGTGGATCTGTGGACATAGAAACGCTTCTTGAGAGTGTTCTTGGTCTCTCCAACATACTGAATGCTGCCTACCCTGCAAGAGAGATATATGACATTAGAAGAGCTACAAGTGATAGTGCCTTTAGTTCTGTCTGTGGTACCGGAGGAGTGTCCAGAGAATGTATCTGATTCCAGGATATGGTTGTGGCAAACAACATGTCTGTTAGAATCACACTTGAACGTGCCTTGCTGGGAGGGGAAGGGTGTCCAAGGGGGGAAGGGGGCACCTCTGCCCGAACGATAAGGTCCCGTAGGTTGTGGGGACGCCTGTAGCCCACTAGCGGGGTGTTTGGGATGGCACTGACAAGGCGGTCTGAAGTGTGCAGGATATGATGATTGTCCTTGATTATTTTGCGGAGGGGAGGAAGACGAGGATGAAAAGTGGTGACCAAGGGAACCCGGGGATGGTTTCTTCCCAGGGGGTGTTCTCCTTGAGTGCAAGACTTCTAGGGATGGAGGGGGCCCTATTGACAGAGTGTTGAACCTGGCGATAGCTGTGTCCCCTTGCAATAAAGTACATCTTCAGTTCCTGTGTGTGACTGGAGAAATCGGAATCATAAGAACAAATGCATCGCAGTCTGAGTGCTTGGCTGTAAGCAATACCAGTCTTGCAGTATCTAGGTTGACGGCTGGATGAGTGAAGAAAATGTTGGCTGTTGGGAAACCAGGAGCGTGTTTCATGCAAAAAATGCAAATTTTGGAAATCTTTTTATTATGTCAAATGCAGTGTCTTGTGAAGTTTTCAAAAATGCATACCTTTCATGTCTCGTTTTGTTTGGTGGGTCACAGATAAGCCTTTTGTGAGTTACATTCGAATACAATCTGAGTTGTTCAAACTCTAGTTATCACAGCAATTTGATTCAGTGCAAGCTTGTGCTTAGATACATTGGAGACACCTTGTATGTACACTGTTTTCAATGTATAAAAAAGGCACAAAGGAACCAGTCCATTCCAGAGATAGTGGTTGCTATGCCAAAGATTGCCCCAAATCACAAGGTATAGCAACAGCGTGTTAATAGTCTGAGGAATTCAAATTGCTATGGTATGCAATCAGGTTACTCATTGTACCAGATTTTACTCCAGTTTAACTCACAAAGGCTTATTTGCTCATCTCTGAAATGAGCAGGATGCATGAGCGCATCTCAAGGAGGCAGAGGCTGTTGCATTGTTTCTTTCTGAGATGTTGATGTGTTACCTACTGTAATGTAGTTTAAGGTATCCATGGTTTGTGTGACATCAGTGTCTGTCACTTCTGTTGCCCAGGTACTAGATAGTGGCATGCTGCAGATAACTAGCACAGAAGCCGTGGATGCCGGCATGTACCAGTGCGTGATAAGCAACGAGGCCGGGGAAGACATCACAGACACCTGGTTGCAGGTCAGAGGTAAGGGGTCGTGAATTTCATACTTTTATCCCGTTTCTTGTCTTGTGCTGTACTTTTGTGTTAAAGTGATACTTCTTTCACATTAATGAACAAGGTAATAAGTTTTCCCTAACCTGGACTCAAGTTTGTGGTGCTGCTTCCAGAAAATGTTATGTATTTATACAAAAAGCTGTAGTCAGTAAGGAGCCAATCAGTCAGTGGAATTTTTTGTAAGATGTTTTGGTCGGTCTTCTGTCTTTATTCAATTTCTTTACAACTGGCGACTGGACAAGACTAGAAGAGTGACTGTCGAATGATCATCCTGCTCAGGAACTTTTTTCAAGTTTACTACATAGTGAAAATTAAGCCAGAAAAATGACACAACACGGGCTCATTAATTTTTTGTTTTAATGGGTACAAAGCAAAGTATTTGGACAAAATTACTCTGAAAGCGTTTGAGTGTTTGAAAAGGGACTCAGGCTTGAGTGTGAGTCTGGATCTATTTGCTGACACTCATATTCTTATTCCTCGGTATCTACATGTACATTTCTGCTAACATATTTTATCCAACTAGCACTCCACAGAAGACATGGCTCTAGCATTACTTGACTTTTTTTCATCTTGGCATTATGTGGGACATCTCTGTAATTCTAATATTTTATTGGTCCATAAATTCCCATTGTCAGAGATTGCACCAACGTTTACCAGTGAGCCGCAGGACACCACCAAGATTGAGGGTGAGCCTGCCATGATGTCTTGCCAAGCAGTCGGGGCACCCAAACCGACCATCACATGGTTGAGAGGTGAGGCAGAGAAATGCGACACTCAGAGATTGCTAGACAACTCGTACCGAGGTCTCCCTTGTGTGTCTTGTTAAACCTTGTACTCTCCTAAATCCTCCAAAATCTTCGGAGTGATTTTGGAGGAATGGTGCAGGATTGAGGCTGTATGGCCAAAATGCATGGCTGATCCCGAAGGATGCAGTGTGTCAAGGTCTTGGGTAAGAGCTTTGTGTGGTTGACATTCAGCCATGCATAAGTTGAGGCTGAGACTGTACTTAAAAGCATCCGCACTGCTCCATTGATATCAGTCATGCTGCTTCCGCATTGACAATGATTGCCAGAGGATCCTTAAGGATTGAGGCACTGGTTCACCCTTCCAAGGAACCCATTCAGGAAATGACAGGATTTAGGAGGAACGAGGATGCATCCTAGTCAAAGGGCCTCAGGGAATAGAATTAATGGAGAAAAAAACAAACACTGGTTGAATGAAGAATCAGAAGCCTGTTTGTGACAGTGTCATCACTCCTGTCTGTTTTGTTTGTTTCTGAACCCCATTCATCCAATTCTAAACCCGGTCCTTTTTCTTGCAGACGGATCGACCCCAGTACCTGATGATTTAATCCAAGACAACGGCGATCTCTTCTTTGCCAGCACAGTGGCGAGTGACACGGCTGACTACATGTGTGTCGCCGACAATGGAGTGGGCACTATCAATGTAACAGCACGGCTGACAGTGTATAGTAGGTTTAAAAGCTCCTCTGTTGATGGCAAAGGTTGTTTTGAATTAGACAAATGTTTGTTGTCTCCTGTGGCAGTGTTTCAGCCAGATGGCCAGCTCGGGGTGCGGCTGCTCAGCCTTCCAATGTTAGAAAGCTGGACAGTTTATTAGTTTGCTTAGCACAAAATAAGTTAGCCCATGGGAAATGTTGGTGTTAAATGATGGTACACCCAAACTGTAACAGGAGCCCCACCCACAAGAATAAGTGAGTTTGTTAAACAACATGAGTGCTCCTGATAACATAACCCTCCAGCCAGCTTCATGAATATAAATGCAGTGTTACAAAATGCAGAGTCATCATTGTCTCTCCATGTATGCAAAAATAATCACAAGAAATTTTGAAATAGTTAAAAGTGCATTTTCCTATAGTTGGAAAGTGATCAGTGAATGTTTCAATTCAAGTCCCTTGAAATCCTGCTCTGGATCATACCATTAACTCCGTCAAGGAAAGAACTCCCAGTAAGTGCTAAGCTCATCCTCAACTAACCAATAGAACCCTGGAAACCAGTCCAGTCATTGTTGTTTTGTATTGGGGAATTCAGCAGACAAGAGTAAAGAGCAGTGGCTGAGGAATCACTCCAGATGCAGGGATGCCACTTTACAGGCAAAAAGGCTTTTGCATTTAAATGCATTGGGTTAATTTCAGGCTGAACTAAGATACATATGTGTTTAGGCTTCTCAGGCCTTATTTTAGGGTTCTTGGCAAAAACCTGTCTAGCATCTCTGCAGCTTGCACCAAGCCTTTTCTCTTTTTTTCCTCTGTCCGTTTTCCAGTACCAACGGTCATCCAGACCCCGCCTCATGACACAAAGGTCCAGCTGAGCCTGCCGGCAGTCATAGACTGCGTGGTGCAACATGACCCTGCCGTGACCGTCACAGTCCTGTGGTACCACAACACTGCCCTGGTAGACACGGACGCCAGTTCCCGAGTCAACCTGCTGGCCTCGGGCTCGTTGGAGATCCGGCAGACACTGCGCAGTGACAAGGGCACGTACGAGTGTGTGGTAACATCAGTGGCCGGCAACGGTAGGAGGAACGCCACGCTCACTATCCAAGGTAAATGTTTCTGTCAAGCTTATAACATTGTGTAAATCTGACCGGAAACCGAAACCGACCCAACCTAAACCGACTTTGGGTGAGGTCAGATTACTGTTTTTTACCATTTCAGTCAGGTGGGATCATTTCAAATAAGCAATCTTTCTGAAGAAACCCTGAAATAAACCCCAAAAATGATTAGTTCTGACTTTCACATGGTGCGTTATTTCTGTAGAGTTACCACGCCTGGTAAGATAAAAATATCTGTTTCTTCCCTACGGTATTTATTTCTGTGCTCCATCAGAGCAAACTCAAAGTCCAGAAAAGTTTTTGAGATCTCTTTTATTTCATTTGACAGAATTACCATGGAAACCAACCAATGTCGCCTCAAGGATCAGCCCTAGTGATTCACGGACCGTCGAGCTGAGCTGGGTGGCCCCATTTGATGGCAACTCCCCGTTGTTGCGCTACATTATCGAGCAAAAAGAAGACGGTAAAAACTATTCTGTAAACTTATATCTTGATAAAAGTTCACTTTTACAAACTTTGTTTAAAAGTCCAGGCTTTTTTTCTCAGATGTTTCGGAGAGGGAGTTTCTGTACTGTTGACTGGTCCAGGCATGTGATTACTAAACGCGAGAAAGACCCATAGTTATATTGGTTGAAAATGATTCTGTGCAAATCAGTCTTCAGGAAATGTACAGCAGTCTTGGCTTATTGCCCAGCTTTATGATAAACCAAGCAGTAAGATTTCTCTTCTGTGATGAAGAGTTTGCATGAAAAAAATTCTGATTCTCCTGAAAGATTTAAAAAGCCTTTGCATATGCTGAATAAATTGCATTCAGACGTCAGATATATTCAAGAGGTGAAATTCACATTGAGTAGATCTTTAATGCAGTGTCATACTCATTATCATTGCCAACATGAGGACTATTTCGCATAAGTTGAATACATTAAACTTCGCCAAATTTTGCTAATAAGGACCTGTGACATTAGTTCACTTTGCGTTCTTTCACTTTCATCTTCACATGCAGCTATGAAAGGGCCAATAAGGCGGAACCTTTGGTGCATTGGTAGTCAATCAATGTGGATTTCATTCTTTTTGTTTTAATCTCAGAGTCGGCATTCACCGTGATCGATTCCAGTGTGGATCCCAGTCTTCCCTCGTTCAATGTGGTGGGCGTCATCCCCTCCAGGAGCTATCAGTTCAAGGTACGGGCGGAGAACATTCTAGGCGCCGGCGAGAAGAGTGACCCCACCCTGGTGCTCCACATACCCGAGGAACGTAAGTATAGACCCTAAAGACCACGGTGTTACACTGCACCGCAATGTCCGGCAAGCAACATACAAGGCGCATATCTCCACCATTGGAGCCCTTTCAAGCTTGCATTTAATGGAAGTGCCAAACTACAGAGAGATGAACCCACAGTGGGAAAATAATTTGGTGCAGGTTGATCACCTTTTGGCTGAAGGAAGAAGTTTGTGGGAGCAGGATCTAAACTGGGCATTCTCCTAAGGGTGTCCATTTTATATTCTATGGTTTTCATATCATTTTTCAACGGACCATTCCCGTGAAATATGCAAATTAGACAGGTGCATGCGTGCTACTACCACTGGTTAGCAAGCGCGGCCGTCAACACTGCCGGTAGTGTAGGTAAGCTGTTGTAAGCATAACCTGGCGCGTTGAAGGCCAAACCGTATTACAACCTTTTTCGGATGCTTCAGCATGCTTTTCTCGAAACTAAAAAGGTTGCAAAGTAAAATTCCCTGTCTTTGCAGTTTGACACTTGTATGGTAACGGCGTCTATGTGCTCATAGTTGAGTGCGTATAGAGATTTGTATTGTTACGTTATAGATTTTAGCAACTTTGCCAACCAGTGGTAGTAATGTGCATGCGCCTGCCTTATTTGCATATTTCATGGGAACGGTCCATTGAGGGAAGGTCAGTCAATCAAAAAAGAAAAAAAAAGATCCTGAAACAAAGTCACGGAACTACCACAACTCACCTTGTTTGAATCACCATAAAGTGTGAGTCACCATAAGGTGTTCGTGTGTGCATTGTGTATGTACATATATGTGTTTGTTTTTCCCATGGCATTCAGTAGATTTGTGTGTAGTGCATTGGGTGCGGTACGGTACCGCTTGGTGTGGTATTGATGCCATATCGCGGATTTTGACTGTCATGTTGATGTTGGGCTAAATTGTATCGCACCTGTACATTTTCAGTGCTATTTTTGTACAGTTCACCTCACCTTACTTTTTTTCGGCAAGGTCCTCTTAGCCAGGCTAGTAAAAAAAGTGTTTTTCCGAGGTTGGGAGCCAAAAATTGGGTCGGACAGAAATGAGAACCGTAGAATTTAAAAAGGATGCCCAAGTGGCAAGAACACACTGAGCGAAACTTCAAGGTGCCACCCTCACTGTCTATTGCAATGCCATTGCATGTTCATTCCATTGTGTATATATGCACAGTTCATTGGCCTTTCGTTGTTCTTCTTCACTTTTTATATTTGTATATTTGGTTGTAACATGTAACATTTGCATCCCCTCCCCCTCCAGCTCCCGATGAAGCTCCTAATAGCGTGGTCACCAGTTCCAGCTCTACTACTTCCATCATAGTGGAGTGGCAGGTAACTACACTGGTGATATTTTCTGTCCAGCAATATTTTGACTTCTTTCCATGCAGAAGAGTCTGAGTTTTACAGATTTTAAAATGGGGCCAGAAAGTCGGAATGTCTGTGTTATATTTGCATCGGCCATGAAACCAGAAATGTTTTGACTCAAAGTTTTCAACAGAACTACCGGATGTAGCTGCTGGCCAAAATAACAAATTGTAGGCACGCAACTTTTCATTGGATCAGCTGATTGTCTCATGTTATACTTCCCATGCATGCCATTCCAAATTGAAATGAATTACAAAACCATGTACAGTTGCAGATTTCCTCATTTTTGTCTTAATTACTCAGTGTGCTACCTGATATTTGCAAAAGACACTCAACTGATGACCAGCAATCAGTCATCGGTTATCACTGGCAAAACTCACACCTCGTAATTTTTCTAGACATAGTCCTTGACTTGACCACCCTGCTGCCCACAAGAGCTTGAAGGAAGAAGGTTGTGGCCTCCGAAGTGTTGACCTCAAGATTATGCAGTTAATTGTGCGCGTTGTGGTTTGAGTCAGGGCTACAGAGCTGTGTCCATAGGCAAGCCATTTTACCACCCATGGGTTTTTCCCGTTCAGGAGTAATTTGGCTTGGCAGGAGACCAAGAGATGACTTTTTCTCACAAATTAGCCCTTGTGGCCGTACGCTGTACACACTGTTGGAAAATTGTAATGGTTTACAGGCTTCAGCAAGCAAAATGTTGAAACAGTTTAAAGCTCTTTGATCTTTGGAAAATATGTGTAACTACACTTCTTTAGATAATCATTAGGAATATGTTATTTTATGCCACCTTGCATTAATCACCATTCTTCCAGACACCTCCCGAGGACACATGGAACGGTCCCCTGCGGGGCTACATCCTTCGCTACAAGCTGTACGGTTACACCTCCACCCCCTACACCCCGGTTAACATCACCAGCGTGCGCCAGACGTCCTATACGCTTCAAGGCCTGGAAATCTGGACCCGCTACGAGATCCAGGTGGCAGCTTACAATGGTGCCGGGGTGGGCATCTACAGCCAGTCCTTGGCCCAGAGGACCAAGGAAGGGGGTGAGATCCAGGAACAGCTTTTTCCACATGAACACTGTCTGCATTTTGGGGTTTTTTTGGGGGGGGAACAGCCCAGTGTCATTTTTATGGAACAGAATATGTGTTTCTTGTCATGTAAAAAGAAGCAGGGAGCCAGTCACAGATCAAACATTGCATGGCATTTTGGCTGGTAACCCACTTAAGCTTTTCAAACCTCTGCTCCACCTGGTCTTGTCATTATAGCATTGTACTTTTTATCAAAGAAACTCCATGAAGTTGGCCCCTGTGAAGAACAAAAGCTTTACATTAGTGACAAAGCAAGATTTGCCAACTTTAGCCCAATTTTTTAGACTGTGTATTTTTATTGATTTTTTTCTCTCAGATGTTGGCTCTTTGATAACAGAAATGATCAATTGGCTTTTTTGAACGGAAGTATGGTTGTCTTTTTGTAGCCAGGATAACTTCATTTAGAACACAGATTGTGTTTCTTTGGTGTCTTGTGGGACAGTTTTTAATAATAATCTACAAATCAAATTTTTCTTGAGCAAGGGCTGCACGCAAACATGTTTTCTCAATTTTCTTTTAGGAGGAAATATATGCGGTGACATTCCTCTTCAGTTTGTATGCTGCTTTTGTTTGCTTTTAATCAGTGCCTAGCGAAGCCCCACGCAATGTGCAGACAACTGTGTTGAATTCAACAGCCATCCAGTTCCAGTGGCAGATGCCTGACCCCCAAACTATTAATGGAATCAACCAAGGATATAAGGTAGGTCATTCAAGATTTCTTTTTAAGTTGTGATCAAGTCAGCGCAAGAGAGTCAGAAGCCAGTCACAATATGTCCGGTCCCTAGTTAAGCTACGAGCCGTTCCAAACAAACTGTGACAAAGCATTCCTCTTTTTAGTCCCCTGTGACTTTAGTACTTGTACTATGAATTGAAATTGAGTTGTGGAACAACCTGTCATTTTAATTGTTCTTGACATGGGATTGTCTTGGAATTGGACTTGTGATTCACGAGATGTGACTTGCGATTGGACTTGTGATTCACTATGAGATTTGACTTGTGATTGGACTTGTCATTCACAATAAGATTTGACATGTGATTTACTTGTGATTTGACTTGTAATTAATATGTGAAAATTCACATTTGATATCCTGCTACAAACTGTCAGTTTGATTAACACACTTTACTGGGAAAGTGAGTTGAAGTAACTACTCAGAGTTTGGTGTCTGTTCTCCTCTTTGCGGCAACAGTTGCATGCATGGCTGAATGGATCAGAGAGCTCCAAGATTGAGGTGATAGTGGACCCTAACCCAGCCATCACAATCCTGGAAGGCACCATCAGCGGTCTGAAAAAGTACACGGAATACAAGACCAGCGTGCTGTGCTTCACCAGCCCCGGAGACGGACTAGCTAGTCCCACGGTCACTGTCAGGACTCATGAAGACGGTGAGTTTTGTTGGGAGAATTTCTTACGTAATCATATAAAGAAACTTATTTTTTTTACCTGGAAACTTGTCCATTGGTCATCTGTCCATCTCTTGTAGCATTACACTTTGTTGTTTTGTTTTATTTCAGTGCCTGGCTCAGTTGGTAGTCTTAAGTTGAAGGATGTCGTGGATACATCCCTGAAAGTGGAATGGACTGTCCCAACTGAAACGAATGGTGTCATCAGAGGTAGGCCCACTCCATACCACAAATTGGGGGTGGCAGGACTTTCTTGCACATTTCCTTGCACTTTGTTGACCTGTTTTGGTTAACCTTATGCTTCTAATTTCTGCACATGAATGGAATGGATGAAAATAGTAATAAAATAATAAACAGTTGATGGAGTTCGGCATCTAATTTGTACAATAAGTAGAAAATTTCAGCAATATTTGAGAAACCAATGTTGTACTGGTGTAATGTGAGGTCTTACATTTTGATAGTAAACCTATGAAAATTGTCAGCAAAAGTTTCAAGAAATATTTTTTGGTTTTTATATTGCCCGCATTACATTTAGTACACAATCAATTCTTATTTCATGACTCTTAGATGTCAGAGCTGTTCTGCTCTGAGTCCATTAATTTAAATAAGGCCCCCCCAAAATAGTTGGTGTCTGGTCAGCGCACCTGTCAATTTTGAATCTTTGCATCAGTGTTTTTTGTTTCCATTATTTTCTCAAAATTTTCAAAACAGCGCCCTCTATGTCCGCACTGCCTGAATGTTCATGAGTAGACTGATTCCTGGCCACAAGTCCATAAGTCGGAAGGGCAATTTGTTCAAGGAACCAGACTAATTTGTAGGTTGCTCGCACCCGGTGATAGATGGTTACGACTGCGTAATATTGATGTCAAACATAAACAGCAGACCATGGGTCCATGGGTAGGTTACAAAGTTGCAGCCAGCTGATCAACAACAATGGCGGCATGATGTGCTACTACTAGCCTTTGCTCTTTGATTAAACATGCCACTCATTTCCGTGTCTGTTGCCAGTCTTAAAAAGCCAACCCTATCCCCCCCCCAAAAATGCATCACTGCATCAATTCTGGAACTTTGGTCTGACCAGAGACCGAGTATTTTTTGGAGGGCCTAATCCCCATCAAACAAAGTGGTAATAGGTAGACTTTGGAGTGATAGGACGGTCCCTGCATGTGATTTCACCTGCTGTTATGCACACATCCACAGGCTATGAAATCAAGTGGTACAGGTACAACACTACCAGCACCAGCCCGCCCATTTCATTGCCCCCCGAACAGCGCGAGTACACTGTGACTGGTCTGACGGCTACCACCAGGTACACCCTGGTCATGTGGGCCCGGACGTCGGTCGGCCGAGGGCCCCCGAAAGAAACCAGCTTCAGCTCCGGTGTACCGCCACGTAAGTTTCTGGTCTTGTGAACTCCTCTTCCCTTTCTCCTCTTTTTTGGCATCTTGCACCAGTAAATGGACTTTAGGAAAGAAGTTGACTCTGAAGCAAAGGGTTTGCTGCGTCAGATTTTCATTGGAGCAAGGTTGTGTCCCAAGGTACTCACTGTACAATGTTGGACCACCCCGATAACTTGCCGGTCTTCCGGTTTCTTCACGCCACATACAATTTGCCCCAATTTAAGACCCGTGCCCACCATTCGTTGAGAGACCATTTTGTGAAAGGTGCAAATATAGCATCTGTGTTCACAATTATGATCAGTACTGAAGTCGACTTAAATTGGAAATACTTTTCATGACTCATCAAAAGTGCTTTCAGCTTGAAGGGTAATTCTAGAAATTAGGGGTCCAAAAGTGTGACATTTTCGTGTCCTGGTTACGTCTGACCTTCGTTATTGGACATGGAAATATCAACGGAATTGATTTCAAACTATTACTGTTTGTTTGGCGGGTAATTTGCATTAATTCATCATGCTTGCAAATTAGAAAAAGTGTCCTGAACTTACAAACTCATATGTCAGATGTGACAAGGACATGAAAAAAAATTGACCCCTAATTTCTGGAATTTCCCCTAACTCCGGTTGAACAGTACACAGAGGGGATATACTTGTTACAGTTCATGCTTGAATAGCTGTTTGCTTACATTGAGACAAGGATACTTGCACATGTGAGCTTCTGATAATGAGCTAAGTGATTGTGATCACAGGTGAATTCCTTCAAATTGTGAAGAACCCAATTTTAACAATTTTATTATTAGTACTTCATTCTGACTGTGATTAAACCTAGTTCCGTCTTCCTCTCTCTAGTGCGGCCGGATCCACCCAGCCAGCTGGCCATCTCCAATATCCAGTCCAGCAGCGTACACCTTCAGTTTGAGCCAGGCTTCAGTGGCCACACCAGCATCTCGGCCTGGATCGTGGAGGCACAGGTGGGCACCTCCACAGCCTGGCTACGCCTGTACGAGCACCAGGACCCGGACTCACGAGGCTTCCCCGTGCCCAACCTCATCCCCTACATGGACTACGTCTTCAGGCTTCGGGCCCAGAATATTGCCGGAGAGAGCGAGCCCAGCCAGACTACCAGGAGAATACAGACACTCCAAGACAGTAAGTTTTGCCGGCAAAATCTGGTGCACTTGAGGAAGAGCTGTTTTTGTTTTTTTGGGGGAGGAGTATTATGGAAGAGAATCTCAAATTTCTCAATATAACCTTGGGATTTTCTATTTTTTCCCATAAGAAAAAGTTGACTTCTGGAGGAATGTCTGTGGTAATTTAAGGAACTCTTGGGTTCTTGTGGAGAATCTGAGGTTCTCTAGGAAAACTTTGGACTGCTTTAAAAATATGGAGTGATTCAGGAGGGTGTTGAATTCTGAGAAAAATCTGGACTTTCTGAATCCAAGCTAACAATTTTTTTGGTCACTTTGCAGCACCGGAAATTGCCCCTCGCGAGGTGACAGTGAGAGCCCACAGCGAGACATCCCTCAGAGTCCGCTGGGTGGTAAGTGTTCGGTTTCGCGTTGATTTTGTTCCAGTTTGTTTTCTACCACAGATTGCTGTGGCACTGCAGATTGAACTCTGTGCCAAGTTACGAGGACTAAAATGTTGCAAAATGTTCCAACTGGTTTGTTCATAGGTTCAAAGCAGAACACACAGGACCACTTTCATTCGAATGTGCACAAACTGATAGTAATTTCTTGGGAGAGGAAACACTTCTAAGAATTTAAACAGTAAACGTGTGTATGCGTCATCAGTAACATTCGTGCTTTGAAATACAAATATTTGTAAAAACTGACAATCGTTACGTTAACACGTTTCTTCCTGTCCACCCATATTTCCCAGCCCTTGCTCAAAAGGGAGTGGAGTGGAGAGCCTATAGGTTACCACATCTACTGGCAAGAGGTCAATGCTGTGACCCCTGACCCTACCCAGGGGAGTTACGACCTCCTGGAGCCCTACACAGGCGAATATGTCATAGCCGGCTTGCAGGAGTGGACAGAGTACTCAGTGCAGGTTCAAGCTTACAATGAGATTGGGGCGGGACCCATCAGTGATGGCCTTGTGGGCAGGACAACCGATACAGGTACAGTTTTGACAATTTTCCATCACTCGTCGGTCATTGCTGTTCTTTGTGTTGTTTCAGACCTTATATGGGACGTGGTATTGGAACCAACGTAGTAAACTTGCTGTGGCATTTCCCAGTGGTATAAACCAGTTTTTCCGAAGAAACCAGGTGAAATTGGTGATACATGTTTTTCCACACAATCTTTTTGGTGTGTACACGTTGCTAATTATGTACGTGATGGGTTTTAAAATTAGTCAGGTTCTCCACATTGCGAGATTACAAATCTTTTAAAGTTGCCATCAACTGATTTTGCCTTAATTTTCCTCACAGTTCCCAGCTCAGGGCCATCCAACGTTACAGCCCGGGCCACAGGTCCATTTGTTATAGACGTGACTTGGGGCCCAGTGCCAAAGATTGATCAGAATGGTGCCATTTTGGGATATAAGGTAATTGTGAAATGCCCTGTGTGGTTTGTTTCATCTCAGTGTCTAAGCACAAATAAATTCTTCCATAGTTATTATTACTTGTGACTGGTTTTTAGTTGACTTGTGTTTCACACATTAATTTGCCAAGTAATAGTGTTCTGCTGAGCTGAGACATGAAATTTGAATTGGTGGCAGCAGTGGGATACATTGATTCAATTCATCTCGGAAAGCTTTGTAGATCTGTCACATAAATTCTTGGCTTCTTCAATGCCCCCAACAGGTGCGTTACTATGCCACCTCCTCACCCTCGGAGCAGCTGACCCTTGATGTCACTGGTGAGGCCTCCATGAATGGCTCTCTTTCTGGCCTGCGTGGGTATACGCGCTACGCACTGAGTGTGCTTGCCTACACACGCATGGGGGACGGCATGGTCAGCAGTACAGTGGTGGTAGAGACACAGGAATCTGGTGAGTCTAGCTTCCTTCGCCGAAAGGAAACAAACACCCAAAATTAAACTGAAAAGTACAAAAAACTATCATTCTCCACGTGTTGTACGATTAATATCAAAAGAAAGTAAGAAAAAACACTTTTTGGCTCAATCTTCTGGTGGAACTGTAGCAGGAAAAGCTCAGACTAACAAGGGTTTGTAAAGGATTCTGGTTTTTGCTCATGCATGCATCTGTGCCAGATTTTTTTTGTGAAAGACCGGATTGCTGCAGTTAAAAGATCCGTGTATTTTGGGTCCTGATGTTGCATAAGATTTGAACTCCATGAAATATCATATCAATGACAGTCCTTTCATGTAACCTGTATTGATGCCTGACGGTAATTACTGGCTTCAACTTCCAGCTGAGGATGCATCCAAAAGTTGTGGATGCAGCGTGACACAATGGCTGGACGTTATGGCTAACTGCTGCAACCACTTGGCTTTAATGCATGTGTCATTCTCAGCAGTAGCCAGTTACATTCCAACTGCCTGAATCTGAGAGTTGGCCCTGGAAATGAAAATCACTCCTTATTCTGTCCCCCTGCATTACTGAACCTTTGCTTATAGTCTTCCCTCCACAAGTTATCTGAGGTTTTAGCTAGATACATTAGCCCTTTGGGGCATGCCAAGGTTTTTTCGCTGGAACACCACAAGTATGCAATATTGACTGAAACTCTTCTTTTTTTTATTTGTAGTCCCGGGCCCACCCAGCGGTATCCTGTTTCCAGTGGTAACCAACACATCTGCAAAGATCACCTGGCGGGCTCCTGTGGAACCAAATGGCATTATACAAAGCTACAGGGTAAGCACAGGTCCTTAGGGTGAAATGATACTTCACACTTTTAAGTTGATCTCAGAGAGAAACATCAAAATGAGTGGAGTGCTGTATGAAACTATTCATGTGTAGGCAGAAGTACATGTACGTAATAAACCCACTTGCACGAGTCATGATCCTTTTTCTCAAAATTTCAAATAACCTAAAGTCCTAAAGTAACCTTTTGAGAAAAACCACAGTGATTTCAAATCTTTTAGTATCTCAAGAATTCTAAAGTTAGGTTCTCCAGTTTATTTAAACCGTGAATGTTAACAACATCTCTGCTTCATTTTAGGATGAGGGAACAGTAAGAACAATGCTTAGTTTCAATGCAAATGAATCAGAAATGCTCTTTAGTTTCGAAGCTTTGTTTGCGTTTCTGCCATCCCTTATGTTTTTCCTTCCTTACCGCTCTCAACTCTTCCTATTTTCTGCCTCTAAAAAATTGACATATGTTAGTGCCAAAATTTGGTTTTTGAAATAGCAAAAAGTCAATCTACATATTACTGTATTTGTGGTTGGCCAGGTGAGCTACGTTCAGCAGGGTTTCCCGGATAACTTCAAGCAGACAACAGAGGTCGGCATGGCTCAGGAGTACACAGTCTCAAACCTCTTTGACAATACATACTACTCCTTCAGCGTGGCTGCCAAGACCAGGCTGGGCTGGGGACAGGAGGCTTCGGCTATCGTCATCACAACCAATGACAGAAGTGAGTTTCGAAAGATTTTGACCAGTTGGCCTTGGTGAGCTCATGACGTGAAATGAAAGAGTGCCAACACGTCAGTGCAGATATACTTCACCAGCCCATGCCGCCGTGCTACATTGTAGCCGTTGGTTAGGCCTGCGTGCATATAGTTGGGCTAAAGAATTTTCATATGTTATGTGCGTGCATTTGCCATTCAAACCTACAGAACATCTTCAAGATCAGAAACACTCTGGGACATATTTTCCATGGTGGCCACCAAAACCTTGCAACTGATGTGGTCAGCTGACTCCTATCAACCAATCAAAAGCCTTCAGTAGATTTCTGCTTGAGATTATGTCACTCATTGTGTCACATAAAATGTGCGTGCGCATGTGAGACATAGTTTCTGTCCATTCAGCTTATGTTCTTGTTTCAACCCCCCCCCTCCAACAGCTGCCCCGACTGCCCCCTCCAAGCCCAGCGTGGACTACATCCACAGTCGAGATGCTCGCATCTCCTGGACCCCCGGAATGGACGGGAACGGACCCTTGCGCTTCTACAGTCTTCAGATCAAAGAGGGTGCTGGCAGTTTCCTGGACCGCGCCACTCACATAGACCCCGGCGTCATCTCATACTTCGTTGACAAGTAAGTACTGCTTGTTTCTTCTAGGAATGTTGTAAGTGGTAAACATTTCTGGTAATGAAACCGAGCTTTCGTCAAAGCGCCCCAGGCACTGCAAGTCACAAGTCTGAAGAAACCTGAACAGAGAAGACAGCAAGAAGCACTTGCAGTTTTCGAGGTGGGAGGAATACGCCAGATAAGAAACATGTTCCTGGGTAAAACCCATGGAATCGGGCGGGGAGTGAAAACCAAATCCACCTTTGGACTGAGCTGGGACTTGAACCCAGATAGTAGAGGTGAATGGTGAGGAAAGAACCACCGCTCCAACCTGACTCACCTGTGTGCCCTTGTTTACTGGTCTTGCCTGGGAATGCCGGCTATTCTTTCCTTGAGAAAGGCAGGGAATACTGAGTGTTCTTATGGAGGAAAATATGGGAATGTGAAATTGGAAACGGTCTGCTCCAGCTTCGAACAGCCTTGGAATGCTGCATGTTTTCACATTGGAAGTGGCATGCCCCCAGGGAAGCATGTTGAAAAGAGCATGAAGATTTCACTCATTGGAAATACTTCATTCGGCAGACCACAACTAGTTTAAAACATTTGGGCCATAGCGCAAAGGCATACGCTTAAACTCAACAACAGTTGATGATGATGCACAGTTTTTCATCATTGCTGCAATCATAATTTTTTGCATTTATCTCTCTTCCAGATTGTCCCCGTATACAGACTACCAGTTTCGTCTCAAAGCCCACAATGACGTCGGACCCAGTCCCTGGAGTGAGGAATCGGATGTCATATCAACTGAACAGGACGGTGAGACATACAGCTGTATTCCAGACCCAAGGGTTGCTACGCTTTTAAATCTTTCAAACGTGAAGACATTGTTACTGTTTGATAGTTTCAAATTCCTCAATTGCCGGTTCCCAGGTGGTGTCCCTGCCTGTAATTCTATGGCAGGATGTACCCACTGCTACCTGTGGGTTCAGTTTCAGTTCAGTTTGCATGAAACTCTCGTGTACAGTACACGTGTGCACACTATGCACAGATATATTTGCTATTAACTTTGTAGATATAGGGGAGGAAATAGTGACCGCATATGGAAATCTAAAAGTGGACTATTTCATTGTAACAGTGTGGTTTTTAATTTGCAGGAAACTCAGCTTCTTTACAATCTTCTTTGTTTGTGTGACAGTTCCCGATGGTGAGCCTGGCATACAGGAGGTGACTCCAATAACCCCCACTTCTGTACGAGTGATTTGGACGGTGAGTTTTTCCCCAAAACTTCATCCGCTCTGGAGGACACTGTCTACAAGGATCTTTAACTGCTAAGCCAATGCAGTTTTCCCCACATCTTAATACCTTGATTTCATGGGCTCTTCTTTTCAACCCGCTAACTTTGACTCATTTTTCTACACCATGGACAGGCCAATAATGTTTTGGTATCGAGCTTTGGAAAATTTGATAGTTGTGCGGTTACAGTGTAAGATATTGGCACTGGTTAGCTTAATGATGTAGGTTTGAGACTCACCTGAGCAACCGTGGGAATTTTTTTCTCATGAAGTCTTGGAAAGCACCGCGTACATAGTGCTCAGTAAACTACGTTGACAAGTGACGATACCCACACTGAACTGTGCACCTCCCCAATGCTTGCATTTTGTCAACCGTTAATATCTTCTTTCTTCAATGATTGTGTCAGGCACCCCCTATTAGCACCCACAACGGCCCCTTGGAGGGCTACCGCATCTCCTACACAGAACTACCTGACGGTAGCCCAGTGGAGAGGGCCAGCACCGACCCATCCCTGCTGCAGTACGAGCTGGCCAACCTGCTGCGCTATCAGGACTACGAAATCAAAGTCAGGGCTTACAACACCAAGGGGGCTGGGCCTTGCAGCCGGCCTGTCACGGTCTACGTCGGAGTTGCCAGTAAGTCCACAGTTTTACTGCTAACTCTCTTCATCTCTGGCTATTTGTGGTTCTAATTTCAGACACGGCTGTCTGCTTTGTAGTTTTGTTCCAAGGATTAGGTTAGGAACAGCTAGGTTTAATATAGGAACTTGATTGGCAGGTCTAAGTTAACATCTCTGTTCAATTATTGCCATGCTCGATGGAAGAAGGATTTTCGCGTGAGGGTGGGCTTCCAAATCCTGCTCATTAAGGCAGAATTGAGGGGTTTGGTATACAGATCGCATAGCGGAGACGATTGGTAATTGTATGGCCTATGTTGCAGATTTCACACGCCCTTCCCAGACAGAGTGTCAAGAAAGCTTAAAAAACCCTTGGTTTTTAAGGCTATATGCTGTTCAAAGTGAAAAACTTTAAATTTACTGCCCAGAAGTTAATCAGAGGTGTTTGTATCCAACTTGCTTTCCATTGCATTAAAGGAGTTGTACCTTGTGGCAATAACAGGTTTGGGCTTGAGAATCCCCAAATTTGATTTCAGAATGAATCAGTATTCAGGAATTGATCCCAATGAGATAGGTTTGATGGTTTAGCCCAACAAGTTTGCTTGAAATCAAGGTTTGCTGTCAGACCTGCTTTACCCATCTCCTTGGTTGTGTTGTTACGACATGCCTGTTTATTTCTCTTTCCTCTCATAGTTCCATCGGCAGCCCCCAGTAATGTCATGGCCTCAGCATCTGGTGCCTCCTCACTGCGTGTGACATGGGAGGCCCTGCCGGAAGAAGCCAAGAACGGTGGACTGCAGGGCTATAAGGTATGGGGTCCAGGCTAGGACCAACTTCCTCAATTTCCTTAAGCTGAATTGCATTGCAGACTGGTCGCCTGCCCATTTTTGACTTTTGGCTTTTTCCGAGGTACCCAAGTGAAGTTGTATTGCATCCAACTTTGAATATGTGACAGTGTCATTTTGGGAAAATGAGTCATAAGAGCATTTTTTGGAGTAATTTGTTTCAGTTAGCACTAGAAAGAGTAAGCACAGCTCTTCGTTTTGATGTCTCATTTTGGTATCCTGATGAAAAGGGATATTTGTAGTGAGTGTAAATGTTGAGGCTTCCTGGTAATTGCCATAGTACAAGACTCTTTAAAAGGCCAGTAACTCAAAAGTGGCTCTTGCAACTTGTGACTCATTTTCACAGATCGAGTCACATATCTTCTTTGCATATTCCCTGTGACAAGCTTAGTATTGAGTTATGACTGAGTTTGAAAAGCACTTAGAGGAGATCATGGAAAATATCGGAATAGATTTTGAGGGTAGAGTAGATAAGTGTGGAAGTTGTCAGTAGCATCATCAACTGACGTATCGTGGATTGTCGCACCATGAACTGTCATATCATGTGTACTAAGTCTATGGAGGGTAATGTCACTTCATGATGCAGCTGATGAAGTGATAAGTAGTGTCATTTCCTAGAAAATGGTCAGCCGTACGTTCGCGTAGTTAGTGTTAGTTTTCAAAACAATTTAAGTGCACTGAATTGTATATTATGGCCTGAAAACCAAATGGACAAGATTTATTATACAAGTAAATCTTAAAAAGAAAAACAAATGTATTCATTAAACCTTTTAGTATAAAGCTGTGGGTTTAGTGATTTATTTAAAACTTCGATAATTAAAACTGGTGAAAAGACAAGACATCAACTATGTGGATTCTCGCAGATAACATACTGGGAGACCCCCAGCGAGGCACGCAGTGCTCGCGAGACCCCCATCAAGTACACGAAAACCTTCCCCAGCGAGGACACAGAGGCCACCCTGGATGGCCTGAAATGCTTCACAGAGTACTCGCTGACAGTGATTGGGTTCAACTCCGCCGGGGACGGGCCGGCCAGTGATGAGATCACCAGCGTCACGGAACAGAGTGGTCAGTGTCCACACTTGGATGTTTGACGTAATTTCTGAAATACAGATGAAAGAAGATCTTGTCCTTTGGGGCTTTTTGATCCAAGTTGTGTAACAGGAAGGAATGACGTCACTTTTGGAAATGAACTTATGGGTCCTTTATAGGAGATGAGCCCATTGCAAGTCAGATGAAGGATTTAAGGGGCTAGGACTAGAAATGACAATATGCATCTGAGGGGAACCAAAGAAGCGTCTAGCTGGTGTCTTTCCAAGGCTATCTCCAGCTTAATATGTCCAAATACTGAAGTCTGCTTACATTCTGCTACTCATTGTGCAAGCACAGCCAGGTGCTTGGTCAATGACAGTGCAAATTGGTGCTTTTTGGTTAGATTTGAGATGCAAGTTCTGCAAATTATGTACAAATCAAGGTTCCATTTGATTTTTGTAATGCAGATTTACTTGTTATGGATTTCTTCGAAGTAAGAAAAATGATATGAATGGATTTTTTTGTATAGATCAGCTGCATGTAACAGAAATCACAGAGTGCGTTTGGATAAACTTGTTATAAGAGAGTAAGTCATCTTTAGCAGAATAAAGGTTTATATTTTTAAATGCAGTTTCAAAGCAATAACCGTTTGTGTGTTTGTGCTTTTGTTCAGTGCCTGGTATCCCTGCAGCCGTCGGTTTCCAGCGGATCAGGATGACCTCTCTCAACTTGACCTGGGCACCCCCGGAGCTCCCATGCGGCCAAATCAAAGGCTACCAGGTCTACTATGAGAGCATCACGCCAATAGACGGTATGTATATTCACGCTGAGGCTTCCTTTGTACCAGCAAGTGCCGCATGCACGAGTATGCCAGCATCAGTGAGTAGGAGACAGTAGCTGTTAATGATGAGCCTGTGTGTGACACCTTGCTTTGCACCGTTTGGTACTGATAGCCTGTATAGAGTACCAAAGTGTGACGTCACTGTGAACCAGAAAGTGCAATGCAAACGAATGGAGTACGCGCGCGTGTTGGCTCACGCGCTGGTTCTCGTGCTAATGCCTTTTACACACTAACTGTGCGCGTGACATATTCACTTCGGTACTCTATATAGAATCGTCCACCTTGAAGCCATCATCATGGCGTTATCAGAATAAGCCATTTGCGAGTTAAATTTGAATAAAATCTGGTGCACTGGGTTCTTTAATTCACGTGAACATAACAACTAGAATTCTCCATACTAAAACTACTGTTGCTATACCTCATGATTCGGGGCAAGCTTTTGCCTAGTTACATAAGAGACGCCTTGCAACAATACACTGTTCTCAATGGATAAGAACGGCACAAAGGAACCAGTCCATTCCAGAGATGGTGGGTTGCCATGTAAAAGCTTGCCCCGAATCATGAGGTATAACAGTGTCTTTAGTCTGGGGAACTCAAATCGTTTCTGTGCAATCAGATAACACAGTGTACCAGACTTTATTCAAATTTAACTCGCAAGTGGCTTATTGGCACCACACTCGTATCCCCGCCACATGCCCTCTTAATTTCAGGTACATTTGCATGTTGGTATTTGTTATAATGCTCTGTTGGCTGAAATGGCAGTTAGCGTGCTTGCTGCCTGCACACAAAAGGTGCAACACCGCTGTACTGGCTTCTAAATTCTGGTCACCCAGATAGTGTATAAGCAGTAAGTTGCGTACATGGACTACAGTAACTGCTGTTACTCTAACCCACTAGAATCTGTGAAAGACTACGCTAAAATCGGAGGGTTAGGGACTGTCACAGTCAATACACTCTTATCCTAACTTAGTCACTTTCATTCGTTTGCAGGTGAGATCTCAACTATCACCGTGGAGATCAATGGTCCCCTACTGACGTACGGCGTGGAGAAACTCGGGGAGTTTGCCACCTACACCTTCCGTGTCAAGGCCAGGACAGATGGCCGCAGCTATGGGCCGTACCGAGAGGCCAATGTGACCACGGGACCCCAGCCTGGTAATATGGTCCTGTGTTTTTTCCTTAATTCACAAAATCTGCCTGTTCGTGGAAGAATTAACACTCAACATTTATGAGAGTGTGGAGAAATTACTCATACGGTATATCACAGCATCAGTGAGGATTTGTCTTGACCCCAATCTAGTTGAAACAAAAATTACAAAATGTTACAGTTTTGAAGGAAAGCGTATTGAAGAAAGACCTGTCGAATTCCACAGAAATGTAATGTTTGGAAAGATGCCTGGAAATCACCGAGCAGCAAATTCACGAGGCTGATTGTGAGTGCTCACAGCACCATCCAGTGTGGAGTTGATATGACTTGACATACAGTTATATCCGACCCTTTTTTGATGTCAGTTTGTCGTCCACTGCATCATGTGTGACCCAATTTGTCAGTAAAGCCTGCGGCATCTGTCGTCTTTGCTTAGGTATGCCTGGACCCCCTGGTGCCCTCTACCTGGAAGCAGAGGTAGACTCCTTCAAGCTGTCGTGGACTCGTCCCGAGGAGACTGGTGCCTCTCAGCTCATCGGTTACATACTGGAGAGCCAGGAAGAAGGTGGATACTAGTCCAGTGGTTTTAAATGAAAAGGAGCTTTTGACATTTGGTAATGTTGCCAGTCGTATAAAAGCTGTGACATGGATACAGCATGGATGAACTTTGAAAGCAAACTTGACCTGAATAGAAATTGGAGCTTTGATTCCCATGATACTTTTGTGGTTCTTAATCAGGTCGACTAGCCTGCCCAGTGGTTTGGTTCATTATTTTACACATCCAATTTAGTTTTTGGATTATCATGTTTAGTTACTCGGTGAAAATCACTCTCTGAACCTTTCCATATATCCATTAAACAGCTTCACTTAACCATTTTCTCCATTTCTTGCGCCTCTGTGGCTACAGGCCGTTCGGAATGGGAAACCCAGACAGACAGCGTGAGCCCAGATGCCTTGTACTACAACGTGCCTTATGGCAACCTGAAAACCTCCACCAGGTACAAGTTCCGTGTGATGGCAGAGAACCAGCAGAGTATCAGCTTCCCCAAGGCCACCTCCGAGCTGAAGCAGACCCCGGCAGGTAACGGGACCAAGACCACTCTGAGCCTGGCTGTGTTCAAATGATTTGGCTACGGCTGGAAATAGCACACAAGTCTATGAGAGTTTTTGGAAGCCAGTAGCTGGTGGCTGCGGCTTGAAGTAACAGATGTACCTATGGGAGATGCATTAAGGCCTTTGCTGGTATCTGGGGCTTGAAATGATACATGCATCTGTGGGAATGCATAAAGCCATGAGCTGGCAGCTTCAACAAGTGCATATGATATTCCTTGCCATAGCTGAGTAATTTGGAACACACCCTGCATTGCTCTCATGGGGGATTCCTGTAATGGTGGAAAGCATTACTCCAGCTAATTAAGACTGCAGTGCAACTTTCTTTTGATATTCCTATCACTTTTGTCTTACAGGTTATGCGGCCGAAACATGTCAGTCATGATTGATTGAGAACTTTCTCGAAATTTTGCTTAGCAGATGATCCAAGTTTCCTGAGAGTTTGAACAATGAAACATGACAAAAATAGCAGAAATAAAAATGTGGTCTTGCTTCTTGCTGAGATTTGTCCCACTAGACTTGAACATTGACATGCATTTCAGCTCTTAAACTTTGCCTTTTAAAATGTGACATACAGTAACGTTAGTTAACTAGCCATATCGACGCAGCCATGCTTGTATTGAGTTTTACTCCCGATATGACATCTGTCCTGTACTCTGTGGTTCTTGTCCATTGTTGTAGGGGAGAACACTGAGCAGCCAGACCCAGGTATAGATGCAAACTTCCACTCTGCATGTTTTGAGGCAGACTTTGTTTTTTTAATAAATGAGAACGGAGTGCATGATGGATTTTTTTTTTATGTATGCTGCATGGTGAGTTTTCCCCACTGGCATCTAATATCCAACAAGTATTGGTAGGGGATAACATTTTTCCCCCTCTTCCTGGAGAATGACTTTTTTCCTGTCCTGCATCTTGAGATTTTTACCGCCTTTATAATGTAGCAAAACCACAGTAGATATCAGTGCGTGCTTCTCTTGAAACAACAGCCAGCCGTAGTGTTGTAGTACTCACACTCAGGAGAAAGTACTCAAAACTCTTACTCACGGCTAAGTACTTATATTCGTATATATATTTGTACTCATAACCATGGAAATGTATTTGATGACAAAACTGGCAAGTGTTAGCAAATAGAACTCAGTGACCAGTTTGTACAAATACACTATCAAGATAAGGAAAGTTGCACGTAGCCCTGCGTTGTGTGACGGCCTGGATTTTCCGCTGCCCAAATTGGATCATGTTTGGAGGGAATCGAGCATGGATTTGAAAAGATCTGTCATTGGGCAAATACTCTCTGAATCTTTGAGTGGTGTGAGTGACAGTTTTTTTGTCAATTTGGATCTGTTTCGGAATGAACAACCCTGAAAAAAAAGGAACAGTCAAAGTGGTGACGTGGTGGACTTTCTATTCCTTCACCTCTGCAACCTCAGTTCCCCTACCATTGTTGTTATTTAGACCAAGGCTCAAGGTTCCAAGTGATCACCCTCTTTGTTTCTCCAGAATTTACTCTTATGGGTTCCAATTCTACATGCACTGGAGTAAAATAAACATAATTTTCACTCTGCACGTAAATGGTTCCTTACCAAATTCTCCACTTTCCGAGGGTTTAAAGTAGAGAAATAAATGACATTCAACAGTGAAATTTGTGCAAGAGCTCCCTCTAAATTTTGACTGGAATTGAATCCTGCAGACCAGTAATTGAATGTAGAAATCAGTGCCGATTTATAAAGGTATGCCTTTGATATTAGTGAAACCACTGATGGTGCTAACAACTGCATTGAAATGAGTAAATTGAACAGTGTCCGTCTTTTGTGCTTCTGTTTAATTTTACTTGTTTTCATGTTTTGTTTTAACCCCTTCGCGCCGATACTTCTTTTGACCGTGACTGCTGGGCTGTGGTTATGCCCTGAATGGAAGGCTTTGTCCATTAGCAGGCCCCATTGAACCAGCAGCTGCATGGTGAATAGACTGTGTGTGGTATGCACTAATCCTCACACAAAGCCGCAGCTCTTGCCGTCTCCCGGAGCGAAGGGGTTGATATTTCGCAAATAGTACATCGGAGAACGTTTGTGTACTAACCCTTGATTCCTTTACTTTCATAGTGACTTTCTTTTAAGGTATTAATGAGAGGAAATTTTCTGCAGTAGGAGATTTTTGACATTGGTGTCACCTCTTTGGTTTTTTCTGATAGAGTTAAATCGATCATGTGAGAAAGAGACTTTTGAGAAGCATTTGCTTGCAAAGTTAATCAGGCAGCTTCACATGCCTGACCCTGCCCTGATCAGAGTTTCTAGTGTCTTGAAGATGTTCGAGGATTTTTGGAGGGTTGAGGATGACAGATCCAAGTCACTACGGCGTAACATTCCACCTCGCTAATTTCCATTGCTACGAGATTCTGCGAGATTGTGCAGCACTTACCCACAACTCAGTGCGTGACATTAACCCACACAGCCAAGACGTATCGCTGCTAGTTACAACAACTTTCACGTAACATTTCAAGGCATTATGCTCTCTTGAGAGTTCAAATACAAAGAACATTTCCTGTGCCGTGCAATGTTTTTGAGGGTCCAGAAAGGTTCCTTCAAGGGTGGGATTTCTCAAGATGTATCTGGATTTCTAAGAATTGTTGACCCTAAAATTCCATTTTTCAATCATTCGCAGTCCTGTTACTTCTTTGCACTGTCAGAAGCAGGGTTGTGTCATGCTTTGATAGTTGTAAACAGTCCTTGAAGAGCCATGATATTTTGTTTGGCCTTTTTGACAACCCATCTGTTGGATGTTTTGTGGATCGTCTCATCTCGCCTCAGTAAATCCTCAGCACATTCTTGGAGAGACAGCTCATGCATGATTGTTTTATTCCCGTGCCTCTCATTCCCAAGGTCTGACCCAGAAGATGTTCTACGAGGAGTGGTGGTTCCTGGTCATCGTCGGACTGGTCGTTCTCATCGTTCTGATACTCATCACGGCCACCTTGTGTATGCTGGGAAAAAGCCGCCTCTACAAAGGTCAGTTTGTACTTCAATGTCAACTCGTTTTGCCCTACACGTTGAATGGGCAGCCAGAGTTTGCAGAAAAGTCACCCTTTGGTTGGTTTTCAGTTTTACCACATATTCGTTCAGAAGGGTACTTTTTTCCCATTAATTTTGAAGAGGGTTGTAGTTTCATTTATTACTTAGCAGTAGGCGTATTGTTTTGATGGCTGCATGGAATTTCTAACATTTTGTGAATTACTCTTACTTTATTACCAATGGCCAGCAGTAGTTTTAGCAGCCACTTGTAGGAAAAACACAACTGTGATGTAAAAAAGTAGACCCTGTGAAAATTGTTTCATGGAAGGTAAAGTTTAGTTTGACATGTGAAAGCAATGTCCTATTCCCTTGACTGCAGAGAGGAAAGCTCATAGCCGCGTCAATCTGGACGATCCAGTCAGCATCCATGACGGCAACTTGTCAGACACCTTCGAGATGCAGCAGGGCAACGGGACCAATGGCCGGTCCACTGGGGGGCGGGGCCGGGGTAGGGGCAGGGGCGGCAACAGAAATGGGATCTACTCGCGGACCAATTCGTACACCAGGTTGGTTGGTGCGACAGTAGTACACTTCAGTCATCGGCTGAAATTGAAATTAAGGCAGTCCCAGATGAAGGCATGATGGTTTAAATATCAATGAAGAACTTTGCACAGAATCTCTACCGATCGTTAATGATAACAATGATAATATGCATCTATATGTATAAAGGGAGCTTATACCCTAGTTTTGGTGTGCACACTGCTGCATCATTCCAGAAACTCAATATTCCATGATCCTAATTTAATTTAGTATCAGATTCATCATGATCCAACCAATTATGAGATACAATCCTTCTGCCACTTTGGATTCTTCAAAACAGATAGATCACCCCTTTCTCTTTTGCGCTTCCAGACCCCCTCCTAGGCCCAGCCCGGGCAGCATCCAGTATTCCGAGGAGGAGGAGAGCAAGCACTACGAGGCCGTCCACCGACAGCCCAGCCGGGAGCAAGATGAGACCTCCAGCCTGACGGAGAAGGCCGACCTGCAGTCTCAGACCGACTCCCAGGTAGGGGATCCAGTTTACTCAACTCTAACCTCTCACACGACAGAACTCTCTCAGTTTACTTCATTTGCAGTTGCTTTTGTCTATCTGTGATGAAGAATTGAGCCATTGGCTTGGTTTTGGGTCGCCATCTTTCGTTTGCATTTTGTTTGTGGTTGCCACTTCTTTAAGAATAGGGTTGTGGTTTTATTTTTATGCCTGGTTTAGTTAATTTCATGGAAAGAAATCGATGGTTTGGAAGATAACAAAGCTGTAAACTATCAGTGCTCCTGAAGCAAGTTTTAATGTGCCCTCAGTTTTTTTGTTTAGGGAGAGGGTTAATTGAAAATTATTTTGATTAATTCTAAAAGGGTGGAAATGGGTACTTTGGGTCAAAGGTTACTACCACAAACTCATAGGTTACCTCATGGACACATTTCACTGATAGCAGATTGCACCAGGGCATCTTGTGACTATGGCTTTTGTCCCTCACTCGCCACATTGAGAAGCCATAGCCATGACAGATTGAAGGGGTTCATAGGAAATTTGAGATGAAGACGACATTGAGAATAACTCATAACGCATTCTCTCGATTTACTTTATCATACAATGTCGCAACCATGCTAGTGTCTACCTGGAGCGTCTCATGCTTCATTATCTTACAACCTGTAAACACCAGTATTGCTATATTTTCGTTGTTAGTCTTCAAACTAAAACATGTTCCCCTCTATTTTTCTCCTATTCTTATTTTCATGCGGGAAACTTTCCATACCTCTGTGCTTGCCACTGCTTTCTTTCAGTCTTCCTGTGGCTCTAAGGTAAACCTTCCAAGCAGCTTCATTTTAGCACTTTCCTAATGTGTATTTGAAATCAGATTTTGTTTGGCTGGTTGAATATCAATGAGCAGTGCATTTGTATATACATGGGCATTGGTGGCTGTATGCTAATTAAACCTATTTTATATGCAAATGTAGGCAAATTCTATGCACTTGAATATACATCATCATAAAGAGTTATTGTTTAAGGGCACTGCTTTGGGTGTCTTTTAAACATCATATTTTAAGAGGTTTGACAACCCTTCATGGGATTGCTCCTTTTTTCTTTCTAGGGTGACTTCACTTGTAAAGCATATCTACAGTGCAAACTTTTCAGTATTAAACGGAATTGGAAGAATATATGCACCCAGTTTTGCAAGTGACTGTCTCAGATTAACTAACCTTTCATACATTAGTTTGATTTTTCCAACTTCTATGCTGTAATCGGCGTGTAGTCTGATGCAGAGTAGGGTTGGTGTAGTACAAGATTGTTCAAAGTTCCCAAGCACCATTTGTACCTGTGGAAATGTTCTTTAAATTGAATCTCCCTGTCTCAACCCCCTTTCCCCATCAGGGTTCGGAGAGCGACATTGAGTACACCGAAGACCCGCACTCCTTTGTCAACCACTATGCCAGTGTACCCGCCAGCGCCTACCCCAGCCACTCTTGGAAGCGGCAGAAAGGCCCCAAGGCCTACAGCTACACGGACAGCGAGTCTGACATGCATAGCATCCACATAAATGGGCTGGCTGGTATGCCGGCTGGTTCCCGAGCCCCGCTGCATGGGTTCTCCTCCTTTGTATAGTGAATTGCCAAAAAAAAACCAAAATCTTAACCTCTGCACTGATCCATTTGTACGATTCTTTCTTGAGAAATGTTTTGGAATATTTCTGTAAGAATTTTGGACGGACAATTGTTTTTTTTCTTTTAATAAAAGCAGTGTAGTAGTTTATAATGCTGATTTATTGTGAATGTTGGGGAAGGAAAGTTTTATGTTGGTGTATTTTAATACTCTTTGTGTGGCATTTTAAAAGATACAAAATGGTTGATTGAATATTGTTAGTGTAGCCAACATTTTACAAGGACTTCCTGTTTCAGGAAGTATAGGGCACCATTATCTGGAGCTGCAAAAAAATATACATTTATGCAAAGGTAGCCGACAAGCAATACATTTCATATGAGATTTTAAATGTTAACTTGTGTACTCAAATGAAAGTGCTTTTGAGCCTGGTGATCTGTTTTGACTCTGCAGCTCCATTCAATCTGAAGGACATAGTTCAATTCAGGTGTTGCCAGTAAGTACTTGAATGCATCACCGGTTGGCTTTGGTATGAGTTTTTTTAATTAGTACAGCTTGGCCAAACGTTGGAAAGACTGTGGTGAGATGTTTGTCTAATACATGTAGTGGTGTAAAGATTTTCCAAACTTTGTGGCAGAAAAAAGCCCGAGTTAGGTTGGTGCCCAGGTTGGAACTATCGGTAGAATGATTTTCTGGCTGAACTGAAATTGTTGGCTGAATAACCATGTTCGGTGATATTGATTACTCACTGTTCTCCAAACTTATCAAGGCACTTGATGTGTAAGGACTCTTTATATGGAAGAAATCTTATCTGAGTTTCATTCATTGGCAAAGTGAGCTGGGACTAGTCTTGAAAAAATTTATATTTTGGCTATGCATTTTTGTACAGATTTTCTGGTACTGGATACCAAAAGCATGGACAGTCATGAGAGTCTTTGTTCATGCAGCCAAGCTGCAGATATTGATGAGGTTTTTTCTAAACCCATGCTTCTTCTTTATCTTTGGATTGAGCATTGCAATTTTTAGGTCCAAACTTAAATTGACCCTTAACCCAAAATTATTTTGTGCAATGTATTCTTGGTGCAGGCGTCCCCTCTGTGAAGAAAAAGGAGGAAGAACACTTAAGTGTCACTGTGGCCATGTTCAACTTCACTCCTCTGTAACAGTGCTGTAGGTTTGTGCACATTCTAATGAAAGTTGGACACTCTTTGCCCAATGCATGGTATGAATGCATGAGGTTCTTCACCCACAGGCTCTTACCTGCTACACAGCATATCAGATTCTGCACACATTAATGTAGGTTCAAAACTTAGATATCTTTAAGTGGGGAGGGGATTCAACCAAGAAAGATGCTTTTCAAGATGGGCCAGGGGTTGAGTCCAAGGAGAAGATAAAGCTGAGGTCTGGGAAAAATGGCCCGAGTCAATACATACCTATAAATTTGGAGACCAGTGTGGATTTGGCCCAAGGCCAAGATTGTACAAAGTGTATTAAGGATGACGCTATATGTAAGTTATGGGTGTAATTGTGCATGAAGCATCCCTGCTGATATGAATTCTCTGCTCAGCCACTCAACTTCTGAAAAGTGTCCCGCCAGCATAGGATTGCACTGACTCGCAAGCGCAGTACTGATCCGGGGAAAAATGAAAGATGTACAGCATATGATGGAGTGCCATTGTTAGGAAACTTAGCTCCAAAGGAATTTTATTCGGAAATGCAGTGGTGCCAATTTTTTTACAAATGGACTAAATTACTAATTTTTATAAATATTGTCAGTGCCTCTTTTAATGAATACAATTAAAGCTTTTCTGTCCAAAGTAATCCCAAGTTGCAGAAACCAATGAAATAGCCTAGTGTAAAATCGAGGTGCTTCCTAAAGAAAACTGTTTCCATTCCAGAACTGTAGCACATGCATGAGTTGATGTGCTTGTTTATCAAGACACATTTCATTTAAAAGGTCTTTTAGTTGGGTGAGGTCGAGCAAAAGTTACACCAAAATCAATTCCATTTTAACAGTTGCAATCATTTTTACAAGTTTGTGTATCCGTTGTGCACCTTTGCGAAACTTTTACCCTTAGTAACCTTCCACTTTTGATTCTTAACTATCGATGTCCTGTTTCTGAGATCTTTTCCAATTAGTGAGGTGTTCGCTATACTTTTTATTATGTCGGATATTTCTGAGTGGTTTAGCTTTGGGGGAATGTTTTGTGTTCTTGAGTATGAGTTAGGCGTCTTGCCGGTTTTGTAATTTGAGTTCATCACATGTTCACCACAGCATGCAGTCCAGTTCTGTGAAAAATGATTCCTGTCACTTTCACTTTTGATGGACTTGAACAAGGTTTATTTGCTTGTAGTGTACAGTACTAGTCTTCTGTAAATCGTTATGGGCCCTTAGAAAACCTGAGTAATTTTGCTGTCCTGTTTGTTCCTTTGTCTTTTGATCCAAAATAGGATAGACCATGAGGGATGTACAGAGTATGTCTCCAGTGTATTGTTATGCAGATTGATTTGCTTGTCTTCCTCCAGAGTATAGCATATTTGTATCTTCTTGTGTTTCTGGTTTGTGCCAGAAGTGTAAATTTGGTAAGGGATGAACATGTAATTATACCGAGCTGTATGTATTTCATTAGTTTGGTTTTGTTTTATGCAGAACATATCCAAGAAATGAATTCAATGCAATACATATCTGCTGTGTTGATGACTGAATACTCCTGAAATGATTCATTTTGCTTATCTTAGACAAAAAAGCAATATATGTTGAAGTTTTACGCTGGCATTATTAACAAGTGGCATTTTAGGCAGTAATGAAATGCAAGTGAATTATATGGAGGAACCAATGTTATTCAAAACACATAGATGACTTTAAACGCGACAGGTGTATTTCATCATGCTTTTTGATACTATTTAGATTTTAGGTGTATGTGGCTGACTTTTCATCTAGAAATGTGCACCACAAAAACTGTGAAGACCATAAACGCACTGCCGTGATACTGGAGAAAAACGGACAGAAGAACCTTGCCGCCTCACCCCTATCCCGGATGTTTGAGGATTATTTTCAAAAGAAGAACTTGTGTCCATATTCGCTTGTCAGAAGTGCAGCCCTTTTTAAAATACCTCTCTGGAAATTGAAAGAAAAGCCATCTCAGGAAATGGTGAATGTCACCTTGACAGTCATAACTGATGATGTCATGATATCTGCACTGCTTTCTGTTTTGCCCTAGCATATGGACCAACATTCAAAAGCTGACATGTTTTATAAATTTGTCATGTAAACCTGTTATACAGACAAGTAATGCCTTTATGTGTGCATTATACATGGACAGAGGATGTGAAAGGGTGACGTGAAGTTTTAATTAATTTTCCACGCTTTTACGTTAAATGTTAAAAATGCAACGTGTTGTAATGTGGTTTTTTTAATAAGTGGTTGACTTGATATCTTTTTTTTAATTTGTAAGCTGACATCTTCCTTCTTGTGATGTTGGTGTTCCCTAATCCCCGTGAAGTTTTTGTTCTGTTTACATTGAACAGATGTTTCCTTCGCTGTGCTGCTCAGCATTGTCGTGTAGCTTCACTGAAATTTACATTTGTTATTTCCTTAGAAATGCTTGAGTGCACAAATTCCAGTGGTTAACACTGGGGTTGAATTTCATCTTGTGTTAGATGGTTAGCAGAAAATTTGTGTGAAGCCTATTTCACACCGCTGATCCACCGAAGTCTGCATCAGTTCTGTTGCAGTTTGGCCTCTATGCTCTATTCTCTGCTTAATGGATCTGTGAAATGAACATGTGATCCGTTGCTAGCATATTAAAGGTAGTGTCATGAAAATAAGAGCAGCTGTATAATTTTGCCATATCAGTCATTAAGTTGGCTTTGTGCTCTCTTCTGCCCTGAAAAAAAGAAACAAAGGCAAGCAATGACCAACACCAGAAATGCATCATGCAAATTAGTATCATTTTAAGTTCTATGATCAGTTTTCTTATAAAACAATACAGATATTTGTTACTTTAATATACATGTAGATAGGATATGGAAAGGTTTTTCAATGATTACAAATATCAAGTGCAAAATGCATTTGTTTTTCTGGATGGATTCGTGTTTGTCTTAAAAGCCAAATGGGTGTAAATAATCTTTGTTAATGAAATAAAAAGTGCAAACTTCTTGAAGCATATTTGCTTTGATTGTACTTTTTCTCGACTTGGCACGTCTCAAGTTTCAGCAACTCGTGTAAAGAAAAAAATAAAAGGACAGATCATTGAAGATGGGTGGGAAGACTACCAGTTAGGAATGAGCTGTAGACAGAACCTGTGTTGGTAACCACTGAATTTAACTTTGGCTTTACCTTGGGGCATGTGGGGGTGTAAACTATAGTCCAACCGCTAGTAAATGCTTGAGCATTGCAGTCTCACCAGGCAAATTTCGACATCTTTAACTCTTGAAACACTCATGGTCAAAGACATACAATTTTTTCTTGTGAACGTTTCCCTCCGAACTGATAAGCGACATCAGCTACTGATGCGACCATGCCTCACGGCCTGGCCTAGATGGCCCAAACCATCATCTTTAAGACAGCTTTGGTTGAACTATGGTCAACTATAGTCCTGGCTCGAACATGGTCATTGATTTCTTTTGGCTGTTGTATCTGGTATTGGCCAGCTCCTTCAGTCCAGATGACCCCATGGTGGGATACCCTATAAGTGTCTGTGTGCCATGTGTGGCCTGCTTGAAGATGGCAACTCAGCCAATCATGGCAAGGAATAACAAAACTGTTGCCGCACAGCAACCAATGAAATTGAAGAACCTGGGAAGCTGTTGCCTGTCAAACCATGAGGTCAGCTTTCCAGTCCAGTAACCAAGGGCCATGCTAACAAGCACTGTCCGCTACTGTCCTCTGACCGACCTGTCTGGTTTATTTCTTCCTGGGGCTCGACTCCTTCCCCTTTGGGCTCTTGTATCGCAGGGCAGACCTCCCATAGGGGCATAAGTCCTTGCAGAGACACTCCGAGCATTTGGGGTTGACGGGAAGGCATGTCTGTTGACCAAATCCCACCAGAAGTACGTTGACCTCGCTCCACAACTCCCTATGAAAATACATCACAAATTCATTTGCAAGAAGAAATGAGTTCAGAAGTATGAGAACTGAAGCGTTACAGTTAAACTCTTAGAGTGCCTAATAGCTGCAGAGAGTGACGCCTGAATAAAATGAAGCTCCAAATTCAAACGGGCAGATCCGGGGGTGGGGGCGTATTGGGGACACACACCCCCCTTTTTTCTCCAAAAAAATTAATAAATAAGAAGAGAAGAAAAAGAGGGAGGGACCCAGCCCTATAAATGTGACAAATGCGTAAAAAAAAGGTTTTGCTTCCAAGCAACCTCCCTATACTTTATGGTCGTGACCCCAAATTTTTAAGTTCATGCCCCTCACTTTTGGAAAATCCTGGATCCACCCCTACCAAATGTGTTTTTTTGGTATGGCTATAAAATATATCGGAATGACACACATCCTTACAAACGCAGAAGGAGAAGTGACTGTAGGTAATTCCAAAAAAACTTGTGCATTACTCCTGGCCGCAACCAATTGATATGGTGACAGCCTAATGGAACTCCACAAGAAACAGCAGTGAGATCGAATATACCTGGGTAACCATCCCTCCAGGCCCTTGCGCGTCTCCTCTGGTGCCGTTGTGGGCTTCTGCACCCACTTCAGCCGGTTGGTAATGCGGTGGACGTGGGTATCCACCCCGATCCCCGTCACCTTGTTCCAGCCCACGTCCATGATGATGTGCGCCATCTTGGGGCCGATGCCCGGCAGTTTGACCAGCTCCTCTATCGTGGCTGGGATATCCCTGTTGTACTTGTCCTTCAGGATCTGGGTGGTGCGCTTGATGTAGTCAATCTTTTTCTGCCCATTCAAAGAGCCAATTCAACACTTGACTTTCATTCAGATTTCTGAATCTCCAGTATAACATGACATGTCACAGATAGGGTGGCAGATGCATGTTAAAATCAGAAAATGCAATTTGTTCACTGTCACGCTTTGAATTCTGGCCATCTAGGAAGGGTAACTTTTGAATGTGAATACAAGAGTGCAAGAATGCCTTTCCTCAATTTCATACCACATCCCTAGAAACATCTATATATATGTAAAAATAAGGAAAGTAACAACCAGGAAGACATAATTACATGTAGTTTTAAGGAGGATGCTTTACTCATGAATGCATCTGGTTAAAGGACAGTGAAAGGGGAAGACTAGAAAATAGAAAAGTAGCTTTGATGCTTTAATATAAAAACAAACAACAGAATAGGTCACAGTAGTTTTTGTTTTTGAAGTTGAAAATAATGCATTGGTCAGTTGGTCCAATTAGAGTCACACTACTATCAAAGAAAAGATGACCAGGGAATGGAATCTAACTTTCCAAAAGCCAACAGGATAGATCAGTTCTCCAAGCTTCTTGTCGGAGGTCTTGAGGATGTTGTCGACAGTGCACCCGTGATTCCTGAGAGCCATCATGGCAGCCGATGTCACCTGGTCCTTGGTCTGACTGGACAGCAGTAAGGACAGTAACACGTGGTAACGATATACCTGCAGCCCCAAAAATTACAGAATAACTTTTTTCTGAAAAAAAATATGACTACAGACTCTCTACACAACACAATTACATGGACATACCTGATGAAATTTTCCATATATAAGAACAAATATGCTTGTTTTATAGCAGATCTTATTCTTCTTAAAAACGCATATAATAAAACAAAATTCCGAAGTATGTGTTACCTTAAAGTTGGCTACCACCAAGGAAGAATATAATTACAGCCACAAATAGTTTTTGTTTCGATGTACTAAAAAGACATCCAATCTCACTAACTCTCAACAGTAACGTTAACCAGCATGTGTAACATTTAATAGCACGTTATGGTGGAACTGAAAGTATTCTTGTCAGATGGTCCTGACTCCAAGCAGAAAAAAGGCCCAGGTTCCATAACAACTACCTTTGGCTCTGCATCATGGTCACCTATCTTCTCTGCTCCCATGGAGTCTACAGGGGCGTCTTTCTCCTTACGCATCTCTCTAATCAACTCCAGCATCTCCCTCCAGTGGCTCGGATCCCACACTGCAGTTTTACTCATTTCCTTGTCACCCTCGTCTTGTTGAGCCACAGGTGCACCATTATTATTTGCCTTTGCACCTGCTTTGGAATTAGATTTGAGTGTTAAGCTTCCAGGCTTTGAGTCTGTATCGTCTGAATTTGATGAGGATTTTTTCGGGGGAGGAAGCTGGCTTGTTGCTGCAGATTCGTACCTTACTGGCAAGTGTGGTCTCTTTAATTTTGATATTTGGGGTTTCCTTATTTCGGCAACTGCTTCGGTAAATGCAGTTGCTGATGGGTGATCCTGACTTGCAAGGAGTTTGGCCTGCGATCTTGTCAATCTCTTTCCACCTTGAAAATAGGATGATGCTGCCTTGGAATTCATACTCTTGAAATACAGAATCAACAGATTCTCTCTAGACAATGTGTTACCAGTTTTCAACGTCAAAGCAGCTGGTTGTCTTAAAAACATTGGCACCTTTTAAGAAAAATGATTGCCTTGTTCTGGTTCTACCGGTCTTGGAATTCCACAGGCATCAAGTTATTAGATATCTGGGGCCTGGTGGTATGAATAACCATAGACCTGGAGGCAGGTCTATGGAATAACTTACGTAGAATAGGTATCGTGTCAACAATTACCTGAGAGTACAGTGAACCTGACCATGTGCTTTTTTCGCGGGAAAATGACGTACCATCCTATACTGCGATTTGATTGGCTTCATGAAGAAATAATTAGTTGCCTCTTTCTACATGTTATTATTGAAAGGAACAGATGCACTCAAAGTGGGTAACGATCACTTACAAAAGTGTTTATTTTCACTTTTAACATATTTTTGGTACATAAAACAGATTATAATCTTTTTAAAATTTGTAATAAATCATTAAAAGTCCTCTTTTTGTTGATTAATGACGATTTATTTATTGAATGGTTTGAACAAGGTTGCTTACATTAGATCATTGCACTTTGACCCGGATTGATAACTTTGGCCGCCGAAGATCGATTTTGCGTGAAATGCCTGTTATGTCGCATGTCGTTATTTTCTACCGAACGAGCGAGAATAAGTTGCCAAGATTTCGCTGAAATCGATTAAGACGGTGCAGGTTCACACCCGCCGCTCCTTCCATACCATGAACACGAGATCTCGGGGAGGATTACTCGTTATTTCCGGCAACTCTCATCCGGAGCTGTCGCGACTAGTTGCCGCGTGAGTTAGGCTAAACAACAGTAACAATGGCTAAACGTTATGAATAATGCCATAACGTTACATGTCAATGTAAAGTACAACTGTTGCCTAGGCCGGCGTTCATTACCTTGACTACAGCACCCTGTTCCCTAGTATTATAAGGGGAAAAATTCTAACTTTTCGAAACAACTTATCAAAACAAGTTATTGATGATGCCCTCTTTCATATTAGAAAGAAAAGAGGACAGTGCTTTTGGAATATTTTGAGTAAAACGGCAGCGTACATGACCTCCCTGAAGAGACCTGTGATCGACAAAAATTAGCGAATGAAGTCTGGTTCCCTGACTTGGATGGAGATTTGTTTTGACGGTATAGTTGCCAGGTCTCTTATTTTGCCACTTACTGTGAAAACCAATGAGACTTGACAATATAGGTGGGGAAATTAGGAACGTGGCAGTGACAATACGGTCATGCACATTAGGCTTAGTAAGTAGGACACCTCAGGCAAGTTTAACCCCTTCTTGTTTACACGGGTCGTAATACTTTCTGTTTTCAGAAAGCAGCCTCTGAAGTAAATTACTTGGACTTCAGGTGTATATAGTATTTTTGCTGCTATTTGTGAGACGGCACAACAAAATTGGCATAAATGATAAAGTCCATGAAAGTCGCATTCCACACTTTCCTGTTTTTAGGGTTCAAAGTCAAATATTGAAGTAGAGGTCAGTTGTGGGGTTTTGTGATATTTGAAAAGAGCAACCTGTGTATTTAATTTCAAATTGTTCGCAGGATCAGATATTTAAAAGTGTCATTTTCTCAACAATCTCGATAATAGCATTATTCGTGCCCGGTCAGAAATGTTAAAACAAAGTCAGAAACAAAGAAGCAAAGCTGCCAAAATAATGTCATATTGTTACCTTATACTTTTATCCTAAGTGTTCCATGTACATAAAGGTATTACACATGCATTAGAAAGCTCTCTTTCTGATGACTTCACAAACACCAGTATCTCAATTTTTGAAAATTCCAACTTGCAGCTCATTTTGTGGTGACAGGTCACATTGTGTTTGGACATTAATTATCTTTAAAGCCACTCCTTCCAACTTGCTGGGGCCAGATCATGTCCAGATGTCAAAAAGCCAGGCAATAAGTAGGGCCAAATTACTTGGACTATTGTAAGGCCCGCAGCTTGTACATAATGTGAATCAGCCCTGAAATTTGCAGTCAGTGTTGGCAAAGGATCCATGGGACCTGCCTTGAAATAACCAGGTTGCTTCCTAATTCCAAAGTGTGTACAGGTACATGTATGTTTGGTGCAATTGGTTGATACGCTCTAGCCCGTGATTGCTCTGCAGGATTGGTTGATCCTACATGAAATCCCCAACTTTAATTCCCTTTTTTGAAACAGTCTTTCACACTGTGAATTTGAAAGAACAGGTTATTGGCTGATGGCAGAATTATTGACAAATCGTGCAATAAAAGTGACCGATCACGCAAAGATCAAGCAATCGTGCATATCGACCAATTGTGCTCAACATACATGTTGCTGTGAACCTGGCCTGCCATTCTTTTTTCTTTTACAAAGCTGGCAAGACACCGACAGAACAGTGCCCATATGAGTAGTTTTGAATTTAACTAATTATTTACAGAGGGAGGAAAAGAAAAAGGCTGACACCATAAAAGATGTTTCATTCCTGTTCTTCACTGAGTGATTGCGTTGCCTAATTATTACATTGCAGGATTTGTATTCGTCTCCGTACGTTGTGTGCGGTTGTCATTTTCTGTACCCGATTCAGTTACTTAAATGTACTTTAATGCTTTTCTTTTTTCTTTGTTTTCTTTTCATAGTCGACTTGGTGTTGATCTAGGAAATGTAGAAGTTTACCTGCAGGATAACAAAGGTATGTAGACATCAGTTAAGATAATTTAGTACCGGTTTAAAATCCTAAATGAAAACTTCATCAACTAATTTTAAATGTTAACATTGTTTTCTCTGGTTACAATTTTCCGACAAACACACAGAAACCAATGTTGACATCAATGAGTCGGTTCGAGGCAAAGACGTCTTCATCATTCAGACGGGAGCCAAGTAAGTTTGACAATAAACATCAGGGGTATGATTTGATTTATCCATAAAGAAGGTGTAGTGTGTTTGGGATTAGAAATGAGTAGCTTGAGGGGTATTTTCTTAAATTTAGGGCATGCGCTTGTATGTTTGTAGTCAAGAATAACGATTCAACTACGCTGCCTTCCACAAAAAAAGTCAAAGAAGAGAAGTAAATGAGAGAATTAAATAAACACGTACGTGCTGCATGTTGTGCTAATTTAATGTAATATGATATACTATAACACTGTATGTCAAGTGTCACAGTGTTTTACAGTTAATGCATGTACTGCACTTGTAAGGTTATGAACATTTGAGAAGATAGTGAGCAAACTGGTCCAGGTTTTTTCAATCTACTCACAGCACTGTAGATGATACAACAGATGGAATGGTTTCCTCGACAAAGAGAAAGCATTGTAGATTGGTCACGATCTTGACTTAAACTCATCAATAAACTGTGTCAACAGTTTCTGTAATACATTTAATGAGGTTTCATACAATGTAAGATACAATAGGGTGATTAGACAAAAGATGATTTTGCTTGACAAATCCCTCTGCACTTCGGTACGATCTTTTGTATTGACTACCATTCTACAATGAATGGCATTAGCCATTAAATCCAAATGATAACCGTAAACCAACTCTTCCATAACCTCTACACTATACACCCCGTTTATACATATACATGTAGTTCTACCCATAAAAAGTGTTGAGGTGTGAGCACCATTTGCCCATCTGGTCAATGATGTCTGTTCTGCTTTAGTTTTTGTTTTGCTTAGCTTTGGTTGTTGGTTAAAATTTACTATGCGTTAAACAAGTCAAGGTCTACAGTGTATGGTAAAACAAACCACTGGTGTTGGGCTACCTGTACATGTTGTCAGTCATGTTAACAGTCATTCTTAAGTTTGACAACTTTCTAATGAAAATTTGGGAACGTATCCTGACAAATGCAGAGCTTCTGCTTGAGAAAGTTATTGATGAATCGGCAGGTTCCACTGGCAACTTGTCCCAGAAAGGGTTCCTAAATGATTATTGGAGAGTTTAAGCAGCATTCCTTGTGTTTAATGACATCTAGCCAGAGTTTCAGGTCTCTCCCTCTCAGCTTAACCAAGCCACACCCCTTCTCCCCAAAGATTATCACCTTTTTATGAAACCCTGGGTTGAAATTAAACTGGGCACGGGAGGGGCAGTTGCTGTTTGTAACATCAATTCCACCAAGCTAACAAGTTCCTTTCCTTCCATGATAACCCAGGGATGTCAACAATGCCATCATGGAGATGCTGATCATGACCTATGCCTGCAAGACGTCCAGCGCCAACTCCATCGTTGGTGTCATTCCCTACCTGCCCTACAGCAAGCAGAGCCAGATGAGGAAACGGGGCTCCATTGTGGCCAAACTGCTGGCCACCATGCTGTGTAGAGCAGGTACAGAGAGGGACGAAAAGAAATATATGAATTTTGGTTCCTGCAGCGCCAAAAAAATCTTTGGAAAGTCATGCGATGTCATTTTCAATTTGCGAGTCTCGAAAAGTCATACATAGTTGGCAGAATAAGCCAAATTTTTTATACCAGAAAGGGAAAGATAGCCAGGGATGAACTTTTGTACCCAACCTCTTTATCATTTGATGTACCATACAATTTGATGTTGTTCTTGTGCGGCCCAACAACGTACAAGTTTGGTGGTTTAATATTTTTTAGCCAATGTTAGTATGTGGAATAACACTGGCAACTTCCCCCGTATCAAAACTTAATTGTACAAAATGAAGCTTTTTTACAACACTCATGCATGTCCAGATTTGGTGTTATTTATTCATCTTATGTGAGAGTAAATCAAAACAGACAATTGTTTTGACATTTAAATCCATCCAAATGCAATAGAAAAGAGACTGGCAAGTCTTGAAAAACTGGTTTCTGTCCAGTAAATTTCATGAGCCACTGGACTGTCATTCCAGTGATTGTTTTAACAAAATTTAAATCTTGGATGGGAAAGACCTTTTTACATGTAAGTTCATTTATTTAGTTAATTGCGTCTTTGTTCAATGTCGTTTACTTAAAAAGCCATTTTCATAGCTCGAAAAAAGGCAAATACATTTTGAACATGCTCTCATGTAGTTAAAAGATTAAGAGGTTCTGTGCCATCAATGTCCGTGTTGATCTGATGTCCTTCATGTTACCATGGCAACAGGCATGGACCACGTCATCACCATGGACCTCCATCACAAAGAGATCCAAGGATTCTTTGATGTTCCAGTAGATAATCTCCGAGCCTCCCCCTTCCTTCTGCAGTACATCCAAGAAAATGTGAGTCACTCAACAATGAGCACAGAGAATAGTATGCAATGCCTGAATAAATCCTTTTTGTCTGTGCCGTTATTTTGCTTTGTCGCTTTAATGTAAACTAACAACACAAAAATTTCACATTCTGACTTAGGTCATTTTGAAACAGCCATTCCTGTGTTTGTAACAACCTGCTTAAGCATTTGACAACCTGTTAAATTTGTTTCTATCTGAACAATAACTATCACTTTTCGAATTTGGAAATTTCCTAAAATCTGACCGAAAATAGAAAGTGTTTCATGTTTATCAGTATCGCCCCAAATTTTGCATGTTCGTGTGAATACCCAGATGGTGCCTAACTCATGCATGTATAGTATTGTATTCTTGCTTTGTGTGAAGAGCCGTAACTAAGCCTTCCACGCTCTTACGCTAAGTTTTTTGGTGTTTTCAGTGGCATGTATTCATTGGTCTTCACTGATTACACCAAATTCATGACACTTGATCGCTGACCCGCCCATTGGATGACAGAAATTTATTTGGGTGTTGTTTAAAAAACACTAATTACATTTGTTGTTCTGGAGTAGGTTTCTCACCAGTCAATATGACTTGTCAATATTCTTCTGCGTGGTGTGCATTTGAGGGTTAACTCTCAAAGGTTCAGACCATTCAAAATCTGTAGGGAAGTTACGGAAGATTTTGCAGGATTGAGCATCGTAGAGCCAAACCCATACTTAACACATCTGCTATGTGTAGATTATGTGATGAGGGGTTGGCCAAGTGCTTGAAGACCTGAAGAAAACCATACCAATCCTTTGATTAAAGTAAAAAAGTGCCTTCCTAATGCCATGTTGGGCGAGTCATGGAGCTGTCAAACACAGCATTATGACAATCATGGAAAAAATTTTGCTGAACAAAACCAGGATACCAGCCAATGTATTCTATGACATATATGTATCTCATTTTGACTGGTTCTCTCAACTTCACTGCTGAATTTTGCAGTGTACATAAATTTACAGATGCATCCTCTGATTCAATCCAAAGTCTTTGCGGATTAGGTTTTAAATTTTGAATTTTGGTTTCTTTTAATACCTCTGTCTTCAGATACCGGACTGGCGGAATGCTGTCATTGTGGCCAGGAACCCTGGCTCAGCCCAGCGAGCCACGTCGTTTGCTGAGCGACTGCGGCTTGGCCTGGCTGTCATCCACGGAGAACAGAAAGTCCCTGAACAAGACAAGATTGACGGACGGCACTCACCGCCCACCGTCAGGACTTTCTCTGGCCATAGCCTTGACATGTTACCATGTAAGTCAAGCCTCTTTTATCACTCTCTTCTGCATTCCAACACTTCCTGTCTTCTCTCTACGTGTTAAAACTGGTTACCACATACAGCTCATGCAGGTCGCCAGTGAAATTTGAGTGCTTCCCACAGCTCTGTACAGTGCTCTTGTGTTACAGTTCTTGAATTCACTGTGATCCAGTCGGCAACAGAGAGACAAGTGCTGTAAAACCAAGTTTCAAGGATCTTGGAGAAATACGAAAAAACCTAGAAACCTCTTCATTTTTTTAAGGGTTCAAGACAATTTTGATGTGTTAAAGACTACCAAGGTTAAGATGAGAATTCAAGGAGAAAATACAGCTCAGCACAGTTCCTTAGCTTGTATTTATTTTTCTTTTTTCTCCACAGTAATGATTTGTTTTACAAATGATCATTTTGGTCACTTTGATGCTTTGTTGACAGTATTTACACCGAAAGAGAAACCCCCTATCGACGTTGTCGGGGATGTTGGAGGTCGCATCGCCATCATTGTTGTAAGTGTCAAAAGTTCATTTTAAGCAAGTGTAGGGCCAGATTTGTGCTGTCGCTGTGTGTTGAAGATGTCATTGAATGCATTTTGCTCGCCAAGTGTCCTCAGCTGATGTTTGTCTTATGAAAAAGTGGTATTGTTAAACCTCCAGGGACACACCGTTGTCTTGAAGATGGGGGAGAATGTAAATTTTGTACTTTTGATGTGTCCCTTATTGACGTTGCCTTTCTTTTTCTGTCGTTATTTTCAGGATGACATGATCGATGAAGCTGAGTCCTTTGTGGCTGCCGCTGATGTCCTCAAAGAAAGAGGCGCCTACAAGATCTACGTGATGGCCACCCATGGCATTCTGTCAGCTGACGCCCCCAAGAAGATAGAAGAATCCTGCATTGACGAGGTAAGTTAACATTTTTGCCTCTCTCCAGTTTTTTTCTAGTTTCTGTTTTCTGGAAAGAGACTTTATACGTGTCTGTTGTAGATTGATATTAATTTTGTTTTAATGGTAAATATTAGATATGTGCTGGTAGTATTGCTAAAAGCCAGTTATCAATGCATGCAAGATTTTTGGAGTGTTCATGGCTTTTTCTCTGGAGATGATTTTGGGCATGCATTTTCGTACATAGAGTGCAGGTGTCCGCTTTGACCACATTGACACATATGCTACAAGCATTCTTCGTGTGCTGAAGTTCCGAATGCCTTAACATCAGCTTGCAATTGATAAAGTACTGATGAAGATTTCCGCCAGGCAATTTTTGTGTGTACGTGCAGACTTGAAGGCATGCATGTGTATTACATGTACATGGACTGTTTGCTGTACCCCAGCGGAGGGTTTTTGACAGTTACAGTTGCATCATATTTTAAACAGCATTAAAGCATGCGCGATAAAGAAAGACATATCAAATACACAGTTTATGTTATTTGAAAAAAAAACGAGGGGAACTCTTAATAGCAAAGACCGGACTTCCGGGAAATTTGATAAGGAGAAATGTGATAAGGCAGTTACATATGAAGAACTTTCCCAAATTTTATGTTGAATTGCGAATATTAAGTTCATGACTCTTGAGGGAGTGAAGTTTTGTCCGCATAGTTCTTACGTACTTTCTCCTTGCTTTTCTGGGGGAAACGGTGGATTTTTCCAAAGTACTCAAAACAGTTGAGTTTATTAGGTTTTCATTTACCTCTGTAGACTATTGGTTGCCTTTTTGGTGATGTAATAAACTAGATATTAGACCATTGTACAGTTGTCCCAGTGGAATGTAACAAGTTCCACTGTGTACTTCCCTAAATATTACTGCAGTTGTGAGGATTTGATGAATTCTAGTGGGTACCCTCAGTCTGGGTCTGAACTTTGAAGACAAGTATGTCATACATGTGTGTATGTTTGTCAAAATTAGTAAAGTTTCTGCAGAGAGTTTTGTCCAATATTAGCTCAAGAAATGTATCCAGTCCTTGCAATTGAAGGCCTTTCTGTATGTGCTACATACCAGTACATGTACATATGTTTTGTAGACCTGCAATTTTTGTGTATGCAAGTTTTAACAGTTACTGACATGTCCAGGCAGCCCAGACTCTTCCGAAGATTCATTGAAAGTTTGAACTTGGAAAATTTGGACAGATTTTTAGGATATTCCACGGAGTTAACTTTTTGCCCATCTCGTCTCAGGTTATTGTCACTAATACAGTGCAGCACGACCTGCAGAAATTGCAGAGCAATAAGATCCGAACTGTCGATATCAGTCCGTCCCTTTGTGAAGCCGTACGTCGAATCCACTACGGCGAGTCCATGTCCTATCTGTTCCGCAATATAGCCATGGAGGACTAATCCAGCTCGCCATCTAGTGTGCTTAGGTATTACACAGTTGCTTGTGTGATGAGTGACTAGCCTTCTCTTATCAATGATATCGATATTAATCTTTAAATTCCATCACAAAGTACACCACCTTTCTGTGGATGTGCACATCACCTTACACTCTTTGTTCCAAACATGGGGATATGTACAAAGATTTTTTTCCTTCACCAAATTGAGTAAGGTTTCACCCTCGAGCCACTGATGGTAACACTGCTGAGAAACAGTCTTTGCCCCTCCATCCATGTCCGGTGTTGGTCCTCTGCAAATTTGTGTTTTGAAATTATGAAAACAAATGTCGATTTGTGATTTTAAGTTGTGGCAATGAGGGAAAAGAACATTCTTCCAGGAATTGGTGACAGCAACAATGAAACAATTGATGGCACTCTGAAATTTTATAGTTTTCAACACTGCACAGAGCGTAAATTTATCTTTTCTAGATAATACTGCGATGATGGTCCTAATATTGCTTCCTGTGCTGTCCGAGAAAAAAATTTGGACCGATAAATATGGATTTTTATCATGCAAAGGCAGTGAATTTGTGTTGTAACTAACAGCTGGTATTCTATGCATACTAACAATGGGATTCCTCCCGCTGGTTTGTGTTCATCCTAATGCAGTGTGATTTGTCATGGTTTTGCTGCGACTCGAGTGGTCATCACCATGCAAATAAGGAAGACTAACCTCTCGATTCAGTAACACTTTCCAGTGGGCTCATTGGCTCTGTATTTGCCAGCAAAGTGATTTTGTAATCGAGGTGAAAAAAAATGCATTGCCTCAGTTACCAGATTATGCTACAGCAAACATGGTGGCTAACCACTGTTGGCTAGTTGTCTTCTTTTCTGACTAGACCAAAGCAATCCGTCACCGTAAACAACAACACCAACATTGTGTAATGCTAAATGTGATCCAGTAAAATCTTGACCTTGTGCTACATTAGCCAATCAGAATGTACCACTCATTAGAGCGATGAAGCTCCTTTCACGTGGTTTCCATTGAGCCGGCTGAGTAATGCTATTTCTGTTGAATGGCAGGAAATAAGAATTCGTTAACATTTTCTTTCGTCCAGTTTTCAACTTCACAACAAACACTAGGACATCTATACACAATTATTTAATACGTATATATCATTTTTACTACTAGGGAGATTTTAGGAGTTAACAATTCATGTAAATTGTGTTTCAAAGTATTAGCCTTCCTGCACAAATCTTCTTGATGTTTGAATGTTTCATGTTTTTCCATGTATTGGAAACCTGAAGAAACAACATGTATGACTTTCATTTGTATATGTGTACAATCACCAGCTAACCAGCTATAAAACCATGGCTGAGCAAAAATAAAATACTAGACAGAAATATCATTCATGGCGAGCACTCATTCGCTACAAATGGCCGATCTAGTTGTTATGCATGAAGCATGATCCGTTGCTAGGGAATGTGCATTGACCGAAGTCAACATTACATAACACTTTGCAGGTGTTCATTCCTGAGAGTGGGTGCTTTGTTGTATTACACATACCTACATGTACCTGTCCATCTAGCAGCAACATCCCATGGGAACCAAACTACTGTGGCAAAATTTTCTTTGTGGATGCTGGGTGTATGGTAGCAATAATGCATTCAAATGTAAAGGTTGCATGTACTCACAGCCCATTAACAAATTTAAACAGCAGTAGAAGTTGCCGGTGGAACATTCGCCATCGAGGTCATATTCTGTTTTTTAACTTCTATGTACATTACAAATTATTGGTTCTTTAAATGAAGGGAGCAAAAACTAATTTTGTTTTATTGTGTGTCTTCAGCTTTATTTTTTTAATCAGTTAATTTTGAAGTAAATTGCCAAACTGAATTTGACCAGCAGAAAAAGGTCCATAGAAAGTAATAAAATATCTGATTAAGAAAATGTTCTCAAATTTCATGATAAGCAGAATATTATGCAGAATGTTCTTATTAGCATTCATACACGGGAACTATCTGTAGTGCCAAAAGAAGCCTGAATGTACCAGTGACTGCCAGTGCCGTGAACTTTCCTCAATCCAGTACACTTTGTCACTCTACAGGAAGTATAATGGCACGTGCTTTGTACTCTGTAGCATCAAGCCCTTGTGTGCTGGTTGGGCTTGTATTTCCTAGAGACAGTGATATTTTTACCATGTCACAGTCTTGTGATAGATTCTGGTCCCACCTCCAATCTTGACTTCCTAATAACAGTTTTTTTTCTGTCTCTTAAGTTAAGCACCCTTGTAAAGATCCTTGCACCTTTTACATCTTAAGTTTTGGTGCAGTTGGGAAAGGTTTAGTTTTTGTAAGTCACATTGGTTCATGCATAAACACTTTTCATCCGTCATCAGAAAAAGTTTCTGCCACTCGTTATCAAAGATGTTGCATTTCACATAGAGGGTTCATCCAGTGATTTCCTTCAGTTAGTGTAAAAATTTCCTCAGTGTATCTGAGAGAATTGTAATCATCAATTGGTCTTCAGTACTTGAAGAGAAACTCTAAGGAAAACATGTTTTCTCTGATTTCATCTGTTCAAATAGATATGGAAGCATCCAAATTTAATTCAGTGTCATTTGTCTTCAGAGTTCAACTATAACAAGCTTGCAAGCATGCAAATTCTGAATGTAGATTGCATCATTCTGAGAAAACAGAGAAAACGAGGGGAACCCTCGCCCTTTGTTCATAGTGGATAAACCCTCGTGCATGCCAAACAATGGCTACATGCATAATGTGGCATGTTCAGGGCTTATCCACTATGAACACAGGGCAAGGGTTCCCCTCGGTTTCTCAGAATGATGCAATCTACATTCAGAATTCATATCTTGCATAAAAAAAAGCCCTTTTAAGCTTGTTATAGTTGAGCTCTGAAGACAAATGACACTGCGTTCGATTTGGATGCTTCCATATTTATTTGAACAGATAAAATCAGAGAAAACATGTTTTCCTTAAGAGGTTCTCTTTAAACTGTCCATACAGATTACTTTTTATTTCGTTACTTCATGCCACACATTAATGCATTGTTTTTGCTTTCTCATTTTGTTTTATATTCTGCATCTTCGTCACATGCTTAACCCGAGCACAGGTGGTCATCACCAACACCTTGCCCCACGAACTCAAACGGTTCCAGTGCACCAAGGTGCGCTCCGTGGACATCAGTCTGGTCATCGCCGAGTCCATACGTCGCATCCACTACGGCGAATCCATGTCCTACTTGTTCAAAAATGTTCCCAATGAGGATTAGCCAAATATTTTGTGGCAAGTTTTTTTTTATTTGAAGATGGAAAGACACCATCTTGGACTTTATTGTAAGTGATTGGAAGAAAGATTTAGGAGTGAAATTCCCAAGACTAGTGCTCAGTCACGAAACCATCTTCATTTTTCTGCTAAAGAAAATATTCCATGCTAATCCCAAGGCCATGCCAAGTGTAAATTTTCATAAGTAGACCCTCAAATTACAAGTCGGAAAAGACACTGTGCCCTTAATTTGGCATGATCTCTTCAGTTGTGATGGACTGCTGCTGTAACTAGGTCTTAACAGGTATTCGTAAATACCTGGGACAGTTTTTCTATTCCTATTGGTTGAAACAAGTCATTTGACCATGTATTAACATTTGATATTGCCCACCGAGGGGTGATAGTGTGTAAATCACGCACTGGCACGTGGATATGAGATAGTTTAATCAAGTCATTAAAAAAATTCTATTGGACAACTTTCAAAAGGAATATACCATAAAATGGACGGGGGGTGTTCGAGAAAATGAAAGTAAAATTTTAGGACAAAATCATCGGAAATCCATCACATGTTGAATTCTTTTGTCTCTCTGAATTAAAAGGGAATTATGAATGGGAATAAAATATGCTTGGCTGGTCTTAAACTAACATTTAAGATCGACCAGTCCCGTACTGCGTAAGTTGGCACTCAGCTAACCTGTGCTATATTAAGGGAATAAATATGTGCTTAACCGGTCTTCAACTAATGTTAAGACTGGCTTAGGAGACTGAACGCTGATAATGCCCTCATCTGCAGCTCAGACATTAGTCGCGTCCATTCTTCTGAGCTAGTCTTAAATGCACATTTAAGACCAGCCAAGCACATATTTATTCCCTTAATACAGCACAGGTTAGCTTTATGCCAACTTATGCAGTACGTTACACGCATACAAATCTCCAAATAAGGAGATTGTTCATGACTCTCTTAAGAGGAACATACCATAGCATAGCAAGAGGAGTGTTTGAAAAAAAATGAAATAGAATTGTTGAACCAAATGGTGGGTGATACATGATTTTCAAAAGTTGTTTTACTGTGAATCAGAAGGTATTTATAAATGGAATAAGTACAGTACATGCTTGCTCGGTCTTAAGACTGGATCAGGAGAATGGACGCAATTTTTCGAAGGCAATGGACATCATCAGCATCCAGTCTCCTGAGCTTGTTTTCAGCATATATTTAAGACTGACCAAGCACATATTTATTCCCGTATTTATAGTACACCCAGGATTGCTTGTACCAGCCAAAATTAGTTTCATTGGAACTTTATCATAAATTTGGCCTCACAAACTAAAAAATACGATGGTGAGAAGTGGTCTAAGTGTCCTGGAACTTGAACTTTTGTAAAAGTATTTTGCTGTGTACATTGTAAATGTGTCAATATCAAAACCCTCAGTAAACTCAACTCATGTCAGTTTGTAGCATTCCCCCTTGGCTAACTTGCATTCTTAGCAAGCTAGCTGTTTTGAAGGGGTGCACTTAAATTTGTACATCTTTTGTGATCTTTCAACGACACATTCATTATTTACTCCTGTTGCATGTGGGTTGAAAGGTTAGTTTAACGAATTCACATTTTATGTAAGTGTACATGTACAGTAAACTCTGGCTAAGTCGGCACTCTCAAGAAATTATGATGACTTAAGCGAATGCCGACTTGTGTTGTAAGTCGTCATTTTGCCGACTTATACGTACATATGTATTGCCTATGTATATTATGATTCCTTGCACTAATTCAATGGCTTTGATTTACCCTGGTCTATTTCTATCTCCATGGATGATCCTAGCAAATTCGTTCTCAATTATTATCCTCACGGGCTGCAAATTCGATAATTGATCATGTGCCCCCGAGGACGAAGCAAGCTAAGGACGGCAAACCACTTGCATATCACATCACGACTGAACAGTGCAGTATGTACATGTACGTGATACAGTTACGGTACAGAAAACATACACTTATCCACACATGCTCATTGGTTAAGTTCGTTCAATATGGTCTGGATACCACACCCGATGATTCTGACTACCAGACGAATCATTATCAAGAGTCGTCAGGGAATCTTTGGGCAGGGAACCAGACTACGTTCAATGAGGCGACTCCCAAAATGGACAGAGCGCATGTGTGTAGCACTAGAGGGGTTACTGGTATTGATGTACTCATGCTGGCCGCGCAGGGGACTTGTCACTGGACACTTCTTGGCAACCGCGGCGAAGGAAACTGATACCGAAGCATGATTTTTTTAATGCCTACTTACACAAAGGAATTTTTGTGGTTTTGTGGAAAAGGGACCAAGAAAAACATGCCGACTTATACAAAATGGTGACTTATAAATGCCGACTTAGAAATGAAATTTTCAATGGAAATGCATTGCAGACGATCGGGACTTTTGTCAAATGGCTGACGGGTTATGCAATGCTGACTTAAGAGTTTACTGTACATGCATTTCTAGAGGGTCTTTGTTCTGCTTGTTACGGTTTTGTGGATGCCAGTAAGTTGCACGTGCAGCTCAACCATACATGTAAACAGTGTGTACATATGCATTTACATATTCCAGCCCCAAGAATACCATTGAAGTTGGAACTATGATGTACCTCTGGATCCTTTCTGCTTCAAAATTTCACAGATATTTTTGTTTCATTTCATTACTGTTGAAAAAGGGGCATAAAATTCAGTTGTAAACTTGTTAAAAAGGATTGACAGTTTCTTTTTTCTTGCCAGAAGCCTCCTTCCATGTGTAAATTAGCAACCCTTTTCAAATGAAGATGGGAACATAAGTTTCTCTCTTGCCAGAGAAGCGGTGAAAGTGCAGGGACTTGGTGTTTAAGTTTCCCGCAATTCCTATCATTGCGTTCTTAAAACAGGTTCAGTGTGTAAACTTCTCAAGGAATGCCTTTTGCCAACATGTGAGATCTGTGCTCTGTGCCTGCATGTTTGCTTGCAGATCTTTGTTGTGGGTGCTTAATGTTGCTTTCGTGTGTCAAATATTTTTAGCTGAGGGAGCAGTTATGTGTGATTTTGCTTTCATATTTGGCAGAAATTGATCGTGATTTTTCAATGAGTGAAAAACGACAACCGCACATACATGTACCATGGAAACACATACGTAAGTTCATTGTGTACACTTAAGCATTAGGAGAATTATGGAACTGTATTTATTAAGAAATAAATGGATTCACTTTAAGACAGCACACATCACTTTAGAAGGCCTCATTTTATTCCTAATTGACATCTGGTCATTTCTGTTTGAGAATAAGCTTTGAATGCTTAATTTATTTTTACAAACCCTTATTTTCTACACGTTTCCATATATAATTTTGAATTGGCCACAGCCCACAGGATGTACATGTGTTAGCTTCACAACCACAATCTTAGCCCTGTGAGTTTCTTAATCGTATGTGTTGTGAAAGATTTGGAATCATAGCAGGCAAGGTTAAACGAACTCTACAGACACAGGGAAGGTTCAGTTCCAAACATCCAGACTTCCTTTGTCAAAGGGCTTAATATCAATCAGCAGTCTTCATGCAACATATGCCGAGTAATGCCGAGCATGTTGCGTACATTTAAGCTGTTTACAACAAATGATCAGTTTCAAGAAAATTGGTTTAGCTGAGCAGGGTTTGAAATGTGAAACAACTTGGATCGAACAGTTGCAAAATAGTTGAAGGAACTCTATACGACACTTCAGTTTAACTAACATTCTGTGTCCTTCCAAAACAGTTGTGGATCTGTGGTGTAATCCTTTAAAACATTTGATTGAATTAACAGCATAATGATTGGCAATGAACACATTCATTTATGATTTTTATGCCAGTTTAAAGCTGGAACGTGAAACGTTTTGCATCCACAGAACACTAATATGTGGCATCAGGGGTTGTACATCCAAAGCGGACTGCAGATATTTGAAAACTTGATGGTGAAACCAAATACAAAAGGCAGCATTTCAGCCACAAATGTCATTCACTGTAAGATGTGGAGTATGCCCACTACAGAGTCTGCTTTTGCCAGGTCATCTGATTCATCTGATGAGGAAGAGGCGTCATATGTATCTTCAAGATTCTGGTCGCCTGATGTTTCCTGTTGGTCAGCCAAAGAGGTTGAGTTGCTCTCAGCATCCTTCTTAACCTTCTTTGACTTTGACATATGTGATATGAATTTGAGGGATCGGCTGGTTTTCTTTGATGCAGAGTCCTGGAGCGTCTCAAGAATGGCTTCGTCGGTGATGGCCTTGCCTGAAACTAGGAAGCAGAGACACTTTCTTTTCTTTGAGGTTTTGAGTTTCTTGACGGGGCTTTCATCTCCAATTTGGACAAACTGCGCCAGGCCACTGTTCATGCCGGGTTCTTGCCCAAAGAGGTTGAGGAGCTGATCGTCGGTGAGCATTCCCAGATTGCTTCTGGCCTGGCCCGACCTAGAGGAATCCAGAGCCTGCTGTGAGTCAACCTGTGCAGCTGTTTGGCTCTGATTATTGTTCAGTGGGAAGAAGGACTTGTCAATTGCTGGTTGGTTTAGGGGGTATATTGCCGCCTTCTTGAAAAATGCCTGGAGGTTAGAAGGCGAGAGGGCCACAGCGTATGTCTCACAGGCAAGTTTGCAAACAGATTCTGTGTCGATCCCGGTGCAAGAGTTTTCCTGCATGTATCTGTGGCACTCCTGGCTGTAGAGGTGCTCAAAAGGCCCAAAGCAACTGACGTCCCCAGGCTGCAAAGTGTGGCTCATGTGGGCAGGAAGAATGGAGAGTATCATGTGGTGGTCCTTGGCCCAGTCTACCAGGGACAAGGTGATGTGCTCCCTGTGGCCATCATAGAGGATGAGGCAGGGCTTGTCTTTGTCCCCTCCCTGGCCGTACTTCCTAAAGTGGCTCAACAGGTAATCCTTGTAGATGTCTGTGTTAGACCAACCGGAATCACTGACTGTACCACTGGCCCCTGGTGTGCTTCCCTTCAGCAGCTGATGCCTCATCCGGTGACCTGGGAAAACAAAATAGGGCGGTATTTGGCAACCCAAGGCATCCCCGCAGCCAATAATGGTCACAGCAAGCTGCCAATCTGCTCCGCCATCTGCCTGGTATACCTTGACGCTCTTCTCGTCCAGGCTAAAGATACGCTCAGGAGTGTCTTCCAAGCCGTGCACAGCCAGCAGCTGTGCCAGCCCTGTGTAGTATTTGGACACAGCCTCCCGAGAGCTAGCCTTGACTCTCCTGGAGTCCAGGCTGCGCTGGTGGTGACTGGTGACATTCAGCGTGGGCCATCTCTTCACAAAGCTGCCAAACCACCTGTTGGATAGCGGGTGGTCGCTGTCCCGCTTGCTGAGGCTCAAGGCGTACTTATTTGCTGCATCCATCACCTCTGTCTTTCCAAATGAATACCCGCAGTCCATCATCCTGTTCAGATGCTCAACCAAATGGGTCTCCTCCTCTAAGCTAAATATGGGATCTGCTACTGATCCAGAGATCTTGGATGCATTGTTTTTGCTCAACCGCGACCGGATGGTTGATTCTGGCAGGCCATATTTGCGAGCGGCCCCCCTTATTGTTTCCCCTCCTTCTTTGACAGCACGGTATGCTAGGGCCATGGTGGAAGGTGAGTAGGGGTGGGGCTTTGAGGTCAATTTTTTCATTTTCTGGAGGGGAAAATATAAAATATAATTTGAATTATTCCTCAGTCCTTTTAAAAATAAAACATCTAGCACAATAGTCACCTTGGCTTTAGGCTTAGCTACATGCACGATGTACATTTATTTTAAATTTTTGGCTACTAAAATGGACAATATATACATAGTCATAAAGTGGTTGGTTTGAATTTCCCCAAGGTGTTTTGCTTTTATCTTTTTACCTCCCATTGAGAAGTTGGGTTGTACACATCTTGTTACAATGCATATTATTTAAGTTTTAAAGGTACTTCTCATGATTTTCATTTGTTCTACAGGGCGAAAGGAACTTGGAACCATATCTATGAGTTGTGTTCCCCCACATACACAATTTCTTGTATGATTTCACTTATATGCTGGAAATGACAGAATCCCGTACATTCTTCCATTTGGAAACTTCTGTTACCAGAAACAGCAGCACTGTGATATACATGTACCTTCCTCTGCCTGTTGCTTCTTGAAGAGCCAGTGAATTGTCCCACACTGTCGTCTCTCTGCACTGGTTCCAGCTTGGCATTCCCACAGACTCTGCACATGTTGACAAACTGTTGTACTGCGCTGCGGGGAAGGCAGGCATAGGTCTTTCCAACCTGATGAAAAATCAGTGATGCAGGGGTACTAAATGTAAGCTGAGGTGTTGGAATTGATGAATGTTTTGTGGATTCTCACATTCTTGTTTACCTTTTCAGGGGGACAGCTTTTGGCTTTAAGAAAAGAGGTTCAAGTGAAATGAGATTTTACCCATTCCTATATGAATACATACATTTGTCGGCATTCCAAGTGGGGGAGTAGGACTTGAGACTTGTAGAAGGTAACACTGTTTCATTTGTATCCAATACGGTCGATTCACAAGAGTGCCCCTTCAAGAGTTGGCAATACGTTGGCCAATCTCAATGCGCAAAATTTGTCGACCCAGTGAAGGTTCCGAAAGGGTTGACAAATTTTGTGCATTGTGATTGGCCAACGTGTTGCAGACTCTTGGGGGTGCACTATTGTAGATCCCCCGTATTGAGAAAAACATACATGTATACATGTACCCTGTACCTCTCTCAGCACTGTTTTGTAGCCACCACGGTGATTGAGGGTATCTTCGTGAATCTTCAGCAAGAGGCTGTGGAAATCTTCCACAAATGCAACACATCGCCATGCTCCAAACAACCCATCAGCTGCATCATTGAGTCCATCAGTCTGAAGGAGAAGTGACAATGTCAATTTCATGAACTAATGTCACAATACTGAGTGGGGGAAGGAGTGCTGTATCTTGACACGTCTTATCTTCCTTCATACAACTTCACTTATTTAGGAATCAAACAAGTTTTCTTTGAATACGCGAATTGTCGTATCGGTGCTAAAAGGCCCTTACTGAAACAATGCGATAGAAAACATATTAGAAGGCCCTACGAGTATTTTCAAAAATTACTCTTTTGCCGAAATGACCGCACTGAGCCGATGAAATGTTAAAATTGGCTTTTTAACATTTAGACATGATCAGACGATAGTCGCACAACCATGTCCAGATGTTAATCCCGTCCTAGTTACTCCATACACCGTAGTTGGTGTATGTATGTACATGTAGTAATAGTGCATGGGTGATTTTGTACAATGACATGGCAGAAAGGTACCAAGGGAGGAAAAAGGGGGAAAACATTGCCCCTCCTTCCTTCCCACAATGCCTTTCTAACATTGTGCAAAGCCATCGAATGAGGACTAAAAACTACAAGTTAGGCTAGCCCAGGTTGGACGTTGTTTTCATTCCAGTATGGTCAGGGAGTCCACCTGCTACAAGTTAGGCCTAGCATTGATGGCCTAGTCATTCTTCATTTTCTTGAAATTCTGGCCAAGAGCCAGGCTCCACCTTTTCCACAATTTCAAACATGTGGTTTGATTCATCTGCATCTCAAACAGTCATACCTTGGTATTTTTCCGCGGTAGGCACAGCACATCCTGCAGTCCGAGCTCTGGGAACTGTCGCAGTTGAAGCCCCTTCCTCCGAACCCAATATTTAAACTTGTCGTCCGCAGTATCGAATCCCCTCAAGCATTGTATTATTTTCTCCCCTTTGGCCCTCCTGATAGTTTTACTGCTGTTGCTGCTAGTCCTGACAAGAGGAAAATGGAAATCGCAGAATGCATTGAATTCCTTGATGTCAACACAGCAGTTCGTTTCGGCCTCAGCCGAAATTTCGACCACTGTTTCGGCCACAACAACAGACTCTTCTGCCATTTTGAGATGTTGCCATAGCCAGCCGAGCCTGCTGTGGCTCGGCTGCGGCTTTAGTTTGGTTCGTCGTATGGCCATGGTGGGATAGAATAGCCGTAGCCGTTTACACTGGTTCCGCAGCGTACGTGCGAGCAGTTTCGCTGTTCGCACTTTACAGTGACAGATGAGGGCGCTACGAAGAGCTAACTTTGAGCGTGAACTCGACTCGACATGCTGAGTGATTGTGCGTAGATTTTCCTACATGTACAGTAGCTGAACTGACATTCTCCTGCGCTTTCTACAAGCAGTTTTGAAATTTTCGTCTGGAAAACCTCAGTACTGTACATTTTGTGAAATTGCGGGGCATTAGTTGTGGTCGTTTTGGTTGTGTGGCAAGGTGGAAATGAATTTTTTTTACAATTTTGAGCGCACTTGCAACAGTAACTTGATCGTGGGGTGAGAGACCTTTCTGATGTGATATGAAATTTTTGACAATGGCAAGTCCAGCTTCACCCTCAGAAATCAGCACTAAAGGGGCAACGGTGTTTAAGTGTTGTGACTGCGGCAAATCTTTCCCATCAAAGTGCAAACTTGACTCGCATATTAGCGTTCACAGGAAGTGTGAGAAAATGCAGTTCAGTTGTGAGGTGTGCTTAAAACAGTTCCGGCAGAAGTCGGGGCTGCAGCAACACCAGAGGACGCACACCCAGGAGAAGCCATACCTGTGCCACTACTGCGGACGTACTTTCTCACAGATTGGGAACCTTAAAACCCACAGTCTGCAGCACACTGAGGAGATGCCCTTCGAGTGTCAAACCTGCGGGGCGCGATTCCGCAATGGAGGCAACCTCCAGAAACACAAGCAGGTGCATGCTAATGCCTTCACGTGCGGGGAATGCAGCAGAACCTTCAAGGATGCGGACCGTCTCCGAGGCCACCAGCTGCTCCATGGCAATGCCAAGCCTTTTACCTGCAAATCCTGCGACAAGGCATTTGTCAGCAAGAGCAAGCTCGCGGCGCACGCCCGTGTCCACACCAAGGAGAAACCCTTTGCTTGTGACCTGTGTGGTAAGGCCTTTACCCAGAAGAGCAACGTCAAGCAACACCAGAAACTCCATGCCAATGAAAGGGCTTTCCTCTGCCATACCTGTGGAAGGAGTTTCACCCAGAAGGTTAATCTACAGAACCATCTGGCCAATCACGCCAGGGAAGAAAAATTGGCTCAGGGAAATTGCAGTGAGGTGTTCGGTACTCAGCTCAATCAGAATAAGCACGAACAAAGTCACATGAGAGTTGAACCAGTGCAGTCGGGCGAGTCATTACTCAATGCTCACATGAACGACAGTTTCAATCAAGTGGACGGGTTGGAGCAGTGCAGTGTGAATCATTCAATCCAGGAGCAGTTTGCCGAGAGTCTGGATAATGATGAACTGGAGAGATTGATGCAAGAGGCACTCTTTAAACCTGAACTGTGGACAGAAGTGAGGGATGGGCTTGATCACACTGTTTAGCTGCAACTGTACAACAGTTTACAGTAAATTTAGTGGACTTCCAAGATAACCATATCGAGCCTTACAACCATCAACAGTATTTAAAAAAGTCAGTGGGGGAATTTTGAATTGAGTATTTACATAGAAATTTGTTGGGCACAATCAGTCGATCTGCTTAATCGCACTGTGTTATCAATAATGTATGAAATCTCTTACATGTACTCTAACCTTTTTCAAAGCAGTCTTTCACAATCATAAATTGGACAGAAAAGGCAATTGGCTGATAGTGGAATTATCAGTAAATCATGCAATAAAATTGACTGATTACACAAAGATTGAGCCATCACGCAGATTGACTGATTGTGCACAACACTTGCACACATACATGTATCCATGTATGCGTGACACTTGCACGCATGTATGTATATAAGTGTATAGATTTGTGTTTCTCAGTTTCACCTGTTGAGATTTTTATTTTCAGGAATCTTTGAAACAATACAACAATAAATGACTTGACCCTCTTATGCAAAGACACATCCTTGACACAGTTGTCATATCAGTCAAAATCTGTCAAATTCCCCATATGTGTCTGTGTACGGGGGGAAATCAAGTGGAAGGAATTTTTGATGGTTGCAGTAAAAGGAGGGTTAAAGTACAAAAAAGATAAATCTCCCTTAATTTTTTAAAAATCATACAGTTGCTGATTTTCATGCCAGACTAGTTTGATGAATCATTCCCAAAAAGTACATTAGGTTACCGAGTTTCTCACTTTCTATTAAATTTGCACTTACTATATCTGTGAGGGTCCCAGAGAACCATCATCTTTTTTAAAACAACCCCCGTTATCTTAAACTTTTGACATAAGTATACTAAAACAAGTTTTATGAACCTTCACAGACCCATTGTTTGACAATTATGGTTCGGATCTGTTCTCCACTCACTGAAAAGCTTACTGCTGTTAAGGTACTGTATCTGGCCCATGATTGTGATGGGTTTCTGAACAGAAACTGGTCGGGTACAGTGCTTCTGCTGTTAGGGACTTTCTGAGTCTATTTATTTATATCTGATCATCCCAACATTGCATTTGTGTCAATTACAGGATGATAATGAGTGAAGAAGACATGGTCTGATTGATGTCTTTATTTCCTGACAGCATCAATTTAGGCCAGACAGAGCCTATCCTGGTTACTGATGGAGATCTTCAGTTTAAAACATTTGATGAGCACACTTTACATGCACTTGGCACCTAGTTGTATTAAAATTGAGCTCACTATCTCCATAATGTTCAACTTGAACTTGTCTTTTGACAAGTTTGACGTGGTTCATCAATAATTCAGTCAGGTTTGGCCTTGGCAGAGGTCTTGAGCATCGTTACAAGCAGAGCCACAGTTCCTGCTACAGTTGCCAATATCGTTACCGTGGTGACAACCAAGGTGTGATGCTGCTGCCCAATGGGAACGTCAAAATGCAACACACTGTTCTCCTGTTGGGCCAAGAAAAGTACATGTACCACAACTGTAAAACGTTTCTAAAGGTATATTCATACCTATGCCAAAAATACTGGTAGAAATTGGGAAACAATCAGCGTACATGTACTTGCTGTGAAAATTTGCCCATGACTGGCACAGTGGCTATTGACACGTACATGTAAACACTTGGTTGCAACTTTCAAGTCAACTTTAAAATTTGAAATCATATACCCTGATTTAAAAAAAAGAAGTGGTTTTGGTTGTAGACTACAAAACACTGACCACAGCAGGCCTTCAAATCAGGTCACCGTGGTGAGAAGAACCACTTCACCACCACCCAAACCCCATTCCTAAACACACCTTGGGATTTTGTGGTAAGAGCCTCCACAGACAGCTGGTCTTGGAAGTTGCATTGCATGGGGCTCTGTACAGCAGGCCTGATAGATCCTCATCTGTTACATGTGTCCCAATGGCAGATGTCCCTGCAGTGTCATTCATATTGGAAACCATCAATACATGCATTGTTGCCTTCCTCCGTATTTGTGCATGACTTAAAATCTACTGTAGTCGTACAAGACATCAAAGTAGTGCACTTTATTTTTTTTAATTTGTGTGTTGGAGTGGGATTCGCATTTCCCCCCAAACTGCCACATTTTAATCCTGATTTCAAAGTCTATTTTTGAATTAGTGTCTTGTCTGAACATTTTGCCCTGAGCAATTTATTGGGGTGTCTCAGAGTTGTAACCAGAAGGGCCACTGTTCATTATCAACTTGATTTAAAGCCTTTCAAAATTGTTCATCAGAGGCGTACAAGTGTGCCTGTAAAAAGTTACATTTGTTTTCCATTTTACTCAAGCAATCAACTTCTTTGCGTCAGGGTTGTCTGATCTAAACCACCTTGATTTAAATCACCGATTTCAATCAAATGATTTTTTGAAAAAAAATCACCGATTTAAATCAACATTCAATTTTTTGGGTAAAAAGGCAAAATTTTTCAATTTTTGATTTGACATTTTGAAATTAAACAGCAAATTCCCCCTCTGTGAGCCTTCCAGTTCCGAGTGTTAAGGATGTATGAATTCTACACAAAATCTGGGTTGGCAAGATTTTGTGTTCAATTCTGTCCAAATTTTCCCCTATCCATTCATATAAGTTCCATATCAATATTTGCAGTAGTTAGGGATATATCTGCCAAAGGAAATACAAGTTTGTGTCGAACTGCCTATATTTTTTGGATTCAGTAAGTGTATTTGATGCGAAGGATTTACAATCATGATTTAATTTTACTTCATTTAAATTGCCCACTTCAGAGTTTAACCATAAAGGACACAGGAGTTAGAACTCTGGCACATCAAAGTGCTCGATGAGCAATGCCGCCCAGTTAGACAAACAATAGGTAAACATTCCAAAAATGCCTGATCACTGCCTGCAGCTTAGCCAGTAATATCCCAGCAATATTTTGTGTATTTTGTTTGCAATTAACTACAACTTATCACCGTGACCAGGAAATAGAGAGCAAAAAGTCTCTAATATTAGATCTACTTTTGCCATCGTGAATAAACTTTTTACTTTGATACGCTGTTCCATTATCCATGCAATGTTTGTAATTTTATTTTGTCTTTCCAAAACATAAGTGTTCAAAGTCTTTGTACAAATTTGGCTAAGACTGGCCAACACGTTGACCATCACTGGACAGTTAAGTTCATAACGAACAAAATGCACAATGCTCATGAAATACCTATTTGTATAAATGCCATAATGATAATGATTCAAATAAAACATAATATCTTATAAACAACTTGGCTATTCATTCCCAAAACTCCAGAAGAAAGCGTTTGATACTGGCAAATGGTAATGACTGTGCATGAACACTAAAGGCACACAGCCTAATACAAGCAACTGCACAAGCATTAAATTTGATGTTGTTTTCAGGTCATACCAAGCACCACCAATGGCATGAATATTCAACTTCCTATACTGCAGTGTACGTTTTAAGGATGCAGATTACCAGTGAAAAATTGCGGCGATGATCTTGGGGTACAAATGGGGCTTATGGTTGTGAAACTGGTGGTGCGTAGCAAGCATTCGCTGTGTTCTGGCTATGGACATACCGGGCATGCCAGAAAGCGATAATTGGTCAGATGTTATAGCCCAGGCAGTTCCAACTCCTTCTGTGTCCATCCTCCATGGTGAACATATCAGTGTACATCAACCTTTTACATATCTTCAAGTATACGTGTATTTTATTGAGATTAGAAACGTTAGTCCTTAACGTTGCCCTTACATGTAATAAAGTGATTTGTAATCAAGCCTAAATCATTGCTCTGTGGAGCTGGATCACTAACAAAATGAGACTGCTTTTTGCACGTACATGTAGAGCAAAGTAAATTACCAGCATTTTGTACAGGCATGACAGGTGCACATGTAGCATGCAAAATAAATGCATGTACTTGCTGCTCACTGCATGTTTCTCACTCATTAGTCATTTGATGCATTCATAAGTATCTTATTAACAAATTCTTGTGAACTCTACTTTTGTCAAAACTTCGGTATGCACTTTATCCCTGGTATATATGTACGTGCATGTACTTCTCTCTGAATGAATTGTCTTCTCTGCGGTTACATGTACCGGTAGGTGGTATATTGCATGCATTTCGTTAAGGACAAGACATGGTGGTTTGTGAATTTAATCAAATTACTTGATTTAAATTTCTTAATTTACATCCAAATTTGTTAAATTTTGTAACAAAACAAATAAATAAAAGAAAACTATTACACATGCAGCTAATTTGCTTTCTTTTGAATAGACATTTGAGCCAACTTGTCTCAAATTTTTATAAAAATGAAAAAAAAAATCAACAACCCTGCATTGCATAATGTGTTACGATTTCTGGCAAAAACATAAAACATCTGACTTGCCTGCCTTAAAACCTTGACAAAGAAAAGGCATCTTCTGGTGAAATGCATACCTGTGCAGTGAATCAATAGATAAGGTGCCAGCATGGAAATGTGGGCCGAGTGTATGGCCGTATCTGAGGACGGTCTGTGATATCTCAGATGGACAGGCATCTCAATGGTGAAATTCACTCTGAATTCACTATTGAGTGCGACTATCTGGGATGGGCTGGAGGGATAGACCAGAATGGTGTGTCCACCAGAGAGGTAGGCTGGTTTCTCCAGGTCTATTTCTTCAAATGCAAGAATCTGAACAAAGACAAGACACCATGGAAATATGTATTTTTATACAGATGGAAACAGTGAGTGAAGAAATCTTTTTATGATTTTGTCGCTGACATATCTTTGTGATGATTTTAAACTTTTTCATTTAGTCAATTTTTCATTTGGTATGATTAAAAAAAAAAGATTGTTTCAACCATGTCAGATACACTGTTTTCCGCTCGTAAAGAATGGAGAGCTATGAAAGCCTTCACCTGGGGTCCTCCAAACTCAACTGCACTGGCTGCCTGGTAAAGGTCAACAAACAGTCCACTGGGAAGGCTCTCAATTAAGAGAAGGTCACAAGAAGTGCAGTGATGGGCAGGATCAAGCAGTATACTCAGTGAGGAATGGATGTCCCTAGAGAAAACACAAACAATTACTAAAGCACAAGTCTGAAGCAAAAACTTTCAAACTTTCAGCAGTTGACTAGAAAGATGATTATCAAAATGTCAAGAACTTTGAAGAAATTTGGGGCCTACACGTGCATGCATTCATGCTGAAGAAACGTAAACAAACGGCAAAGAAAGAGTCACAAAAATTACCTGTGGAATCCATGTTTCTCTGAAAATCTTGAGAACTGAACACGCTTAGGGATGACACTGCAAGATTTCTCATTTGGGTGTTCACTTTCTGGAGGAAAGTATGTGCAAATTAAATAGAGAAGATTTGCCAAGTGCTTATTTAAATCTAACGTTAGGTCAACTTATGACGATTGAAGAATTCATGGTAATTAACTCACCAATCGATAATAATAGTTCTTTGACTTCATTCCGCAGTCCTTTTAAGTCATTGCGATCACGGACTGTGTCACACAGGTACAAAGGCGTTTGTGTCAGAACCGTGGCCCACAAAAACACCGTGAATCTGGAGCAGACGACGCAGTAACTGGGAAACATTCTCGTTTGATCCGAATTTCAGTCAAATTTCTAATTAACTTAAGTTTTTGTTTTGGTTTTAAAACAACAGTTGCGTGGAAAATCAGCTTTATCAAGTTATAGTTCGTTTTATCAGCAATGATTCCTATCTGAAGTACTGTATGCAGCAAGAATGGATAGGAGTTCCTGGCAAACAACTTCACTCATGGAGAGCGCCATCTTGTATTTTCTCCCCAATGTTTTGTGTATAGCGCCCTCTTTCGGCACGAAGGATTTAATCCTCGAAATTTTGATTCTGCTCAAGAGCTTAAAAAAAGTTTTCAACATAACGTTTGGACACTGCTTCGTTTGAGACTTCCTAGAAAGAATCGACACACAACCGTGCAGTTACATTGTTGGAAGAAAGGTAGATCTAAATAAGTTTTGTAAATGAAATAAAAAGAACGAACAAACGGACAAAATTGAATCGGTTTTAAAATAACAAAATACAGGAATTTGCATGTTAAAATTAAAAACGAGGAAATATTTATTTGTGACATGATGCAGAACTCCTTGTGTAACAATGTGTACTCCTGATTAAGTAGTAAAGACAAAGCAAGTTACAATGTGTGTTCAGAAACTAATGAGTGAATACACCAGTTGAGGCTGTCTTGCTCAAACACATTTATAGAAACAAGCAAGAAAAACAAATTTCTATGAAAAAAAGGCACTTGACAGGTTATTGTTTTGAATTGTAAGAGCTATGTTACTCTTAATGAATAAAGGAAGAGGTGTCTTTTGTTACTTCAGGGACCAGAAATCATGTTGACCCCAGATTTACTCTATTAGTCGGTATTAGCAACCAATGTAACGTGTAGTAGGCAAACACATGCTGGTAGAGGCTAATACAAGGTTAAATCTCTGCTTCACAGCATTCGGCATCAAAGCACTGTGAATTCTCAAGAACTTACAACCAAAAAAACCAGGACTACAAGAGCAATAACGGAAATTCGCAAAAGAAACTCAGTGGAACTGTCTAGTCTCCAGTCCATAATTCAGCATCAGTTCTGCATGCATGACAGCCAAGTTATGCTGATAAGAGTCCTGACGCCATCTCGAACAAGTCATGAGTGGCGCATGCCTTCAACCATTTCTGTACATTAGCCGGTGCACTGGCTGCCTGCCCTGCACTCTGCACAGCACTCCAACAGACAGCATCTGCTATGGATACCGAGGACCCCACCAGCCAATCGCATTTGCCCAGTCTGGAGTTGAGCGAGCGCATGCTGGCTGATTTCTCCTTTGAGTTGCCTTTGAGGAACATGTTGGTTGCCAGATCCAGCCAGTTGTCCACGGAGGTCGCGCTGACGATGTCCATCGTGTCGTAACTCGGGTTGAGGAGGCGGGCCACATAGCGGGCAACGTTGGCCTCTCCATAGATGGGTGACTGTGAGGGCACTGCAACCATCAGAACTGGACCATGGGAGACTGCAACACGAACCAAAGAAGTCAGACTACAATTATCTCAACAAAAAAACAGGAGCCCCGTAATGTGAAATCACGCTGTACTAATATGCTCAGCAATACACAGAAGGAATGAACAAATGGGTCTCACAGGCCTCAAACTGATATATATAGGAGTAGTGGAGATATGAACAAAGATCTGTTGATGAAATCCCAAAGTTCTAAATGAAGAGCCTATACATGTTCACTACGGAAAAGTATTTGAAGCTCTGTAAATGCACAAACACTGTGTTGTTCATATTAGTGCATTTACCTTTTGTGTTTACACTTAAACTTCTTTCAGATTTTGTGCTGCAACTGGACCGGGATCTACTCAAAACGTACCTGGTGCAAGAGCACCCGGGCAATTGATGCACAATCCTGTAGCATCTTCACACTGGAAAATCATACGGTGACGGTTAGCGTGTGGCATAAATCCACTTTACTGCACAACCATCATTGGAGTATTGGAACACCGTTAGGCTGAGGGGGACGATTTTGCCTGTGGTGCATAAACCTGTGACTCACCATCTTTCCAGATAAGTGTCAGGGATATCTGGGCCTCGCCTCGGGCCAGCTCCACCCCGTTCCCAAGACAGGTCAACAGCTGGTCCGGCAGGGACTTCACCGACGAGTGGATGTGAACCTCAGACCTGCAACTGAAGTGCAGTTTCAGCATCTCATACAGCACCATCAGCGACAGTGGGGGTTGTGCTGGGTTGGCATGGACCACAATGTCATGGATTGTGCTTCCCTGGAAAATTAATATAAAAGATGTCACATGGTTATTGTTTTCTTTTTAGTTTCAATCTTAGCCTCCTTCTTTGGTTGAACTTTATCAATTCCAGAGAATACATCAAGCATTTCCAATAAAACATATATACTATAATTGCAAAAATAAGTATAAATATATTAATGATAAATGCATATTTTGTACTATAACAACGGCTGGTAAAGAAATGAAAACATGACTTAAACTTCTGCTACATGTAACTTTTTTCTCAGAAGACAGTTTTATGAATTTGTTTATTATTCTGCTAATTTTTGTTTACCAAATCTGTGCCTTTCTGCCCAACAACTGAAACATCAACTGATGGCTTGAATTTGCTTGCAAGGGTAGCAACATCATTTTCCAGGGCTTTCAACTCTTGCAGGATGTGTTCCTGACGGCGCTCTAGCTCGATGAGTTTGGGGTCTAAGTGGTGATCCTTGTTTTGAGATTTAAAAAAGATCAAGTTAAACAACTTCAACCTTGGAGCACAGCCAAACTAATAGTAATTTGGCATATGGAATTCCAAATATTCAGACATTTGTAACAGATTGGAAAAGTTGGACTTTGATTCCTTCCTCCATGCTCTGCCCGAGACCAGCGTTGGTCAAGTTGAGTGGCACGTCCGTTAGTGTTTCTTCCCACAGACATTTGAGTGCGAGGGTTTATGCGATTAGAAATATCAATATGGGCCTTGCCTGGGTATAGGCCGAATAAGCCTACCTGTTTTTTCCCTAATTGCTCGTGGTAGCTTGCCATTTTAAACATACACGAAGGAAGATCGACAGGGATGCGATTAAACTCGTAGTACGGCTCTACTTTGAACATTCCTGGACCGTTTCTCTGTGTCATGATTTAACATACATGTTCTACATGCACAAATTCTGCACCGACATGACTGGCGCAACACGCGGTAACATACGTAGCGGCAGGGCGATAGCTAGCGCGTGACGCGTGATGGGCATGCTCCGCGGCGGCTTACAATGCCACCACGAGTACGATTGGATGCATGCAAAGGATTAGCTTACCGCACGCGCATTGCACAGGCCTGTATTAACAGCATGATTACAGTACGTTCATTTCCATTGGCTACTCTTTTCCTTGCTACACTTTGCAATCATATTTACTCGGCAGCAAATTCTGACAAATATCATCACACCTGCTGAGACACATCGATCAATTTTTCAGTTTTATCTTACAAAGTGTTGTTAGTTTTGTAGTTTAGCAAAATAGTCCTATTTTCAAGAATAAACGGAAACGGAAGATGAATTTTCTGACCAGTGCTGGTTTGCCTGGTCAAGCACGTCCACCTTAGTTTGGCCAATCAAATAAGTCGTTGCTTTTGTTCCGAAATAATTTTCTTAATTGTTTTATCCTTTTTGGAATTTACAAGACTTCTGTCGTCAATCCAAATGAGAAGTTAAAAGGTTTTATTCAACATATTTGGAGCGAATGGAAGGGGTCGACAAAAATAACTGAAATTTCTCGTTATAGCGTAGGAAAAAGAGTTAATGAGGTCACGTGGTCATTCTTTGGAAAATGGCGGATTGACCGTAGATTCAACATGCAAGCGGGATTATAAACGCCAAAATACCGCTAGTCCGCAAAGCATCCAACCCGGGAAACCATCTCATCGCACGAGGAACATACCGCTGCTGTGCACGGTGCACAAAAATCGTGGCAAAATGATAAAACGGGGTCGCGGGAGACCGCCAAAATCTTTGGTTGCTGGAAGAGGAGCGGGAAGCAGCTCCTCACCCGCTGCCAAACGCAAGAACATGGGCCGCGGTGGCGCGACTGGTTACGGGGACAGCGATCGAGAAGCAGAAGACGGTGGAGGAGGAGGGAGCCCCGCTAGTTCTAGGTGCAGCACACCGATGAGCCGCGCTTCCAGTCAAATGTCGTCCCCTTCTTCAGCCATCGGTAGAGGGAGAGGCCGTGGGCGTGGCCGAGGGAGGGGGAGAGGAAGAGGTGCAAGTCTCCTCACAAAATCACCCCGGACACCAAGAGAGGCAGCTAGGAAAAGCAAGAGGCTGATTCAGGTTTGTCAAAAAAATTAAGAAGTAACTTGTGATAAATCCTGTGTTGTTTATACAGAAATGTTCATGATGAGAAAATTTTTAAGAATGCAATAAGCTGTAAAAAATTATAGGGCCTAAAAACTTTAGAAAGCAAAGCAAAATTAAATTTCAGAAACAATAAATTAAAAAGCAAAGCCTAAATCCGTAACTTCTTGTAGACCTGTTATCAATACAAGAAACAAGAACACAAAACAACAAGGTCAGGATGGTTAACATGGTTAAACCGTTAACCAGATAAAGTTTTCTACCTACAAGCTACATCACACATGTAAATTTAAGTATTTTTGCACTTATAATTTTACTATTTGCACAGTGTACATTGTACAAAGGATCAGTAAAAGAACTTTTAGACAGTGTTTCATCCTGTTGCCACCTTTTTCTTTACAAATTTTTAAACAAGACAGACATGTAGGTGTGGATGAATCTGAATGTGAGAAGCCTTTCCAATTTAATGCCAGAAAATAGTTAAAAATGCCAAGCACTCAATAAACTTTGTAGCTTTTAACGTACATGGTCTCAAGGAAGTACATGTCGCATCAGGATACAATTTTTTTAAAGATTTTTTGTCAAAAATTAGTTTAATCAGTTTATTACCACGATTTCCCTTTTTTTAAATCTTACTTCGCATGTAATGTTGACTAATGCAAATCCAACTAGAGTTCATTAATGTTTTTTTCCAGAATCAAAGAGGGGAGCACCCACTTGTAACCATCATGTAGCCACAAGTACTTTAAATTACATGTGGCTTTGCACCTTGAAAGATTATGTACAAATATGTTTTATTGTGGCAGATTCTTGAAGTTTCTAAGAAAAATGGGGGGATTGGATTGTAGAAGCAAACCTCTTAAATTATTTGTTGCCGTCAATATGCATATATTCCACTGATTGTTGAAAAAGAATAGTAAAACTTCACTAAACTTAAATACCCAAGTGCAATTTTTTACATCATTTTCAGGAGGTGATAACCTCTGAGCGAAGTTCTAAAGTGCAACCAATAGAAAAGGCAGAGAAGGGTCGACGCAAGCAAAAACATTCCAAACCAAAGCACAGCTCAGATGAGGAGGAAGAGAGCAGTATGGATGAACTAGAAGCAGATGAAGAAGACAACTATGACCTTGACTCTCGATCCTCTGTCTCAAATTCCGATGGTGATGGTAACTTGTCAGAGTTCTCTGAGGAGAGCTCATACAGTGAGGCCAGCAGTGCCCCGAGCCGGCGGAAGTTTGCCAGTCGGCTGAGCCTGCCACCCTCACCAACGTGGCTGGAGGAAAAGGACATCCCTATTTTGGAACTGCCCAAAAGTAGCGATGACTTGCTCATTGAGCGGCAGGACATCACTGTGGCACTGGCCGTGTACGAGGTCCTGCGACACTTCCACCAGCAGCTGCGCCTGTCCCCGTTCCGGTTCGAGGACTTCTGTGCCGCACTCGGCAGTGATGAGCAGTGCTACCTGCTCGCTGAGACACACACCTGCTTGCTGAGGGCACTCATGCGGGAAGAGGATGGCAATGGCACCACTTTTGGACCCCATGACCTGCGGGACAGCATCAATGTCCAGATGCTCTTCCTGGACGGCATGACCTGGCCCGAACTTGTTCGTTGCTACATAGAGAGTGACAAAGAATTCCTCTCCGTACTGCCTCATGTTGAGGCCGACAACTACCCATTCGCTGCAGTCCGCGACAAACTCAGAGTGCTCCTGTTCCTCTGTGACCAATTTCTAGCCTCCAACAAGGTCAGGGAAGAGATCCTCAGCGAGGGGGCTATCACATACGATGATCATTGTCGCGCATGTCACAAGCTTGGGGACCTCTTGTGTTGCGAGACCTGTACTGCAGTGTATCATTTAGAATGTGTGGATCCTCCCCTTACAGAGGTTCCAGAGGATGATTGGCTGTGCTCAGTGTGCAAAGAGCATCGGGTGGACGGTGTCTATGATTGCATTTCTGACGTTGAGAGGAGCGGCATGTTGATTCGCCATGAGCCTTTAGGCTATGACCGACATGGTAGGAAGTACTGGCATCTTTGTCGCCGTATTTTTGTGTAAGTATTGTTTGAAGCTATAAGCATACATGTACACCTAACTAGTCAAATCCCAAGGTCACAAGTTCTGTTTATTGTACAGATTTAGACTTTCTGAAAATGAATAGGCAAGTGTGTTAATGGGTATTTTGGAATGTGGTACCTGTAAAGTTAAAGATACATGTAAATAAGTGAATACATGTAACTGTTCCCCACTCGTCAGTAGCATTGTATAGTTATGGTACTTTTCCCACACTAAACAACACCAATTGTTCTTGCCTCAACAAAATGCTGACACATTTAGAGTGGAATTCAATAGGCGTGTGTTGGGTACCTGCCCGTTGATATCAAAACCCGGTTCCATTTTACCGGGCCGGGTACCTGTAAACAAAAAGTAAATAAATTAGGAACAAACATCTATTTATAAAATATCTGTGAAATTTCTTACTGAAGGGCAGAATTCCTGAAAAATCACCGTGCCGCTGAAAACCCGGTCCCGCGGTCATACATGAAACTTCAGTTTGGAGATCGACAGTTACTTTTGTTATCCACTCCGCCGTTGTACTGCAGTCGTTTTCCTAGTTCCTGAATCTTCCTAGTTCACAAGAGTGAAAAAACCACTCAAATTAACGGGCGATAGGTCAATCACTACGTGTGATTTTAAATACTTCTTTAGATTGAACAGTCATATAAACCTTTGCATCTAATGTCTGCTTAATCAAAATGACTTGTAGAGTCTCTGTTTTTGTTAATTTACCAAAAACTGAAAGTGTTTCCCCCTACTTTAGGATTGTGTGGCGTTACCACGCAAATTCGTTGCAAACTCAACTACACAGGTGCAGCAGAAATGTATGTGATGTAATGGGTTCGTCAACGGTGTGATAGGTCGCTGTACAGTTGAAAAGTCGAGTCAAACTTTTCGCAATTTCTACTTTTTAATTCATTGAAATTCTTATTTTTCAGCTAATTTTTTCAAAAGTAAGAAATTCTTTATTAGAAAAGCAACTTTCAAAATGGTTCTGGTTGAAAATGGATTTTTTGCATGATTACTTTTTATTCATGAACACGTTTTTTTCTCGATCCTAAAATGATCCAGAACTAGGAAAGGTGTCGTAGTCACTTTTGTTGATCGATCCTGTGAGTCCAAGCTTAGATTTTGAAAAAAAAATAGAGTACATGTATATCCAAAACACAAAGTTGGCTTCTGGCCATATTTCACTCGAATTTGAGGATTTTTGCAGCTGCAATCTTATTGAATAATTTTTGCGGTCTGGAACTAGGAAAATGACTGTACCAAACCCATATGAACAAGAGACCGAGGGAATTCTGTCTTCTGAGGCGGAAGCGCTGTTGATGTACACTTGCATAACTGTATTTGTAATATTCAAACCCTGTCGGCCTAAGTGACTTTTATGCAGAAGTAGTAGTGCTTACTGTTTGAGTTGAGTATTTTTGTCAAAACCATATGAATGAAAATTGTCGGGATTGACGACAAAGCGAGAGCGGACTGTGTAATATTACACAGCAAGTCTGAACTGCAAGTTTGTCTGTCTTTACTGCAAGTCCGTCGGATCATGTGTTTAAATTTTTTTTTTAAAGCTGGACACTAAGGAACTGTGAGCCTTCCAGTTCCTATTAGTATTAACCCTCCTAGGCTAAGATGCATTTTTGACAGTTGTCATATCAGTCAAAATCAGTCAAATTTCCCATACGTGTCCGTGTACTGGGGGAAATTAATTGGAAGGCACTTTTGGCTGTTTTTGACGGTTATAACAGAAGGAGGGTTTTAAAGAAGTATGAAGGCACTTGTGTTACACACAATCTGGGTTGGCAGGATTTTCTTTGTTCAATTCAATCCATTAGTTTTGATTTAACTCGGCTTTTTGGATTCAGTAAGTGAATTTGATGCAAAGGATTTGTAATCATGATTTACTTTGACTTCATTTGAAATGCCCACTCTTGAGAGTTTGACATGGTAAAGTATCAATGTACAGTGTACATCTACCTTTTATTTACAGGTACACATGTATTGTACTGAGATTAGAAATGTTACCAATTATGTAGTGTAATTAAACCACTCCATACCCCTCAATAAATGCCCTTAATAAAGTGATTTGTAATCAAGCCTAAATCATTGCTCAGTGGAGCTGTATCACAAACAAAACTAGACTGTTTTTAGCGTATACAGCAAGGTAAAATACCAGCATTTTGTACCTACCTGTACATATACATGTACATGTACAAACATGTAGCGTGTAACTAAATACGTGTACATGTTGTTCATGGCATGTTTCTCACTCATTAGTCATTTGATGCATACGTACCCTGTTAATAAATTCTTGGGAACTCTAATTTTGTCAAAACTTAGGGTTTGGTTAAAAACCTGGTCTGCACTTTATCCTTGGTACATGTACATGTATGTACTTGTCTCTGAATGAATGAATGAATGAATGAATGTATGTACCAGTAGGTGGTATATTGCATGCATTTCACAAAGGCTAAGACATGGTGGTTGTGAATTTAATCAGGTTACTTGATTTAAATTTCTTAATTCAAATCCAAATTTGTTTAATTTTGTAACAAAACAAATAAATAAAGGAACTGAAAACACTGAAAAATGGTTTTTACTTTGGTATGGGAAAGAAAATCGGAATCCAATTTACATGTACCTGTTTTAAAGAAATTATCTGTCACACTGGGATGTGCTTTTTCCCAAGAGGAACAGTCTAAATGGATCTAGAAAATTCCAAGTTGAGAATGCTTTCTAAAGTTTCAAATTTCTCTGATATTTGTGGGCATTTTACCCTGCAGGGAGGGAGAGGGCGAGCTCTGGTACTACAGCAGCATGTCCCAGATTGAGGAACTCATTGCTGCCTTAGATCCTCTAGAATGGGAAGGGCCGTTGTGTCGGGCCATCCAGGAGTCCCTGCCAGAGATCCGAGAGCATGTTGCCAAGACTGCTGAGCTGACGAACAGCGCCAGGGGAAACCAACGATCAGAGCTTCAGAGAGCATCAGGTGAAAAAAAAAAAAAATCTCAGTCTAAGGCAAAAAAAAAGAAACATCTGGTTTCTGGTCATGGGCTTGGTCCAAAAGTGGTGCGATGACCCGTTTTTTTTTTCCTTAGAAGTGATGTCCATGCACATACATGTATACTTTAGAGCGCATAGCCTTGTTACTATAAGAAATGTGAATTAACAACTTTGAATTAATAAAAAGACCATAAAATATGACGAGAGGCAATGGTTTTATTCATCTCACTCAAAAAAGAGGCTTCTACTCTTGGCAATATTGAGCTTGTTAAAATACAGTAGCACAACCATGGAAAATCATGTGTGAAAAATAAGTGTTCAGCTCCAGTTTCCGGTTTCAAATGAAATCCTCATGAGGTAGCACTATATGATATTCTTTGCACATTGTTTTCTGCTTTAGCTTAGGGGAAACAAGTTGCACGTCAAATAGCCTATGAGAAAAATAAATGAAAACAGTTCAGCTCCAGAGTCAAAATGAAAATAAAATTCTCATGAGGTAAATGATATACTACGCACATTGTTTTCTGTTTTAGCTTATAAGAAACAAGCTACATTCGACATATTGGGAAAAAATTCAGCTCAGAAAATAAACTCTCCTCTCACTTTCATCTACCTTTGTTCTTGGCAAGTGACGATACATGAGTTGTTACATAAGTATGGTTTTCATAACCTGATGTCCATCGCCACTGCATGTGCTTAGGCCAAGGGGAATTCCGTTACCGTACATATTACTCAATGCCACCCATCAAAAACATGTTAAAATTACTTGGTAGCAGAATTCCTGCCGATCATGTAAGTTTGGCGACTTTTGGAAATCGTTTTATGCAAAATAAAAAAATTCTTTATTTTGCCAACGCACAGGTGTACGGCGACACACACGGTGAACAGAAACCGGACTTTTTTTGGCCTAACCTTATCCCTCCAGTAGAAATCGTTGTAATATATATGCTGTAGTTGTCAAATAAAACTTAGGTATTTTTTGGTGAAATTTGGAACCAAGCACACGAAAGGAAAACTCCAGCTTTGGACTGTGGCTAATGGTAATGTCATGTCACAGAAGAGGAGCACAAGTACATGCACACACAACTGTATGTATATTGTCAGTTGATTTTTGCTGCAGCATTCTTATTAGCCAATGTTCCTTTCTCCAAAACAATATTTTTCCATCATTGGCTTCAGATGAAATTCTAGCTGCAAGGGCAGTCAAAGAAGAGGCAGAACGGAAAAGGCAGGAAGAGGCAGAAGAGGCACGACGGAAGCAGATGGAAGAAGAAGAGCGTAGAAAAAGAGAAGAAGAGCAGAAACAGAAAGAGGAGCAAGAGAAGATGTCAGAGGCAAATGCAGCTGCTGAAGAGACTAAGGCTAGTGGGACCTCCCAGGCTGCTGAAATAACTGCAACTGGTGAGGAGGCTAATGCTGGCACTGAAGAGGCTATGAATGTTGACAGCTTGCATAAAGAACAAGTACCTAATTTTTCAGAGGCTGAGCCAAAGGCTCCTGGTGCTGAAACTGATACGGAAGTTGATGCCACAAAGGTCACAGAAAGCGACACAGGTAAGGATGGAACTAGCAATGTTCCAGTGCTGTCTGATGATGTGATTCAGAAAAGCAGTGACACAAAGGATGACACAGTCAGTGCCATTAGTGATAATGTGAACAAACCAGGTGATGACGGCAAAGAAGAAGTCCAGTTTCAGGAACCTGCTGTGTCACTGGCTGTCACAGCAAAGACTACACAGTCATCAACCTCTGTCACGACTGTGGAGAAGACTGTGGTGACAGAGACAGTGGCAATGGCAACCGCGGGTGGTTCTTCTGGAGAGACAGTCGAGGCTGTAACCTCTCAAACAGCAGTCCAGTCAGTGACCCAGATGACAACATCAGTCACCAGGGTTGAAACAGTCACTGTGACATCTGCCACAGAAACCAAAACAATTGCCATGTCTGTCGCTGATGAGGTATCACCTATGGAGACGGATGAACAGGGCACGAGCAACAAAACAGAACCAGGGGAAATGCTTGAAGCAAGCACTGATGCTGCCAAGGACACTTTGAAAGGTGCCACTTCTGGAGATTCCAAGACCTCAGATGCTGCCAAGGAAGGAGAATCCAAAGACCAAAGCGATACCAAAGAAGTTGAGGAGACAAAAACTGATCCAGCCTCAAAGACGCCGGCCAAGACGGGCATCATGACGCGCTCCCGCAACCCAAATTACAAGCCACCTCCACCCAAGGCCACCCCTTTCCTGACCTACTCCACCAGTTTGCCAACTAAATCTACTGTCACGACCTCCTCCAGCACGGCAAAAGTGACCTCCAAGACAGAGGACTCCTGCCTTGTGATCAATGCCAAGGGTCAAATCAAACGGGTAGAAAGCAAGAAGGAAACAACCAAGGAGGTAAACACAGACCCCATTGGCACTTATTTACATCGCCCAAACATTTTCTAAACATCAGCATATTGTAGGTAATGATTACTGATGAAGTGTGTAAGCAGGAAATTCATTAAGTTGGTGCTCCATTCTGAATTGTTTCACTTAAGTGTTTTCATGGCAGTTTATATACATGTACAAAGTTCATTTATTAACTGTAACACTTCTTAACTATTCAGTAACTTCAGACCCTGCTTGGTCTAAGAAAATGCCATCAAAATGTTCATCGTACTAATTAATAGATTTTTCAGTTTACGGTGTGAACTGCCATGCAGTTTGAAAAATTCTGAGCAATAAGAAAGATTCCACTGATAAGTGAATGAATGGCACTGTACTTTTGTCTCTGTCGCCCTTCATGTTGCTTTTATTTCCATTCCTTTTGAATTTTTGCAGACTGGCATATTTGTCCATATCCCACAGACTTTGTACACACTTTTACTCTACATGTCTGCGAGCACATGCATGTACAGTGTATGGCGAGTGCATTTTTTTCTCAGAACCTCAGAAATGCAGAAAAGCCCAATGTTTTATTGCAAACAGACAGAACCTGCAGTTCCATTTTTATATTATCTGCTCCAGTCTCTGTGAGGTATCTGTCAAACCCAGTCACTATTTATAAATAACAACTTTGAGTAATAGCCACATTTATTGTACTTGCACAAATTGAAGCAGCTCAGTTTGGGGTCATTCAGGAATAACGCACACTTAAGGTTTGCCCGCCAGCACAGCCATACGCTGACTTGCTCTATCCTCAGTTGATGCTTTTAAAATGTAGAATTGGCTCACTACATTGCAGTAGTCGCAGTGGACAGCTCAAACACTGTGAGATTAGATTACTGAGTGACTTGAAACTTCTTTGTGCCATATGAGCATGACAGTATAGGGATAGACACTGATTTGTTGGTCCTTCTCGCTGGCACAGGTGACCCCCTCCGGCGTGACCACCCGCAGCATGAACCCGGACAGGATGTTCCGCCTGGGCATGGAGGGCAACTACAAGCTGTACAAGAACCAGTACAGCGCCAACCCCCTGGCCCTCAACAAGCCCCAGCACGCCGAGGACCGAGACCGCCGGCGCTACATTGCCCACAAGTTCAGCCTGTCCAGCTCGGAGCGGCTCAAGTGGAACGGCACAGTGTATGGCAACAAGCAGCTCATTGTTTCAACTTTGCGGCTGACCATCACGCAGCTTGAAAGCCAGATTCAGGTAATGTTTCTTTCTTTGTGTGTTTTTTTTGAGTCTACATGTGCATGCAGAGTTCCAATCAATGTTCATCCATTGGCAGAGGCATTTTAGTCCTCTCGCTACGCTTCAAACCAAAAGGAAGGGGCAGCCATAAACACTCTAGTATTGATATGCAGTTGGAAAGAGTAACCCTTATGAAAAAAAAGGAAGCAATCCTTGTACTGATTCGTGTTGCCCGTAGGCCCCCTTCATGCACTCCAATTGGGCAGTGCATCGCAACAACTGGATCAAGGCCGTCCACATGTGCAACAAGCCCCAGGAGTTTGCCCTGGCCCTGTCCATCCTGGAGTGTGCCATGAAGCCCGTCATCTTCACCCCGCTCTGGCTGGACGGCATGGGCCACATCCGCCTGATCCGCACCACTGCCCTGGAGAGGGAGGAGAAAAAGAAGGCGGAGAAGAAGAGGCGAGATGAGGAGGATGACATCTACAAGAACCCCAACAATCACTGGGTCAAATACACCTTCCCCATCAAGCACTTGGTAATCAGAGTACTCCAATATTTTCTCTTTCTCCCAAGTGTGGTTCTTAAGTACTGTCCAGTGTTGTAACCATGTGTGTCTTACTTATTGTATGTAAAATAGGGATACTTGTATTTGTGTTTTGAGTACAGTAAAGGTGGCTTTACTGTCCTAAATCCATTAATTTAAAATACTTGAAACTCTGATGTAGATTTTCATAGATTCAAATAAGATTTACTGTTGAAAATGGTAACATTGAAGTTATTTTTGCAAGCTTGTAGTACAGGTGCAGAAAAAGCATGCCAAGGTGCATCTAATTTCAAAAACGTGCTGTACATAAATTGTACTGATGGCTGTCAACTAAACTGTCAGTATTTGCTGACAGGCTGCTCTTTACTACTTGGTGAGAGAGAATTACTTTGCTTGTTTACCCATTTCCAATTTCAGTTATTCTGATTTTGAAATGCACTCTCACACACCTAAATTCTATAAGGCAATACAGAACCTCTTTATTTAGCTGAGGTTTACAATTTCATCTTTTTGTACACGCTCTTTCTCACAAAATCTTTGTTGTACACCCTCAGGTATGGAAGCAGAAAGGGGAGGAGTACCGTATCGTGGGGGGCAATGGCTGGGCATGGGTCAGCTCAACTCGCAGGAATCGAACCTTACCTCCACCCAGCCCCGCCAAGGTAGCTCTTCAGCGAAGCATCAAGGCCTACTCGGAAAGTAAGCAGTGGCACCTTATTAGAATAGATAAATGCGAGAATGTAGTTAACCGTCAGGATTTTTTTAGGGGGACACTAACCTTTTAGACACAACTTTGTCTCAAAAGCACTGCTGGTTGCCAATATTTGACTTTGATGATTCAGCTCATTCTGCCATTCTTCGTTATCTAAATTTGCCATGTAGATATAAAAAAATACTAGCAAGTCTTGTGCTGTTTGTGCAGCTTGGACTTTCTGAATTTCAGTTGGATTGAATTGATCTTGTAAGATTTTAAAATACTTCATACCTTCCAATGTAATTTTCAAGAAAGTGTCTTGCTTTCATTCACATAAATGTAGGATTTACAAAGATTTATGTTATGCACAAAAACTCAAATTTGCACTGTGGCTAACCATCTTCCCATGTCATGTCAGCAAGCCATCTTTCAAAGGGTTGTTATTTCTTACTTTGTCTGTTGATTGAATTTATTACTTGCATTTTCTTTCCTCTGGGTTTCTCTTCAGCACATGTTGTTGGTGAGGAATTTAGTGCCAGAAAGGAACCACAGCACTCCAAAGGTACAACTCCTCAGAAGCTGAAAGCTGCCAAACCTGCGTATGGGAAAGACAGGGGAAAGAACAGAACTTCAATATCGGAAGACTCAGATTCCAAGGAGCTGTCATCATCGGGAACGGAGACAGACGGAGACAAAGAGGCTATCGCTGAGACTACTTGTGCAGAGACGAAACCTGTGGATACCAAGGGCCAAAGGTCAGATGAGGGCAAAGATGAAGCAATGGAGGTCTCTTTGTCAGATGAGAATAAAGAGACGCAAGAGAAGGAAACGATAGGAGAGAAAGCAGAACTGATGGACACATCTGAAGATAAATCGCTGGAAACTGTTCCAGAAGAGATATGCATATCCACAAAATCACCCAATAGCAAAGACAGTGCCATTGAAAAGGATGAGGGCGGAAATACTGACGAACAAGTGAAGGAAAAAGTAGAGCCCATGGAGGTTACAGAAAGCAAAGAAGTACAGCCAGAAGATGGGACAAGCGGTGCTAAGCAACCTGTTCTAGGACCTGGGGATAAACCTGTGATGACATCAGAGGAATCATCTGTCGCTGCACCTGAATCCCCATTGCCAAAACAGCAATCATCAGAGTTGCCTATGGAAACCTCAGAACCAAAATCATCAGAGTTGCCGATGGAAACCTCAGAACCAAAGACACCAGAGGAGAAACTGAGCGGTGTTGCTGAATCCAAGGCTGATACTCCAAAGCAGGACATAAAACCTCCCAATGCAGATCAGGGTGCCATGCCGAAGGCTGGCAGAGCTCCACTGAATGCCGAGTGGGACAGCCTGGACATCAGCCTGGCACTCAGAAATCACACTTTGTACCATAAGATCCCCTACCGCTCCAGGTTGGAGAGCTTTCTTGAAAGGAGGGTCCGGCAGGAGGAGGCGGTGCAGTTGCGCTACAAGGCCCAGGTGCAGAAGTACGAGACGTACAAGCGGATCCTGAGCGAGAAGAACAGACTGAAGGTGCTACTGGACAAGCAGCAGGACAAGCCCGCCAGAGTGAAAGCTGAACCCATGGAAACGGACGACAGCAAATCAGAGGGCAAAACGGAGTTCAGCAAGCAGGCATCTACAATTGTCCTTGCCTCACAGTCAGACACCATCCCAACCAGCAAGCCTGTTCAGCCTAAAGTTGATGCTGATACAGCCAAACCAGCTACCAATGTGTCTACATCAAAAGCAGCACAACAAATCACAGTATCACCAGCCAAGCAAGTGAGCGAGAACCTCAACAACAAAGCCATCGTCGCTGTGAACAGCGTTAATGCAAAGACCAAAACCCCTACCGCAGACGCCAACAAAACTTCATTCTCCCCTTCCACAAACGAACTGCAGAAGCTCCCCCAGGCCAGCACCCCATCAACTGTGTCTTCCTCTTTCCAAGCCGCCTACGAGAACATGCTGGCCAGTGTGTGCAGCATTCCCAATGTGACAGCATCACCAAAGAAACTTGTAAAAGATGCGCCAGTGCCCTCTGCCGCACTCAGTAAAACAGTGGACACTAAGGTCACACTGCAGGACTCAACAGGTGGCGAGCAGACAGTTAATAAAAAGCCCCAGCAAATTTCAAGCCCAACCTCTTCCACCAATCAGTCTCAGCCTGCCGAGCAGTCAAATGGAAACAGCTGCTCCAATGAAACAGTCACCTGCACACCCGCTTCAAAGGTTGGTACCGTTCCAGTAACAGCCAACAATGCATCTACCAACTTGGACTGCGCAAACCATGCACCTGTGAACTCTCAAGCTGCGAGTGGCCAGGAAGCACTGCACAGTGGGCACAATACCGAGGAGTCTTTCTCAACCAACGGGATCCCAGCGGGTTTTGAAAAGCCGGAAAGCAAGAACCTGCAGGTTTTTGAGTTAACTGAAAAGGGAAAGTTAAAATTGATGGACAATTCTGGAAGCGATGTGGTCCAAGCTTCTGCTGCCAAAAACCTTGTCACTTCAGGACCAAGTGGAGATGTCAACCACTCAGACATGACCACCGCTGTAGCGGAAACAAACAAAACCCATGAATCTGTTCATAAGAACCTTGTTCATACCACAAACCAAATCATAAAACCCTCAGGTAAAGGTGTTCTTGAAGTGAATAGAATTCAAGAATGCCAGACACAGGCGAATGAGACATTAAGTTCAGCTCATTGTGAGGCTGTTTCCTCAAACTCGGTCAAATCACCGAATAAGAAAAATAACGCAGTGAGTTCACCAACTTGTGCTAACCAAATACCTCAGAATGATGTGGAGTCTGAGAAAACAGAAGTCATTGAGAAGCCAACAGGTGCACCAGTTGAGGAACCTGCAATACCCATGGAATGGACTGAATCCAGTGACAAACTCAGGCAAACTCCAGTGCAGCAGTCTGACAGCCAGACGCAGCAGCAGCCGGAAGAAGACAAGACCTTGTGCAATTCTGTAAATAATACACCGCCAGTACCTCATGAGTTCCCGCCCGAAAAAGTGCCATCTCTCCAAACTGAGCAGCACTTGGGCGGAGGAGACAGTAACAAAGACATTACTCTTGGCAAAACTGAGACGTCAAAGACGGCACCTGGAACTTTCGTTAAAACCGAATGTGCTGCCAAACCTGTAACGACAGATTCTGAGAAACAAGAGGCAACGGAAGGATGTGCTGCCACGTTAGGACATGTAAAGTCGCAAGGTTCAGAACTGTCACTCCCAGCAAATGTGGAACATACTGCAGATACACCCAGTCAGACCGCTGCAAGCAGTCCTCTTCAACAAACTGAAAATGCCAATGGCAAAGCAGTGAATGATTCTACCAATATTGCACAAGGTTCTAGCCAAATCAGTATTGCCCAGAAATCATCCACTTGTGACAGGGATGCCGCCCCACTGAACAAGGATGATGGCGATAGGAAGATTCAAAGTAATGATGCAGTGCACGAGAAGACAGAAACTGAAAGGACTCAGTTGGCTGAAATTTCAGACCAAGTGTTCACTGGAGCAGGGACACACAATATACCTTCCAAGTCACCCATAAGGGTCACCAGTCCTCAGGGTATTGATACATCCAATGCAAAATTGTTAAGCGAATCTGTGGTTCCTGCAGTGAACAAAAGCCAAGGGTCTGCTTGTGAAACAGGCAGCAAAGTGTCATCAGTTACAGGTGATTCTGTGACAGTAGCCATGACAGGTGACAGTGTGACGTCACCTGCCGTAGGTGTTGCTGGCAAGGTGACAACATGCACAACCAGCCCTTCCGTTCATGAAAGGGTGGTCACCAGTGAAGCAACAACTACAACATCGGGTGTGACGAGTGGCAATGTGACATTAACTGTGACGAGCAAACCGGTGTCTGTCTCAAGTCCAAAAAGTACAGTTCCTCCAAGCCTGCCAACACCTAGTGTGACAGGAGTTAGCACCACAGTGCCAGTCACAAACCAATCACAGTCCAGTACCATCAAACCATCTGCCCCACCAGCACCGACCAAAGATAAAGTCACCTTGGTGCCAAAACAGGATGGTAAGGTCTTGATATCAGAAAGAATTTCGCAGCTTGCAACTGGTGGACTTGCCGTGAAAAACACCACTTCGCAGGTACCCCAGAAAACAGCAGCAGTATCAGAAGCTGTCAAAAAACCCAACACAGGAAGTGTCGCACCTCTCATCACTGTTAAAAAGACTGAAATACTTGGGTCAGACAGCAGCTCAAAGTTGAACACCACAAAGATTGTACTAAGTCCTGGGGTAAAGCCAAATGTGATACAGGTGCAGAAATCCCAAGTTCAAGGGGTTAAACAGGCAGATGTTCTGCAGACCCATGTCAGTGCCAAAGGGAATGTGTCAGCTTTACCAAAGATAGTCCAGCAAGGGGCTTCACCTCAGAGACAGCAGAGGATAGGGATACTCCAGCAGAGTGCATCAGGGCCCAAAGTGGTGTACATATCAGCCCAGGGCATGGTAACTTCTACCCCTCAGAGCTCTACTCAGAAAATCACCATCTCAACTGCAACAACTCAAGCCAAGAGTTCTGCAGCCCTATCCAGGGCCACACCAGCCAGTTCGCCTGCTGCCACTTCCTCCAGGAACAGTCTGAGTGCCTCCCTTCCCACGTTAACTGCCAATGGGATTACCCCATCCGCCTCCCAGCGGGTCCAAACGAGCAACCCCACCCCCGCTGTGGTCACAAGCACAGTGGTGAAGAGCACCCAATCCACCAGTAGCATCATGACCAAGTCGGAAACCATCACCAGAGCTGGCCCATTAGTTTCCACCATCAGCACCACAGAAACCTCTGGTAAGAAGACCAATGCCACCATCACAGTATCTTGTACCTCCGTTGGTGGCATCAGCATATCGTTCTCCGACATCAGCACCAAGATCAAGGAGATTGAGAAGCACCTGAAGGAGACCATTAAGATGCCGGAGCCGCCACGGGTGTGTGACCCTTTCCGCTTGACTGCCAAGGCCACGCCCGGCTCCGCACGCCGGCCCGCCCAGAAGAAGATCGCCAAGCCCCTGCCCATGTGCCGGAAGTTTGCCACTCGCAGCAAGCTCAAGAGCATCCTGATCCTGCCCCCACAGGAGCTGAGCAAGCTCTGCCGGCGGGGCGGCCGCTATGAGGTTCAGGGCTTCAACTACAATGCCAAGAATGTGGGTGACTACTGGCCTTACCCGGCACCCCGGCCCACCTTTCAGATCTGCTGGCGCTACCGCCTTCAGACAGCCTCCTCCTTCTCTTCAGTGGGGCTGATGCTGCACGTCATCTGGGCCAGCATCCGCTGGGAGGACATGGCCCAGAAGCCTCTGCATGGCATCACCCACACCATCGAGACAGAAGATGAGAGGATCACCACTTCCATTTGTAAGAAGCGGGACATCCAGCCATCAGGTTTGAGGTCAGAGTATCTCATTCGACAGACTGTCTGGCCTATGGGCAAAGATGAGCAGGAAGTAGGTAAGAAAGATGACTAAATATTGAGTTTCCGGTAAAATTTCTTCAAGTGTTCCAGCTATTGCTTTATAAAAAGCATACACCCTCCTTAATTTGACCTGTTGGTCTCTTCAGCCTGCCTTATTATGTAAAATATCTTTTGCAGCATTTTTGAATTGTTACAGTATTTGGTTTTTCTGCATCAGGCCAGGTATAGTAAATTTAGGCTGTGTCCAAATAATTTGGCTGTGGCTAAAAGTAATGCGCACACCTATTGAAACCTCTGTCTAGTGGCTACAGCAGTTCCCATTGACTTTTGTGTTAAAGCTAGCCAAAGCCAATTCATTTGGACACATGCTGTAATGAATATCTACAATTCATGTGCCCTTTTGTTCTGTCCTCCTAGCAGTGCACAAGCCTCAGCGCTCTGGCCTACGGTCCAGCTCTGCTCCTATCAAGCCTCCCGAGCCGGTCAAGCCCAAGGGTCCACAGGTCATCGAAACCTGGGTCAAAGAGGAAGAGATGGAACTCTGGGAGATTGCCCAGTTTGGAGATTGGTAAATTTTAAAATGTTCAGTTTACACAGCGAAGCATGCTGCGGACTGAATGCATCCACTCCGAGTGGGAGCAATAGAGGGTGTTTCTTACATTGCAATGGCAGTCCTGTGTGGGACACCATGTGCTTGTGCTGGATTTTGCATGGGACATGCCATGCATGTACCACTAAGTGCTGTTTGAAAGTACACTTGACTCTCGTCACTACGAAATCGGCTGTAACAAAATTTCAGTCATAACAAACACACATCTTTGGTCCTGGCCAAAACGTGCACAGTTCTGTAGGGAGAAAATCTGTTACACTGAAATTGAATTGTACGAAATTCCTGTTAAAACGAAAGGTTTTCGTGGCTCCGTTGCCTGAAAAACCATTGTTGATGACCCGTTTATAACGAACGTTTGCGAATCGCGGTGGTAAAAACATGTGCACACAGTGCATCAGACTGGTTCCCCGGGCTGAACCACTGCCAAAGAAGTTACGATGGAAATGCAGCAACCGGTCAGTATACAATTCCTACCAAAAAAGGGTTGTATAATCCATGACATCATATACGAATGCAACTCTACAGTTGCAAGACGAAAACACACTGCCATCACAGATTTGCTGCAGGTTCATTCACAGAATTTGATCTCATGTCTATGTTTGTATTTTCTGTGTACATGAATTTAATTTGAGGTTGTACTGCTCGTACTCAAAGCAAGCGTTTTTCCCACAAAATTTCCAGCCGCAGCACAAGGCTTATCACCCGCCCCTCCACATGCATCACTCACGCTTACAACGTGATATACAGACATCGGTTTCCAGTTTTCCTGTCATCAAGACAGACAGTAAATTAAATAAAAAATGTCTCTCCATGACACAGTTTGTGTTGGAAAGACTACTTCATTGGATGGGGGCTCCAGTTGATGAGTCTTCACATTCTTGCAGGTACACACACGCTTACATGTGCATGCGGTTTAGTTACTGTTAGCTTCATCATCACCCATGGCGGTCGAAAGTCTTTTAAAAATCCCTTGATTGATGCTTTCACATATCTTAAAGATACTGTCATATGACAGGGAAGTTTATTATTCTAAACACATCACACTATATTTGATTAATCATAACCGAGAGATCTTTTGACATCATTAACATCAACCACGTTTACGGGTATGCATGTACAGTACATTGTACATGGTATTGTACACAAAAGGACCTATTCACGCAATGTACCGAAGCCATTGCACTGCGTTCTGCCTACAGTGAATTCCAGATACAATGACCATTTCTACTTGGTCCCGCGCATTTCGTAATAACGAGAGTCGACTGTACAGACTTTGCATATGCGCATGAATAAGCCGAGTGGAAAAACTTCCCCGAGGCTATCTCTTCTTTACCAGTGAGGGCGCACTTCCACACCGTGTGGATTTAGTGGATGCATACATCGTCAGGCAGGATGCATATACTGTTAAGCAGGTACTTAAAAAGCTTTCTTAGTACTAAACTGTTCAATCTGTTGTCATTTTAAAATTCAGTATGCAAAAACTGGCCCGGGAGAAACACCAGCAAATGAACAGCAAGACCTCCCAGAGTGCTAAGGACAGCAAGCACACTACCACCACCAAGGGGTCATCTGGACCAATCACAGCGCAGCAGGTCAAGGACCAGTTGGAGGAACAGCTGAAAAACCAGCGACTCTCTGGACAACAGGTCAGCCAGAGAGTTTGTTTTATTAGACTAAAACTGGAACATAATGTTCTATTTTCCTTGTTAGACAGATGAACTATATCACCAACTTTGATTCCCTGGATTCGAGTCATTAGGCCGAGGCTTCATCTCACTGGAACCTCATAATGTGCCATTTTATTTATGAAGTGTCCAGTGCCACATTCCACGATTCAGCCTTTGAATTTTTGAGCTTAACACCAGTCCTAGATCTTCAGGGTTTGCTAGAGGTTTCAAAGATTTTCATTTCATGTGGGGCTTAATACCCTTGAAAAATACCCCAATACAAGTTATAGGCAAAATGAGAGTGGTCTCAGAGAGGGAAGAAACATACTCGTGAATCAAGAGCTGACGCCATTAAAATTGTCTAATTTTCTCAGAGGAGGTTCCATCAACTTGCTCCGTCCCCATCAACGGGAACCCCCGTCACCCCTCTGCCCAACATGACCACCATCAAGACAGCCACTCCCCGCAGTGTGGCCCCTCTTACCTCCACTGTCCAGTCTGCAACCACCTCCTCTTCCTCCTCCTCCTCCTCCTTGGACACGCCCAGCCGCAAGGGCGGGGCCCGCAAGAAGGGAGCCACCAACGTCGCACCTACCATTGCCAAGAAGGTGATAGGGGCCAAGGACATAACCCCGCGGGTCCTGAACGTGTCCGGCAGTGCTACTCTCCAGGGTACCCAGCTAGTGCAAGTAGGGCAGGGCCAGAGCCAGGTGAAGACGTACAACCCAACCAAGTTTGTCTTTGCCTCCACCGGTGCTACAAGTATGTTATCTATTCAACTTGTTCCACTTTGTAATGTTGAGCATCCCTTCAAGACCACACTCACACCTTATCCCACAAATGCTCAGGGCTGAACAATTAACAATAATCTATCTTCTTTATGTTGTGATACTTGATTTAAAATGGAATGTTAATACCACTTAGTTCTGTTACTTATTACGCTTTTCCCCATAATTACCTGGAACCTATTAGAAAGCACGCCCAAGTTCTCTGCTATAGATTACAAAACTGCTTTTCAAAGGTTGTCTGTTTACTTGGCTGCATAGAATTTGTAGCTAATTTACTACACGTTTGGATAATGAAGGATTCCTCCAAAGCCATGAATGGATTTATGAAGGATTTGAAGATTTTAGGAAGGTCAAGTCAAGTGGATTCGCGTTGAGAGTTCAAGGAGAATGTGCCAAAAAGAGTCATTTGGTTTGGGCTCAAGGGAGGATTTTAGAGGAATAAGGAATGCCACTAGTAATAAAAGGCCCAAGGAGTTTAGGTCAGTGCTTGTGGAAGTTACATCACTGAGCAGCATTTCTGAAAGGATTGTGAAGAGAATCTCTGATTTCTCTTTTGTGTGAAGTTGGCACTCCCACCATCATGACGACCGGTATGCAGATCAATACTACACGTTTTCCAGCATACACCACCGGCACCCCAACCTCCAAGGTCACTACCATCACCCCCAAAGGAGCCACGGGGGTCACTGTGGCCGGCAGGACCCTGTATGTCAGGACCCCACAAGGCGGTGCAATCCCTGGACAGGTACGTGCATTGTACTTTACCTGATAATTAAAGTGGGACTGGTTTAATGCAGAGGCAGGCAAATGTTTGTATTCCTGACTGGATTTTGTGAGATGGATGTTTAAAAAGTTCTTTCACTGAGTTTAGTTTAAACAGGAAACAGGTTTTTTACTGAAAAACTTGGTTTGTCCTGATCTCTGAATTCAAGTATTTCGGTTGAATGTTTTTTCCACCTTTAATGTTCAAAAGGCTGTCGTGAATGTAGCAACACCTGGCAAACTCCCAATTCAGTCGACCAATCAAGTCATCCGGCCAGCCGTCCCGGCAGTTGTTACACCCTCCTCTGCCACGCCCGCCGCCACACCTTCCACCACCCCCGCCCAGACGCAGCTCTCCGGCCAGGCACACGTCTTCACCGCCCAGGCCCAGTCGGTCATGGTGGGCAACCAGCGGTTCGTCATCACCCCAGCCCAGGTGCAGGTACAGGGCACCGGCCACATGATGGCTGCCCAGCTGATCCAGACCACGACAGCGCAGGGAACGACACTGCAGCGGTTGGTCTTGACGCCCAGCGCTGCCACTGCTGCTGCCACACCTGGTCAAGGTAGGGCACATCCATTTGGACAGTCGTCAATCATGGAAATACCTTTCTTCAATGTCTCTGCTAAGCTGTCTCTTGTTTGCCATTTCAAATTGAAGAACATTGCATTTTAGTGTTTAACAGCTAACGTTTCCTTCCCTCATCTCAAGTCACTCTCAATAGGTATTCATACTCACAGTTTTCTGTGGTCTTAAAAAAATTCTACATTCTGTAGCTATGCTGTGCAAGTCGTTGACACCACAAACTGACACTCGGTGGTATTTGGGTTTACAGATTGTGCAGAACTGCATAAGTTTTGTTTTCATCCCACTGTTACCGAGCACTGTTTACACTCACTCTTTGCTCATTTTTTCTCAAAGGGAAACTTTACGTAAATTTCTCGAATTAAAATGTTTCCAGGTATAATTTTTTCAATATATTGAGTACATTCATGTAAAACCCTTTAAATTTTTTTTTCTGAAAGTATATCTGTTATATGCATGTCCATTCAGAAAGCCAGAATTATTCTACAGTGCCTCTGTTACCAGTACGCACACACCTAGGTGTCATTTTGTGAAACCCTATCTGTTTATCTGGTTTTTTCACGAAGTGCCTTAAGAGAGTTATTTCATTTCAGTTTGTGATAACGTTGACATTACTTTGCGAGACGTCCAGGAATTTGCACCAGTACTTGCACTAGATATTCTGGTCCTGTCACCTTTGTGTATGACTGAATCACTACTGATCAGCATGAGGAACTGTAAGTGAACAACCATCCCTGAAACGGTATGAAGACCAGCCCCTAATTGCTTGCCATTTTTAAACTCCTGCAGCAAGTCAGCAAACTCCTAGCGTGCCTCAGCCACTCAATATTCAGGCCACCCTGCAAGCCTTGCAGCAGCAGGCCCAAGCCCAGCAACAGCAACAGCAGCAGCAGACGACGGCCCTGCCCCAAGCTAAGGCTGCCCCTGCCACAGCCCAGGCCCTGGCCAAGGCAGGTGGCGGCACCAGCAACCCGCCACTAGACTTGCAGCAGCGATTGCTGCTGGCCCAGCAGCAAATGCAGCAACAACAGCAACAACAGGTGCTGAAAGCCCAGACGCCCAAGCCTGCTACACCCAAGTCGCCCACCAAGAGGCAGTCAAGTGCCCAGAAAAAAGTGAGGGCTCTCTCAATGCTTTTATTTTTTAATTGGATTGCAGGATCTTGAATAGAAAAGGTAATGGGATAGTGTACTTGGTTTCAACTTTTTCTAATGTTTTGCAATCCTGTTTGAGTCCATATCTCCAGGTTTTTTAATGAAATGTTGAGTATTGCCTTTGGGAATGAAGCTGAGGTGCTCAAAGACTCATAATAAAGTCCTTTCAAACATCAGTTATTTCAGTTTTTTGTCCTAGCAAGAGAGTAAACTTTATGTTTATGTTGAGTTCTATTGTCAGTTTGAAAGGAAGATTATAACTGTTGAGCGACCATCTGGGTGTCGTCTTGGCAATTTATAACCCTCCTCTGGTGTTTTACCCATAGAAGCAGCAGCAACAACAGCAGCTGCTCAAACAGCAACAGCAGCAGCTGCAACAGCAGCAGCAACAGCAGCAAGTGCAGCAGACCCTAGCCCTGCGGGAGGAGCAGCTGAAGCTGCAGCTGCAGTTCCAGCGGGAGATGGTCAAGCAGCAGCAGAGCATCCGGGAGGCGGCTGAGCTGGAGACGTTGCGGGCCAAGCAGCGACTCATGTCACCCACGGAGAAGGCCGATCACCAAAGGTATGAAGCTTCCGAAAGGCATGTATCCTCCCCCCCTCCTCCGCACTCCCTTGCTGAGGACAGCAACCTTCTGTGTTGTTTGTCCTTTTATTTCTGTACCTATCAGAGTGTTGGTACAAACCTTCAAGTCGAGTGTCACTTGCAAGCTTCTGTGATTCCAAGTTTCAAATGTTGTTTGGAGGGCACCCACCTACAAAGCACAGGTTGCATTTTCTGATGTTGCATTTTCAGCCCTCTACATTTTTTTTAGAATTACACCATTCTCACATCACGGTGGTCAAGAAGTAAGAGTTTTGGTATTTGTTAATGGTAAAGGTATGGGCGGCGATTTTCCCCTTTTCTGATCGAATTCCTGATGACGCAGCATTTTATTTGTGAATAGGCAGCAAGCTTGTGCTGTAATATGTGGCTTCAAACAGTAATAATTTAATATCCAATTTGACAACAACAAATTATGCAGTGCCCCACAGGTGTTTTATATAATACAACTTTGATTTAAAAACCGTAAAGATCCAAAAGAGAGAGAAGGACATTATCCTTTAATTCTGTTCAACTGCTTGACAACTAGCCAACAACATTGAGGAATACTGATGCCACAGTGTTTGTGGTCTCTCCTGTTAGGATGCTGGCATGCCAGCAGGTCATGAAGAACATCCTGGACCGCATCGAGCGGGAGGAACGTCAGAACCTGAAGCGCAAGCGCAAAGAGGAGACCATGGCTGATAAGAGGCAGCGTGTGGCCTCTAACAAGCTAGTGGGCTTGCTGTACAAACACAAGGAGGCCCTCAAGAGGGAGATTTTAGCAAAGCGAGAACTGATGGAACAGATGCTCCTTAAGGAAGCCCAGGTGAGCAGTGGAAAGATTTCCTCTGACAACCATCTTGGCATCGGTATTTTTAAATCTATTTCAAGTGTGCATTCAACCAATTTTGTCAAATGTTAGTATTGCTCTATTCATTTTGCTCAATAGGATGAGATTAAGCAGGCCACCAAAGCAGCCAAGAAGCGCAAACAGACCGAGGATCCCACGGCTGTCACCAAAAAGTTGTCGGACGTCTCCAAGTCCAAGAAGAGGAAACTGATACACACGTCCCCAAGCTCCAAGTCCAAGAAGGAATCCAAGCGAGAGGCCAGCAAGGCTGACACCAAGGAGACCACCAAGGCAGTAGTTGTCCAGGAGGCAGAGAGACAGGAAATGAAAGTTGAGGTGGAGGAAGAAGAGAAGCCTACAGCACAGCAAGGAGAGGAGGAGGATCCAGAGAAGCTGTACTGTATATGCAAAACACCCTATGATCCATCAAAGTAAGTTTCTGAAGCCCGTCATTTTTAAATGAGCTTTTAAATGAGTGCTAAGGATACACCTTAGCCTTCTTTTTAGCTTTTGTATGCAGCAGGGGAATCGTATTCAGATCCCCAGTTTATCACAAAGTACGTTTTGTGAGACCTTGCTGAAACCGAAATGAGTGAAAAGTGGGAGGAACTGAAGAAAGAAAAGGTTTGTGAATTATGAATTTTGAAAACTGAATATTGAAACTCGCAGTTTCTTCCCAAAGAAGTTTATTTTCCAAGTTGAGCCAGGCTGAAGTAATTCTGACTATTGTTTGAACATGGGGCTACCAAGATCCTTGATAAATGAGCATTTCATTATGTTAACTCCCGTAAAGGCACACTTACAGTTTCCCCATTAACAAGAAAGTGTCATTGTCCATTTCTTGTGAAGTTAAATATTCATATCTCAACGTATAGTTTCTAGGCGGGCAGTGAGTGCTTCAGTTTATTAATCCTCACCCATATTGTGCAGAGTCCATCAGAACCTTTGGGTGGATTTTAAAGGACCAGGGTGAGTGGCAAATGGTCAAGAAGTTGTCGATGTGATCTTGGTTTTTCAGGTTCTACATTGGCTGTGACATGTGCCAGAACTGGTTCCATGGCACCTGTGTCAATATCGATGAGGATGTGGCAGAGAGCATGAATGAGTACATTTGTGACGAGTGCTCCGCTCGCAGGCAGGAAAATGAGGAGGACCTGTACTGCCTGTGTAGGCAGCCCTACGATGAGACGCAGTAAGTAGGCCAGGACATACAGTGGTGTGCTTGCTTAACTCTTCAGTCTTTGTAACATCCCCAAGTTCTTTTGCCATTTCGTGTTGATCACTTGGAAGCATCCAAGAATATTTGACACAGAATAGGTCAAGTGACTGAAGGGTTCATCAGTCATGGTTCAAGCCGGTGTGTAGTAGGCTCTACCTCATGAATCTGCTCGGTACAGAATGATGCTTGTCATGTATGTTCTCAGGGAAGTTATCATTAGAGATCAAGACAAACACTGCCCAGTTTGGCCTGGCAAACATTTCAGTGTACAGTGAATGGCATAGGTTGGAGTAGACCCTGTGCAAAGTTGCATAGTGTGAGGCCGGCTCGAACGCAGTTGAATACCTTCCGCCCATCTTAACTTCACTTGCAGGTTCTACATCGGCTGCGATCACTGCAACGACTGGTTCCACGGCCGCTGCGTCAACATCTCCCAGCGAGAGGCGGAGTTCATCGAGAACTACATCTGTCCCAGGTGCCAGTCGGCCAAGACTCAGAAGAGCCAACGGAAGCTGGAAGGGAAGGACTTTGATCACCTCAAGAAGGTCCTGAGGCAGCTGCAGGTAAGAAGACAAGTTGGAATATTATAGTCTAGTACGCTGAGCTCAGCCACCATATCTTAGTCAAAACAGGGCCTAAGAGTGGCCAGTGCTTCGTTGCTTCATCCTTGCAGCACCATGTACTTTTCACGGCAGTGACTTGCAAGTTCCACATACTTTCCACTCACATCAGCATGTGTTGATGTTCTGAGTGTGAGATCCACAGGGTGTGTTCATCCAGGGTATCTCAGGGTTCAGGGCTGAAGGCTGTGATGCTGTGATATTTTTCATTGCATTGTTTCAGAGCCACAAGATGGGATGGCCATTCCTTGAGCCTGTGAGTGATATTGATGCACCTGACTACTACACAGTCATCAAGGAACCAATGGGTAAGATACACTAGCTACCAACAATTTGCATTGGCATTACTGAGTTTGTCATCTTGTGTCCTTGTCAGTTGGTTTTGTGACAGTACTCTTGAATATACACTTTGGAATTGTTTGAAAAAGATAAGAGAACATATCATATGCTCTTAGGTCGAGTTCGGGCGGTCTGTTCTTGACACGGGTTTTGTGTTCTTGCGCTTGAACGGCGGGAACAGGATCACACACCACCTCCTCGTCAGGATTTTACACAAACACACAGAAAAACTCGTGAGATTTGATGTTTGAACAGCCGCAAAATGTACCAATATTGCATTACAAAGCCGAAGACAATGGAAAGTTTTGCAAAATGACATTAATAATTTTCCATGACAGAAATCAATTTTTTAAATGGAAAAGAAGTGAGCCCAGTTATCCAACATTAACTCGCGAAGAATGCACAAGGACGCTGCCATGTTGCTTGCCACAAATAACTACTAGCGCTAATAACCGGTTGTACATTCCCAGCATTCGAACAACCAACCCTGTTCATGACCAGCCTTAGATTTCTGCCTCCTGAGAGGAATAATGGGTTGTCTTAGCCTCAGTCAAATTAAGCTTTGCATTAAACTATACGTCCTAAAATACACTTGGAAATGGCAAAAGCAACAGAAATTGAATGTAAATGAGACACAGCGATACCTGTTGTGTGGATCTGTAAACAAGTTCCTTCCCATTCCCTTTCCACACAGACTTCTCCACCATCGAGGACAAGCTGAAGCGGAAGAAGTACACCATGCTCCACGAGTTCAACAGTGACATCAGCCGTGTCTTTGACAACTGCCGCTACTACAATCCATCCGATTCCTCCTTCTACCAGTGCGCCGACGTCTTGGAGAAGTTCTTCATCCAGAAGATGAAGGCTTTCAAGGAGTGAAGCGCTGAAGTCTCGCTGCTCCATTGCCCCTCTTTGGGACCGGTTGACGGTGCCGTGCACATAAGTCAGCCGCAGATCACGGAGGAGCCACTGGGAATTCATCCACTTTGGGACCCTACTCACATTAAACCCGAGCAATTCTTCAAGTCACCGAATGGCACACTGATGTTGCAACTTTCTGTTGAAGGTGCAGAAGAAGATGATTGAAATGTGCACCTCATTGCACTTCACGTGCAAAGGGAATGGAAGAGGAAAGGACTTTCAGTGTGATGGTATTTAATGGTCAAGTGCACTTTCTGCCAAAGCTTTTTATCATGAATTGGAAGGTGTTGTTTACTCCGGTTTTGTTCACTCCAGCTGGTGTTTTGGGTAACAAAAACACCCAAAGTGTCCTCCCTCTACAAAACGTGGTCTTTGCACCATTTTCGTGTGGGGTAATGCACAGAGAACATTGAAGAACTTTGAACTCAAGGACAACCGTGATAGCTTTTGCGGTAAAACAACAAACCGAATTACGGACCATGTTTTGCACGCATGATAGATTCTTCCATTTTCCTACTTTTGTGGTCACTCTTCTCTGTATAAAATACTGTAAAAATAACTGATCTGAGAATTAAGAAATTCAGGTAATGTTTACTGCGATTATCTTGTATTGGCCACTTCAGATAGGCCACTTTAGAGTGTATATATTAATTTCTGTTTCTTGGTTCAGTACAGCTGTTGTTTTACTGCACACTTTAAATTATTGCTGTACAGAATTTCAAGACAAATTCTTGCAAATGTAAACCAAAAACGAAATTCAGCCACACTGTTTTGTTGTGTGAAGGTCCCAGGAAGATTGCATGTATCGTATTGTAATAGCTTCTCAACATTGCTGGAGAGGTCCCCTATTTCTCCAGACATGTACATTTGTATGTATATAACTATATTTACTTCAGATTTATAGCATTTAAGCACATTTAGTGTGAATTGATATGACATTTAGTCATACAGATGTCATTAATGGAATTCAGGTTGAGAAGGGACTTATTCCTTTTGCCAGTGTCATGGTGTATTGACTGTCGGCACAAACAGTTCTTTTCTTGTATTGTGTGGGGGTCAAATGTGAACAGGGTCTGTAATTGCTTTTCCTGTGTTTATCCCCCTTATTTATTCATGTGTCTTTTCTCTTTAGGTTTCCTTCTGTGTGGATGGATTGTTGATTGAAATTTGGAAGAACTGGGTCGTTGATAGATTCAAGACCTCAGTAGGTTCAGAGATAAAAATATGAAAATTAGTTGTTCTCATCCCATGAGTTTGTGGGTTTTTTACACTCTCTATTTTGTTAACGTCAGTAAACGTCATGGGGGAGGGGTAGAAAGACGTGTAAATGCTGAGTGTAAGAATTATCTGCACATAACTGAACAGGTCTGAGATTGCAATCATATTTTGAGGAAAAAGTTTCCACACATATTTTACATTTTTGAAGGAAACGGAAAAAATGCTTGATTGGGTGCTTGAGAATATTTTTACAGGGAACACATTTTGCACCTATGATGAGTAGGATATTTATTTTCGTAAAGTTGTTCTCAACGGAGTGTGATGTGTAAATCTTAACATGGACTGAATTAATTTTAGGGAAACTGCAGACGTGTAGACAAACACTGGGGAACAGATTCTGTAATCCTTTAAATTAGACTTATTTCTAGTAAATATTGAGCAGCAATTGTAATGTTATTTATCGTGTTGACATATCTGATGTGCGGAATTGAAAACTATGACTCTTTCAAAATCCCTCGTTCATGAAATCTGTAAATAATTCAAGGAAGTTTTACAAAAGGGCACCTTTTTATACTCACTGGCATTAAATGCACTCATCAAATGAAATAACAGAACACCTTTTCTACCCCAAGAAGTATTGTATTGTTTAAGGACCAGTTCAGAAGTTGATTTCATTTAGTGATCAAAATTGTGTACGGTGGACACTTTGGTTGTTTCTTTTTCTCTTTTTTGTGTGTTTTGTTTAAGTCACAGTTATTGTAAATATGATTTATTGGCATGATTAAAATATCGGACCAGGCGTGGGAAGAAACAGTTCATCAAATTTGTTAGCCTTGTTTCATTTCATTCGGTGTAAAAATATCTTTCCCAGAGGTGGTTTCAAAGGACAAAAATGTTTCAATCATTTCAAAAAGAAAGTTCTGCAAATAAGCCCAAGAGATGAAATCTCTAAATTGGGGGGGGGGGAGAGAGAATAATGGTCAGTGTTCAATGTTGTTGCATAGTTTGGAAACCTTTGAGCAGAGGTGATATTCATTTGTAAAGATTGTTTCTGATACCAGGTTTTTTCAATCAATTTCTTTTACAATCTGGAAAATCTGGTCTTTTATGTATTGTCAGTGACTCCTACTCACATGTTTTTGGAACTTGACTCAAGTCCTGACGGGTAAATGACTCAAGTCACTGCAAGCATATGACTTGGAAGTCCCTAATTAGAAGGTTAAACTCAAGTTAATAAGACTTGAGTCCCAAAAATAAATTTTGTGAAAATATTCTGCACTTATTTTTCGTGATGGTTTATAGTGTTTTTGTGTTATCAATAGTAATGTGGTGTGACCGCATCTCTTAATCCAGAGGAAAATTTCAAAATGCCAAAAAAACCCTACTTTGTCTTCTGTTTTATTCATGGTATTGTGTTCAAATATTTGTGGCTCAAAGCAACTCAACCAAAATACTTGAATTGACCACTTTTTCACCTAATGACTTGACTCGAGTCACAAAAATTAGACTTGTTACAACTCTGGTAAAAGTTGATATGCAACTCGTGGAACTAAAAAAAAAAAGATATATTAAGGGTTGCCTTTTATAGGAAAATGTACATGTACATGGATTCTGTGCTGCTTTAAGGCCCTCAAAACCCCCGGTAAGTATTTCCTGGATATTATTTCCTCCAGTCTTTCAACCCTCCTTGAGAGATCTGGCTTTTCAACCATTTCCCATGTAAGGGTTGTTTTCAAGTTCCTAATTGCAGTACATGTAAGTGCTCATTTTATACGGGAACTCGAGCAGACTTGATGGCGTGCCCAGTTGAAATGTAAAAGGCAGTTTTATTGCATACTTTTACTATGCATTTGCATAAATACTCCTGGCTGAATGCTTCATTTTATCCCAAAGACCCTCCTCTAGGCCTCCTCCACTGATGCGACGCACCTCATCTTTTCAATCTTGATGTTGTATAACGACTCTTGCAGCGAATGTTTGACAAGACATACAACAGTCGTTACTAAATTTATGTCTTAGGTCCAGACTTCATTGTACTTTATTTCGACGTATGGGCCCCATGGTACCCAACATGCTGCAAATTACACACACATGACGTACATGTATGATGCAGCAGCAATGCAATCAACCTCGGCAGCGAAAAGCGTACCGAAAAGATCGACCAAATGTTTTCATCTAAATTACATCATTTCTCAAGTTTTATATCATATAAAACCTGTATGAGGCTCTTTTGTAGTCACAGTAATGCTAGTGTGGTTTCTGGTGTGCTAGGGAGAGTAAAGGCGTCTCGTGAAAAACTAAAAACATTGACATTGTCACCTGCAAATTTGTTTGCGTCGTCTGCAATCTTAAATGCAACAACGAAGAGACAGTTTCTAGTGACGTACATTCATACGCGGTGTTATTTTCAGCCAGTTGGCAGTTTGGGAAACTTTTTATCTCTTAAGAAAAAAATGGCGGAGGCTCAGAGGCAGATATTCAGAGCGAAACACCAGAAACGACAGAACCGACTTGCAGGACGCGCCAAAGAGCTCAAACTGGACAGACAGGGGAAAGTGTCCATCCAAGTGACAGGCGCAGGGACAAGTGCTTGTCCACCTTCCATCTTGGTCATTGCCGAATCTGTCAGGTATTGACACGTTTGAGATTAAAACATCATGTCAGTATTTGTCAATGTTACTACTACAATGTAAGAACTGATACATTTTAGGGAAAGAGGTCCGTATATGGACTCTTCCATATACTGACAACACTTTATGCCCCCATTGTGCCCGTGCATAAACCTACGTAAGACTAGCAAGAGACCTGTCTGAAAAAACCTAGGGGCCGAAGTACTTGGTACTTACTTGGTACTTGGTTAGTTTCCTCCTGAAACATCCTCTAGGGATCTTTACTAGGAGGGCAAGATCCCTAAGATCCCCTTGCTAAGTATTTTCTAAGTAAATGCTTTAGAATTTTTGGGACATGTTATCACATTCTGACAGCTGTTGTAACACTTAAAGGGAAAATTAGTGTTGTCCATATATGGAGCTCTTTCCAGTATTAAAGTTATTTTAAAGACGTGAAGAATGACAGGGATTGAGGAACCAGTAGGTATTGTATAATATAAGCCAAAAAAAGAGGCCTATATTATTGTACAATACCTACCTAAATCTCTGTTATCTGATTGATGGGTTGTTGATTGTGCATCATTGAATTATTCATGCTATTCAATGATACCTGTTGAATAGAACTTCACCACCAATTCATATATATCTCATTCCCAGTAAATAACAAAGAGGAAAATATAAATGTGGGATGGAAACCAGTCTAACATTGCACAGTGGTGTTATGGTGCTTCAGACATGCTAGACCTACATTGTATTTGTTCTAACAGAAGAGGATTTATGCAGGTATGTTGTGCAAAGAAAGAATGAATGTTTCACATTTGTGTCGTGGTGAGAATAATTTCATTCAGATTGGTTTTAAAAACAACACTAAATCATTGCTTGTTTTCCAGATACCTTTTCAACTGTGGTGAAGGAACACAGCGACTCATGTTTGAGAACAGGTATGTGAAATGAAACTGTTGCTAGATAAGTGAATGATTACACAAATCATTGTATCCAAAGTTCCAGACAGTGGAAAGCACAGTTGTCGATGCAGGAGTCATGCTTATTTAAATAGTAGTTAACAGTGTCAGTAATGCTGTCATTTCCAATCATTTGTTGTCACACCTTCCTGAAAGTTCATTGAAAAGCATTATATGAAAGTCACCCAGTCTCAAGTCAAATCGCAAGATTTTCAAAGAAACTCTGACAATGGAGTTCCTTTGCTACTTATGATTCTGTTAGAGCAGGATCGGTGGAAGGACATTTGAGTGAACTGTAGGAAGAGTGACTGGTATACTTGATGTTATTGTTGACCCTTTTGAACAGTTTTGCTGCAATACAAATCAAACAGCCACCTTATCTACCGCATAGAAAAAGAATGAAAAAGACATTCATGTACGTGTAGATGTGTTGCTCACAACTTTTCGTCAAGATGCGTTGGTTTGTTTTGGTTCTGTAGGATAAGAAGCTTGGCAAAGCTTGAGCATATATTCTTTACAAAGATGACCTGGGACAACCTTGGAGGATCGATTGGTAAGAAATTCAGATGCAATGTCTGCTCATCAGAGTACAATATAACTCAACACAAATAATGGTCCCCACTCCTCAAAAACTCCACTATTCTGCTTTGTGTATTTAAGTCAGTGGATTGAGGGTTGTACATGTATATACACCAACCAGCCATTGACACTTTACACCCAGAATGTACAAAGAATCTGCATAGAATCGGCAAAGTAGCAGATTTTGTCGGTTTTTCAGCAAAAATAAGATGGAATCCAGGGTCACTTAGTTTAGCCTGAGATCCAGTCACGGTGCGAAGTGAGATGAACATTTATGCTTTTGAGATTTATTTATGTTAGGTACATACATATATGAATACTTATTGCATGCTTAAAATTGTGTACAATAAAGTTACAAATAAAGTCACTGGAAAGTGCATTTTTATTGTCATTTTGGGATTAATGATATAACTATATGTTCTTTATCCCGTAAAATTGTTGTGATTGTTTTTTTTAAAATCAATTTAATTTTACATTTTCCAGGCATTGCACTTGTTGACAAGATTTTGAATGATTGTTACATGTTTTTTGTTGTTTTCTTGGCAGGAATGATGATAACACTGAAGAATGTGGGTTTGCCTAAACTGTCTTTATACGGCCCCCCAGAACTGGTGAGTGAAAAGCCTGCGTATTCCCATCAATTGCTTGACAACTCAACCCCCCCCAATAACCTCATCACCAACTTCATCCCAACCCCCAATGCGACCTAACCCTCCAAAACAACAAGGCGGTTCAGCCCCCTTCATTGCACTTAAACTCTCATCATTCATTTCCCACATCTGCATCTTTTCTTTCTTTTTGTTTCTTCCAGGGGGAGTTCAGCAAAGCCCTGCAGATATTTGCCAAGCACGAAGCCATCAGCCTAGGTAGATACTGTTTAGAAGTATCACATCAAGGCTGGTTCATACATGTCCGTGGCATGAAAGCAAATGTGTGCACAAAGTGGTGATGTCAGATCAAGTATCTCTCCATATATTAACAAAATATAAACATCAACAGCCTTGATGTGTGGGTTCTGTGTTTTTTTATCTGGCTCTTATTTTGTGTTCCTATAGGAACCACTAAAATGCTGAACTAATGTTTATCTAGTAAGTTATGTGGTACTTCTTGGTGATTTGAGTTACATCATTTATCAGTGGCATATTTAGTGCCCACTCCCTCGTAAAATAGAACAATTCCAATTTTAAAAAATCGTCAGGTTCCCTTTTGGTGTAACTATTTTTTCTTGATGTCCAAAAATTTTATTGAATCAAATACAATTTTTCCATTTTCTTTCTTGACCCACCTTTTTCTCAAATCAAATTTTAGCTGCTCATCTGTTTTAAAATGGTGAGCAAATATCATATAAGCAACTACAGCTGTGCATGTTAAGCATGATTTTTAACCTAATACAAATTTGTTATTATTATTATTACTATTTACTCCCTTCAGAGTTGATTATCCTGTGAATGCATGTTATTCAGAGACTAATCAACTCAGCCTGGAGTACAGTAAATTTGAGCGAGGTTCATGATTGCGCTTAACATACAAATATCACCCTTTTGCAGATGTCAAACCATACACGCTAGGTCCCTTTGTCAATGAAGTGATGACTGTTACACCGGTGCCCTTGTATGGTAAGTGCAGATGACCCATTTGTATTTCATTGGTGTCTCGATGCTTTGACTGAGTCAGTGCTCTGGTAGAATGCCCTCAGCTCTAAATAGCACCTTGGCCTCTGTGCACCTTACCGGTGAAAAGAAGAGAGGTTCGGCTGACATTAAAAATTTCATTAGTTTATGTATGGCACTCTCCCTGAGACCACATTTGCACGTCTTTGTGCATTCTCGTTATGAAAACTTATCTTTGTATGCACTGATCCTAATGCTTTGGAGCCTGTGTGGACTGTGTGTTAGCTTCTAGTACCAGGTGCCCTGAAATGTTTCTGGATAGCCTGTAGGTAATTTACACTGGGCTAAAGACTACAATCAAGGTGGGAAGTTAAGCAAGTTGATGACTTTGTATGCCTTCACACTGTAAAAAGGGTTAGACATTGCTGGATCCTACAAATCACTGTATGATGGGATAGGGATGGGGAGTAAGGTAACCTATGGAGTACATTTGCACTTACTGAATTGATGTTTGTTGATAACAAATCAAAATCAATATCCATAGCTAGCACTGGATAAGCTAGTATAACAAAATCCACCATCTTTAACATGGGCACTGATGCCATTGTGTGTTGTTAATTATAAGGGGAAAAGACTGTGCAAGTTGATGGCTGCACACTGTTGGATTTTGATGGAGTCAGTGAGGTTTGTTTTAGATATGCCTTAGGAGTAAGAGTTCCTCTCTCGTCTCCCACCAGAGGGATCTGACCAGGGACAACCCAGCTCCAGCAGCACCTCACCCGCAAACCACCAGCCAGACTCTCCTACTGTGAGCCCGGCTGCGGTGGAGGAAACAACAGATCAAGACCAGATAGATGACGATTCAGACGTGGAGCCTGGCAACTCGGACGGGAAAAAGAGAAAAGCTAAAGATCCCTTTGAGGTCATTTCACAGATGGCAGTGAGACAACGTCACAGCCCCAGTATGTGTGCATTTGCACAAGAATTTCGGTCCCACTGACTCGGTGATTCAGCATAGCAAAAATGAACTGAAAACTTTAGGAAGACACAACAAGCAGATGTATCATTTAGAAGTTGTCTCAATATTATCATTTCCTTGAGCCTTTTTTCAAATTACAGCTATACTGTAACCCTTCATGGTATTTTGACTTGAAGCCCTGCTAAACTAGATCCAACATCTTACAGATCAACTTTACCAAGGTCAATCAACCTGAGAGACCCACCATTGTACATTGTTCAGTGGACTGGCTTTCATCGTTCAAAAAACAGCCCCCCCCCAGTTTGTGGAATACAACATTTGTTTGGGGGACACACTCTTCCACAATAAACATACTTTTCTTTCATATTTTAATTGGTAACCGTTTAATTGAAAACATGCATAGCCACCCCACCTCTTTTTGTCTGGGGAGTTAATTTTTTTTTTTTTCTTTTTGGGCAGGTCCTAAACGGAAAAAGACTGAAGATGCTCCAAATATGACTATTGCGTACATCTGCAAGGTATGTATTAAATCTTGAAATTTCCATAGAAAATATCTTTAAATTTCTGAAAAAGAAGTTCACTTGGTGTAGAAAATTGCACTAAAACAACCCAAAATGCCTAACATGTAAAAGTTGGAAGGTCGTGAGTTTCAATCCTAGCAGGATCTCTCTTGAAGGCAAAATGGAAAGTCTTATCGTTGGATACTCTCTGACTAATGTTAATACAGTCCAGATCTGTCCTACTCCATGCTGTTTTTGAAGGAGTTTTCAGGATTGATGAAGATGGATAATGCACCCTCGCATTAACTCTCCTGCATAGCAAAGGAATATTTAGATTCAAGCTTATTTTAGGTATCAGAATATTTCTTAGTGAAACAGCTTCAGTGGTAAGGAATGTTTCACTCCCTTTTCTTTGACAGATTCACGACACCCATGGTCGATTGGACGTACAAAAGGCAAAAGACATGGGATTGAAACCGTAAGCACATCAGTTTGAACACTTCAGTTTGTACACAGTCACCCTCCGGAAGATGAACAGAGCATACTGTTTGGAATGTCGAGTGTTCACCATCGGTTCTACTCAGAACCACGCACTCATAATAGAGATATTTTCTTCTACATGGTGCAACTGCAAGCCTCACCTAATTTTTCTACACTTCTTCTGATGAGAGTAACAGTTTTTGTGCAGAACTGTTGTAGGGCATACCCCTCTAAAACACAGTTTGCAAAATTACAAAAGTGACGTTCTTGATTGCTTGTATGGAAATCTAGTCCTCATGTTAACAGCAGATGGAAAACAGACTTGTGTTAAAAACTGGAAACACAGCTTGGCTCTTCACACTTGTACATTTTTCATAATAAAGAGATAACGTTAATTTGACATCATTGACAAATTAGTAAATTTCAGGAGAATCAGTTGTTGCTGTACACCAATGACATGTTTGTATTACCAAATTTAACATTGTTTGTTGGTTTACTGTTCACACTTTCAAGCAGTGTATGATGAATTGTTCATGATATGTATTTCTGTCCTACTGTTGAGGAACTTCCTTACATACAGCTGTTGCTTTTGCAATGTTTTGTCAGGGGTCCTGACTATGGCCTGCTCAAAGCTGGAAAAGTGGTGACCACATCTGATGGCAAAGAAGTAAGTACATTATATCACAATGTTAGAACTACTCTTTCATAGGTGTCAGACTTCTTGTGACAAATTTTGCATTGTCAGGATTTTTGAGAAGGACAACATTCCTCAGACTAACTGAAATCAGATGCCCTGGGCCCCTGGCAAAAATTGAGACGTCATCATCTGACAGTCTGGATTGTGATGTGGATGTTTGTAGCATACACGAGTTGTCTCTCTAGCATTTCAATCAAACGTTTCAACACACTGCACCCACCATGGTATTAATTGAGTGCATTATACTGAGGTAGTCATGCTAGGCCGTGATAAATCACATGGTTTTGATTAAGCTTATGGTATAAAATGGTGCTCACATCCTTGCCTTCAAATCCAGATATGGAAAAATGTTGTATGTGCTAGTGTGATGTTACAGAATGGAGTACGATGGTATGTGGCGATTTGTGAGAAAAGAATTTTGAGGAAGAAGCAAGGAAACACCATCATGCCTATATTGACATGTCAAATTGTATAAATATTGGTTCACTTTCTTGTTCAGATTAAACCTGAAGATGTACTTCAGCCGTCCACACCCGGTGCTGTTTTTATTGGTATGGATATGGAGTCTTTGGTCTGTTCTCTTGTTACTAACCCTACTCTATTGCCAGTTTTTTTAAAATCACTAACAAGGCTTTTGTGGAAATAAGGAAGGTTGAGCCTTGTCATTGTTCTTTACATGTGTCTTCTTGAAACCTGTTAAAAACATAACGTAAGATGCGGGAAATATCCTTCTAAAAATGCCAAAGAGGTTTAGGATTAATACAGATCTGAAGTCACACATTGTCAAATTTCCTTTTTCATGAATTCATTGTTCAATATTTGGTTTTGTGTTTTGTGTGCTTGCTTTCCAGTTCTGGAGTGTCCATCTGAAGAGTTTGTGGATTCTGTTGTCGGCAATGAAACTATGTCCAGGTCTGTGCTCAGCTGAACCACAGCCAAAATTCTTGAGTTAGTCAGACGTTTTCAAAACTGCTTATCATCACTACTTATGTGCTTTGGTTTATCAGTCCGTTGGATCCAGCTAAATTCGCTCTGTTGACTGAATGGGGTCATGTGGATCACAATACAGTGCCCAGTGTTAATTCCCCCAACTGCTAATAAGTCTATTTCTAGCCTGCAGGCTGGCATCGGTAATTGTGCAATGTTTTTCAAGCCATTGTGGTTAGAAATTTGCAGTTTTCCAGCCGTTGAAATCAGTACGAGTAAATGAGCTGAAGAAATTTTTGAATGACTGTGGCACTTTGTGTTTGGAAAAAGAAGGGAGTTCAATTGCAAGATCAGGTTGTAAGAGCATGGACAAGATGCGATAATTTAGAGCTTGTTGTGATTGTGATTGGAGGGTAGTCTTGCGATGCTGATCTCTTCCTACAGATGTTGTGAACAACAGAAGTGTCTATCAGCAATCTAAAGTGGCACTGTGAATTAGCCCCCGTTGTGGCTCATGCGATGCTGACCTTTTTTTTTGTCAGATATCAGGCTGACTGTGGTGACAACACAGCCACACTGGTGATGCACATGTGCCCAGAAAATGTTACCAATGATGCCAGATATCAAAGCTGGATGCAGAGGTAAGAAAGGAAAAAAAGTGACGTCTGTTGTTGATTACACACCTACCTTGCGATATCCAGTCAAAGGATTTGGCCACCTGCTGCATTCTGTTTTTAAGTTCTCAAGAGGAAAGCGCTGAACCCAGTCTCGAGTCTACTTACAGATGTTGGCAGGAGATATGCTTTGCTGCCTCTTGTTTCAAACCTCATCAAACATTGATTTTACCATGCTTGGACAGAGACTGAGGGGAGTTACGATTCAAGATGAAAGGTTTTTATTGGCTCTGTTTTTGTTTGCTCAACACTCTAGATTTGGCCCGACCACCGAACACGTTATCTTCAACCACAGTTGCCATTCAGTGACCCACGAGGCCAGCAGACGGATTCAAGCCAAGTTGAACCTCATCCACAAGGATATCTTTCCCCTTCTGCCGGTTCATGGGGAGGAGTCAATCCAAAAGGACAAAACGAGGATGGAAGGCAGAGTAGGTTTGCTTGTCCGTGTGATGTTTGATTAGCAGGCTTTGTGTAGAATTTATTTAGTGAATCTTGTGCTTTCTCCAGCGAATATCAAGTTCAGCAGACTGATCCGTGAAGGCCTACTCTTGTCAGCCATGATATTTGTCCTAATTAAATGTTTTCATAAATTTAATTCCCCATTTATTTTCAACATTCTTTACTGCAGTCATTATACGTTTGAGGGTCTAGAGGGAACTTTGTCCTGTTTTTCTTTTCAGCGTCAAATATCATGCCTCTCTGGTACACTGACCAATAACGGGCACAATTTATGTCCAACATGCATCCATAGAGGTCCGACATGCCCATGTGTGCATGTGATGCGGTGCAGCCGAAATCTTCAGTGTGGCATTGAAATGGGATGGGCTGGGAATAAGTTTGATAAGACAAACTCATTAACTGGAGGTCAGTCTGTGGCATGCCTCACATATGAACTGTGGTCAGATGGCATCACAAAACCTCATCACCATTTGCTGCAGCTGTACATTGTGATACGTACAGGTGCTGATAACCAGCCATATAACCAGGCCAATCACAAGGAGATAACCATGATAACTAAACCAGTCCACTAGTTCAGTCATCACTGACGGGCATGCTGTTTTTGATCAGAGTCAGTTGAACTGCAGCCAGCTGTATAGTTCTCATTTAGTTTTGGTCTCTTGTGCAGTTGTAGATTTCTTATTTTCTCTGTTAGTGGGAACTCCCATGCTCAAATAACCAAAAAGGTGCAATCATAAGTTCTAAATACTTGCAACATTTTGCAAAACTCCAAATTCTACCTTAGGGTGAGGAATATTGATGAATGTTCATTAGTCATAAAAGTGTCATAAAAACAGGCCCAGCATTGTGGCTAAAACAGTATTTCAACAGCTTATGTCCAAAATGGGGTGCATCTGAGGTCATTCAGAAACACCGTTTTGTGTGCATGGGGTCTGCCCTTTAATTTCAGCTAAATGGTCTTGCCATTTTGAAACGCCAAATGGGTACATTAACAGCAATATCCACCAACCTGAAAGTACTGAAGCATTGCTGATATCTAGCAATCTGAATTTTTAGCCTTTTTTGTTTTTTTGCTTTTGCAGTTCGTGGGCATGAAAATCCAGAAGGCAGAGAGCTATATGCGATATCACCTCAGACCACACATAGGCTGGGACAGGTGCGTTTTTGGTCAGATGTTTCATATGTCCATGAAGTGAGTGCTTAGCAAAACAAACCTCCATACAAGATTTTGCAATTCTTGCCTGGCGACTGAAGAACAAAAAAACATGTGTTAGTTGAGTAATTTAGGAGATAGAAGATACATATCTCTCATTGAGAAATCTCTCACTGAGACAGTCCTGAAAATATATGGTTAACCAAGTGTAGAGGCTTCCGTTTTTATATTTCTTCCAATCAGAGAGTTTGTCCAGCTACCTAGCACTGAGCCATTCATTGAGGAAGCCATGGCCATACCAGGCTTCAAGGAGACTCTAGATCAGTTGGGTAACCAGCTGACAGAGCACCATCAGAGATGCTTGACGCTCGATAGGCCACGGTACCCTGAGGTGGTGTTCTTAGGGACTGGTTCTGCCATGCCCAACAAAGAGCGAAATGTCACTGGTATCCTCCTCAACTTGAGGTGAGGCTGTGCAGGGAAGGGATGGATCTGGGTATATATCCCCCCTCACTTTTTGACCGGGGAGGATGGGCTATTGGAAAATTCTCCCCCCCACACACACACTTTTTTTGTGGTGAGAAAAGTTAGATTTTAAGGTAGCTTGCCCACAACCAGAACATATTCATTTGTACTGGAAAAGGAAAAAAATACAAAACTATACGCCATTTTAGGGGTGTTAATATAAGATGTACATCCGTAATGTGAACAACGCCCCCTGGCAAAGACAAACAGGTTATTGTATCTAGAACTTTTCTACAGTGGTGGAGATATTCTGCATTTTTGAGAATTTAGTGAATCATCGTAACCAGCCCCACTTGCGTAAAGAAAATTTGGCACTATATTTCATTGCAGTAAGAACCAGTCCATGATTATGGACTGCGGGGAGGGGACGTTTTGCCAACTGCGTCGTTTCTATGGAGACGGTGTAGACAACATATTGGCCAGTCTGCAGTGTGTCTTTGTGTCTCATATACATGCTGATCACCACGTGGTAGGTTTCCCACCTGTTGGTGGCCTAAACCAGTAGAATAAGTTTGAAGTTGCGAGAGCCACTTATGTGTAATAGGTTCCTTCATGAGAAACTTGCACAGATGAAACCAGGAGGAACTCTCAGTATTTTCACCCACTTCAAACTGAATTCTTCCAGATGCCAAGCTGAGTGACTTGTCAGAATTAAGCAATGCTAATATGCTCCTTCCAATCCATAAAATTGTAAGAGTTTTAATATGAATTCTTGCTTGATGGGATACAGTTACTTATGGTTTATAAAGGGTCATTTTTGTTAATGTGCTCAGAGAATTTTTGGACTAAAGAGATTTTTTTCCCTTTTTTTCAGGGTCTTATCCAAATCCTTCGTCAGTGGAAAAGGGTGATGGTAAGCTCAGATGCTGTAGAAAATTAATGTTGAAGTTGGTCACTTGTGCTAAAATGTGGAAAAATACAAAGCCATAGAAATGTGAATTGCATCAGAGCCTTTTCTTCTTCATTGGTTCATATCATGATCACAGTTTGCTTCCATAGTTTCTAAAAACAACCCTACAACACAGGTAATTTGACATCAATAAATTGAAAGAACTACATACACATTTTAATAAATTATGTTTCATTTTCTGAATGCATGTGTGCATTTTTGTTGGATTTAGACCCTTTAATTTTTTTTGAGTCAACGAGACCAAGTTTTCTCTGGCCACTTTTCCCCAACCTTGTTGCCTTATGCCATGTACTCAACAGAGACCGTAACATTTTCAGCCCGTGGCATCATTCTTCAAAAGTGCAGTGAGATTTTAAAGCTAAACTTAGGAGTCCTGCTCTGCTTGTTTGGGTTTTGTCTCCAAGGTTGAAAGAGGAGAGATGTCCAAAAATGTGCTGCTGGTGGGTCCCAAGAGGATGCTGATCTGGCTCAACAATTACCACGCCTCTTGCGAGCCGTTCATCCATCAGATGAAGTAGGTATCCGAGTATTGATTTGTACTTTGTCAACAGCAGCTCTCATCTTCAACTTCCTTCAGATTGGTCAGGGTCGAGAATGAAACAGACTGTATTTTTCCCTCGGAGAGTTGTTCATATTTACAGTAAATTTCATTGTACCATTGCTTCTGTGTAGTGTGCTCTTAAATTCATTTGAAGTACACAGCAATGTCGTGGACTTGCTTGGCAGACCTTTTTTTTCCCTTTTAACCACTTGCTGCCGGGTGCTTTTAAAAATGCAGTGCATACGGGAGATTTTAAACATTTTGATTTTCAAAATTCTTCAAAAATTCCTCATTTCATTTAATGGACATTTACACCCTCACAAATGACTGTTTGGTGGCTACTCTAAGCTGACAGGTAACCTTTATTGACTCCAGGCTTGTAAGGTGTTGCATGATTTCCTTTGTCCCCGGTGAAGGCGAGCGGTGTCTTTTCAAACGCGGCTGGATTAGAATGCAGTGGTGCTGTGTTGCTCATCAATGGGGGCTCTGGAGCACTTTTGTCTGCGGTGCTAATCTGCTGGCCCGCTATGCCCAAAACAGTGGTATACTGTTTAAAAACAGTGCGGATTACCTTCGAAAAATGCAAGCCAAAAAATGATGGCAATTCCCAGCAGCGGGACTTTTGTTCTGAGTCACTGTCTTTTGTTACACAGACCAGCTCTTTTGTCCCATTTTGGGCACCTGGCTCTGCGTATAAACCCATGGTGCTCGAAATGGGGTTCCCCGGCAGCAAGTGGTTAAGCAAGGATGAAATCTGGTAAGAAATATTGATTCAGAATTGGTTCTCTCACTATCCTAACACTTTGGCTGAAAGACAAATAGGTCAACTTTTCAAACTTAAAACCCACACAATATTTGCCCCAATTCTAGGTATAGGTATTCTAGGTAAATATGCATGTAACCAATCTTCCAATATATTACTCCTACTTGCTGCTTCACTGTTTATTTTGCCAGGTGGCTGTCAAGGGACAGCCACAGGTGTCAATTTCCAGCCACACTTCAGCGAGAAAATTTAACTCCTTTTGTCAATGTGTATGGCATTTTTAAAAAAATTGCATAGGAGGCATCAATGGCCATGTTGGAAAGAGAGCTTCCAATTAAACATGATGTGATGTGTGATGTACAGTTGAACTCAGTCGTCAAGTTTTAATATTTCTCTTTGACAATATTTGATAAGGTTCATTGAGCTGGGTGACCTGTCCTGGAAATCTGAGGAGAGGACGAGACATGAGCAGTCGTTGCTGACAAGATTGAATTTAGCTGAGGTAAGAGATTCTGTGGGCTAGCTAGCTTGATGGCTTGCCCTGTAGCGAATATTCAAGACTGTGTTGAAAATTGAGTGCTTTTGAATAGCACTTTTACTTGGTTGATCAGTCTCCTAGGTTCTTAACCTCGATATCCAGTCAACATTATTCCTTTTTCTCTCCAAACCTGGTAATGGAAGAGCAACTTCTTCTTTTCCAGCATTTCCTGAAAAGCTTTGTTTTCCTTGTGTCAAGTAGGGCCATGTGAATCCAAAGTTCTATCCAAAGAAACCAAGACCTTAAAAGGGCATGATTTCTTCATTTTTTACAAAGTCAAAGATGTTCATGATGGTGTTATGTATTTTTGTGCAGCACTGGAAGATATACATATAATCAATGCCATCTCAAATCCTCACAATTCCATCTCATGTCAAACCTAAATTCAAGCAATTTGAATGAAGTGTCAGAAAGCATTCATGTGTTGTTCATCCCATTACTTGTGTGTGGACTCTGAAACTGAGGACTCACAGTGAAACTGATTACATTAACACTTTGTAGTTAAATGTTGCAAATTTCACTGTTGGTTCTGTCAAATGGAACACTTGACTGCTTTGAAACTTTGAAAAACCAACCCCGACAAGCTTAGTGGGTGAGTGGTTAAGATGTCTACACTCGTAAGCAGTATCAAGTGTGTGAATGTTTTGGGTAAGCTCTTGGACAAACAATGAGTATACAGTGTTTTATGTAATTATAAACATCGATGTAAAGGCAAAACCCATCACTAAAATGTAACTTTGACAGGGTAGTTTTTCTTTTCTTCAATATTCATTACCTTTTAATATCTTCTTTCTTCCCCCCTAGTACACAACTGTACCGGTACCCCATTGCTTCAACAGCCACGGTCTCGTCATCAAGCATAGAAGCGGCTGGAAACTAGTCTACTCAGGCGATGCCATGCCAAGTGATAACCTCATTGAGGCAGGTAGGCTGGGACAGATTATGTTTTGGACCTCCTTACAGCCAAGGGAGGGGGGATTTTTTTTCAGGCTTGTGCATTACTCTGAAGCAACACATGCCCCCCCCCCAAAAAAAAGTTATCTTGGATGCAATGCATATTGAAAGTGATGTGCCTTCCATGTTGTCTGGTTAGGCTGGTTTTCAGTCACATACACATACATGGGCTAACCCTCAAAGTGTCAGAGGCTATGGAAGTATTAATAGGCTGGCCATTCTCAGGCTGTAGATCATGAGATACATATAGGCCACACTTTTCTGGGCTGTGCAATCAAACCAGACCCAGACCTAGCTCAGTCTTGACAGAGAATTTGGATGTGGCCATAATGAAACTATGTGTAAGAACCACTGAGTGCTGAGACATTGGCCTCAGGGACTGTAGCCACCTTGACCTGAAACAAAATTCTTCTTGTTTGTAATCAGGTAAAGATGCAGATGTCCTCATTCATGAAGCTACGTTAGAAGACGGTTTGGAGGCTGAAGCCCAGAAGAAGCGTCACAGGTGAGCACGCACTTGGAATGTTGGGCGTTGCCCTAAGTATTTGTTATCGCTGACATTCTGTCTGTAGGTGGATGACGTGCTCCTCTGGTTCTCGTACTTAATAAGCACTGAAAATTAAGATAGCATTTCTGTCAGCTACATGTAAATATATGATTTTTATTTCTTAACTGTTATCTGTGATAAAAGTGTTCAAATCACTTGTAGAAATACAAATTTACACCCAGATCTGAAGGCACTCTTTTTTCTAAAGTCTTGGTTTGAATCATGTTCTTTTGTAACATAAACAGCATGATTTCACAAGCCGTGGATGTCGGCCAGCAGATGGGTGCCAAGTTCACCCTTCTGACCCACTTCAGCCAGCGCTATCCCAAGATCCCTTACTTTGACGAGCAGCTCAGCCACAAGGTGGGCGTGGCCTTCGACAATATGAGGGTGAGTACAGACCCCCCAGGCAAAGGTATGATACGGAACAGTTCCTGTTTGAAGGTGAGATCTATTTAGCAAGGTTACTTTGTATGCGGCAGCTTCATTGTGATGTGCACAAACATGCCCAATGGCCTTGTCAATTAAGTATAAAATGTAGCAAGGAATTGGTGTATGTAGACTTTGAAGTGAGATGAAGTCCCCTGGAATTGTGTTCTTTTGCCACTTATGTACTACAGATGATGCATATTACTACGAAATCCAGAATCGTTCCCAGCATTAGAAGCAGAGCTCATAGTCTTGAAGGATCTTTAAAGAGTTGTAATCAATTTCCTGGTTTTCTCAGGTATCTTTCTCCGAGTTGGACCAGCTGCCCCTCTGCCTGCCAGCACTCAAGCACGTCTTCACCTCATACATTCAGGAGATGCAGGAACTAAGGGACAAGAGGGCCGAGAAGGAGACCATTGTGTCGCTGGAGAGCGCCCTCAAGAGTGGAAAGGTGGTCAGTGAGGAGACAGAGTCAAATGGAAGGCAAACACAAGGTCAGGCAACTTCGGCTAGCTGATGCTGGTATCTTGCATGAATCATGTTTATTTTCACTGCAAAGTCAGTGGCAACTGATTATTTAATGCAGCACCTGCGTCTCAAAATCATTCAACCAACTTGGTTGTGTTTCTTTTATATTTTGGAAAGACATGAAGAATTACCCCCAGGTTAATTTGTTGAATAGATTTGGTTTTTATTTACAAGCAGTTATTTCTCTGCTACAGCCGAATGAACAAGACAAAGACGTGACCTTTTATTGGTATATACATTTAATTTTTGTGATGCAATGCATAAGGCATTCACTCAAGTTACAATAAATGCACAGGAATCATAACTCATGCCATATTGGAGGGAGAAAGCCATAGAATCAGTGAGTGCTCAGGATGGTTTGCAAAATGGCTGTCAACCACTAAAACAGCAGGTGTTATAGTGAAATTTTGTTGGAACTTAAATGTCTGAATGAAAAAATTATACAGAAATAAATTTCTATTTACAGAGAACTGTTTGGCAGTACAACATGCATTTTGTGTATGATTTTGAATTGATTTATTGTGTCCCATCAGATTTATCAATTAGCTTGTCCTCTGCATGGCTTAAATTGGTTAAACGAACCGTAATGTCAATTTATTTGCCATATTTGACTTGCTGTATGCAAGATTTCATGCATGCCCCGGAGAATGCATGAGAACAAAACGTGGAACAGTTTACAGACAGCCTAAAGGTATCACGAACTGATGTTGACACTGGATGGGTCAAATTCCGTGCCCATGAACGGTGAGCCCTCCACATTCCAAGCCTTCCTTAGAATCTTGTGGGTTTCCTGCAGAGATAATGCAAGAAAATTGATAGAATTGAAAGGCATTTGTCAAACTTTTCAGAAGAATACCCCATAAACTTCATGATCAATTTGTGGGCAGGTTGGGTGCAGTGCTCCAAAAGTTGAACTTCAGATTACTGTTTTCTCTGTCAACAGGGAACCTTGAGCATGACATTGGACAGGGGAACTTGTTGAAGTGTATATGATGAAAATGTCAAGATAAGGGCTAATATTTCAAGTGTAACACCAAGCATCTTGAAGTTGGCTGACTACTACACTGTACTTTACATCAACAGTCAGCGTCCTTCAGTACAGTTGTGCTGGTCGGGGGAAACAGCCAAATATATAACCAAAAGCAGCGGGGAAAACAACTTACTAATTCTTTACTGGTCGGTTTTCCCTGTCTCTTCTGTTCCATGTCAAACATGACCCGTTCGTACTCCTGCTGAGCCTCCTCATCCATCTCGTTAACATTCTGGACGTTATTGATGCTCTTATTATCAATCGGCGGCTCACCTTCCACCACCGCATGCCACCACGTTTGTTTCAGTTTTTCCAGACTGATCTGCAAGTGGCATGAGATATGCAAGGTGCAGTAAATGGTTACATTTCCTACTGATAAGGATTTTCCAGTCCAAAATAATAAGTTTTCTTGGGTTTTTAATTACTTAACCGTCAGTGTTAAATTGTAATTGTGACAGACAGTGAGAAATACCTGCACGTAGTTGCCTGGGTGTAGACTCCACATTGACTGATCACAGCGGACCTTCATGGTCAGCTTGCCATCCAGTAAGACCTGGGGCTCGGCAGCACCTGTGTGTTGCCCCTTCACTGCTACCTTTCAGTGTAAAATGAAAAAGAATTAATGAACAAACAGGGGAGCAAGTCATTTGTTACGCAAATCAAGGTCAAAGTTTCTGAAAGTTTGTTGCTGACACAGTAGTCTGGATTCAAACTCAACCTACATGTAGGCTTTTGGGCTTTTGGCCTACGGAATTAGGGCATAGTCCTTGCCCAATGTCTTGGGGTGTTCCCCTTGACTATCCAGCTGGGGGTTTTGTGCCATATCTGGAGCAGAAAATGTCTCCATTGTCATTTCTGAACTGGCTTCTTCTGGTTTGTCAGATACAGTGCCCTTGGCACATATTGAGGAATCCTCAGTACCATAACCAAAGGCAAAATACAAAGCTCTTGCCTCCTTTTACACAAGATCCCAGAATCTCTCTGACATTTCCAATAAAAGTCACAATTCTGAATCACATTAGCCACCTTGACATGATCCTCTTTGATGTCAACAATGAGGTCCTTAGCTTTCCGCAACGTTTCCGGCACAAACACCTTCAGGTCCAAATCACTCAGAGATTGGGACCATGCATAGTTGTCGCGCAGCGCCCCGTTGTAGGTGTCTGACTCTGTTATGATCTCTCTGGCCCTGTTTCGAAAGCAAGAGTTTGATGTTTAGCACACTTTACATGATAAAATGAACTGTTAAAGTGCTTGCCTAAAACATGCAATGCCTGGACAGGAGATGCACATCTTGCATGCACTGAAAGATTAATCAGCTTCGTCAAAACTTAGGCTTTGTACCACTGGATTTTTTGTAATGTCACCAGGGCACACTACGTATCTGGCCTTACCCAGAAGCTGAGTATTTTGTATACTTGTGGATGTAAATTAAGTTGACCTTGCATTGAAGTTTGTTATGAAGAGCAGCTGCGATGACCCATTGACTGGCATCTCTTTCTAAGAAACTATTACCTTCGATAGTGTTTGGGTTACCTGTAGCATCATGCACAACCCCTCTTCAGCTTTCCTGGAATCTCAAGAGTCAGTCTGTCACAAAGTCAACTTTCTCAGTACTGCAACTTCAGGAATTGCCAAGGTTGACAACCCTTTCATTGTGATACCTACCTCTTCTTTTCTTTTGCCTCATCCTTTTGACCTCCTCTAGTTTCACCCTCAACCTGCTGTTTCTTATTTGTGTCTGTAAGCCTTTCTTCTATCGTGTCTGTTCCAGCTTTCTTGGCACTTTCTGTAGTACCGTCTTTGACACCTGGCGTCTCTGTGATCTCCACTGTGTTGACTGGCTCCGGCACTCCTGTATAAAGAACAACAAACAATGCTGGCACTGCCATGGTTTTCCCTTACAACATACCGAAACAAGACTGAGTCTGGCAAAACCAGTATTTTGGGCTCCAGGGTCAGTTTTTGCTACTGGTCTTCAAAAAATGACTGTAATTTTCAGTAGAAATGGTTAACATGGCTTCCAGGGGCCAGCTGTTGCCCCCAGTTGCCAAATGGCTAAAGAAATTTTCTGCTGATTATAGAAAATAACCACGTAAGAGAAATTTTCAATATCAAAAAGAGAACTGCATTACCCTCTTGACGATGAGTTTGGAGATCTGGCAGAGGTGGACCTTGTCCTATTTTCTCATATTTCATGAAAGTCTAGAATGTATAATTCAAAGAAAAACTTGACTCCATGATAAAACATCACATGCATTTCAAGATTATCAGGATCCAGCACATAAGATTGTTTAAGTGTGTGAAAACATACCGGTCTAGGGTATCAAATTTGTAATAAACAAAACTACATGTGTGTGCAAAACCAACTGGACATGTTTTGAATATTCATATCGGGGATGTATCTGCCAATGAATTTTCATTAGTTATGATTTGGTACAATTCAGTGCTCCAGACACGTCAGTTTATTCTTAAGGGGGAAAGAAAAACTGGATAACTAGTACATGAAATTTCAGAAGTTTATGGATGTCTGCAAAAGTTTTCAGCATTATCTGCAATTTACAACTGCACTACAATGCATTTGCGGTATCTGTAAGAGCAAGATATTCCTAGGAAATTGGTACCACAGACTTAAGCACTGCCAGCCCATCTGTAACGCACGTGCAGGTGAGTAGCAGACAGATGGCCTGAATGGCAGATGAAAAAAGAGAGACTGAGAGGTGCATCATTCACCTTCATAACCAGTGTTCTTGCCACACCAGGAGGTAAGCCCATTGTGTCGTGTTCATGGCGCATGGATTTGTAGAAATCCGTTCTGAATCAAAGCACAGAAACACAACATCAAGACAAATTAAAAGTCAAAAAAAGTTGTGGTTTTGCCATCCTATCTTCAATAATTTGTTTCACTAGAAAACTTGGCCCTGTAGGGCTTTAGTTGTAATTTAGTTGTATTTGTTGGCTTATTAAGAAAATATGGTCCGCTCTTTTCACATCACAGTTTTTCCTACAAGTGTCTGCCAGAAGTACGATTAGTACAAAAGTAAAAGAATAATCCAGTTAAAAATCCCAAGTAGCTATCAGAACACCAGATAATAATACATGTACTACTAAATACCAAGTGACAACACAATCTCTTAGGCCAAACAAAAAAATACTTGTGCTTCCTATTACACTGAAAAATAAATTAGGGTGGTTGGTTGGGTAAAATATTTTTTTTTACTCTAAATTTTATAGCCCAAAAAATCAGGGTCGGATGATGGTCTTTTTTTTTTGGGGGGGGGCATATATTTGTAACAGGTACTAAGTCTGTGTCAGATTCATAACCTACATGTACAAATCATTATTCCATATCAGCACTGTGATTGAGTAGTAAAGCAGCTATCCATCTCATTTTCTTGCCCCCCAAAAATTAAACAATACAATGTACAAGAGATGTACACAAAATTAGGCTCTGGGCAAGGCACCATAAGTTTTACATTTTATTTATTTGTCGAATAAAAAGATATAGGTTCTGCATTATTTTATAGGTTGGGTCAGGTAACCAGAAACACAGTTTTTATTTGTTTGGCCTTAATGAAATTAATGGGACAACATGTACATGGTGAGTGAATGTCAGGGAAAATAAAAAACCAACAAAAGGGTGATTTTTCTGCAATGTTGCAATTGCAATCTAAATGGAAATCGCAGGCAAAGTGAGAGTGTCTATAGGCCAGGGTGGACATCTGGGACTTTGGCAAAATGGCAGGTAGCAACCACACCGCGCCGATGAAAACAACTGCAACGTGTGCCTGCGTGAGTACATGTATTGATCAAAGAAAAGACTGTGTCACCTGATTCTCTGACTGGCTGGTGTGCGCGTGCCCTCACCATGGTCGCAGTTGTTTGCATCAGTGCAGTTTGGTTGCTACCCTCGATTATGTGATGTCTGCCCCAGCCTATAGTTTAATTTCCCATCTACCACTTAGTTTAGAATCCTTTACACATCAAATACTGTTGTCAATGTCATGTTGTATACATGTACAATGTAGCTGGAAATATCTAGCGCTATATTATCCTAGCTTGGCTTATGACGTGGGCATGGTGGGGAGATGAGGAATCTCTACCCCCAGAACAGATGTAAGTGTAGGGTCCATCGTCCACCATGCCTCTGCCATGGCATGTCTGGGAAAAGGGAAATTCATGAGCCCATTATGGCCATCGGTTGATGATGTTAGATATTTACAACTGGGCTCATGCATGTCATGTGCAGCATACACCAACGTGCCAACAACGTGAAGTTCATCGTCGGCCGCGCTCCCACAAGTGCGGCAGACGAAGCTAGCCTTGTACAGCATACACCATGCATGTCCTGTGTGTACAGTCACTGACTGGGTTTCGAGTCAACTCGGACCCAAACCAACTCGGACCCACGACCAACTCGGACCAATGTCAACTCGGCCCCAATACTAACCCGGACCCACGACCAAGTCGGAC